TAAAACTGTTAATAACATCAGATACGCCGATGACACTTTAATCATTGCAAATACCAACGAAGATCTGCAATTGTTGATGAATCAGATTACTAACTCGTGCGCTCAGTACGGACTTAAACTAAATGTCAATAAAACTAAATATATGATCATTAGTAAACATGTCTCACATCAGGATGATGGCATATATGCGGAAGGTGCACCTCTGGAACGAGTTGGGAGGTTGACGCACTTGGGCAGTAACATCAACGATAAATGGAACCCATCTAATGAAATTAAAATTAGAATAGAAAAAGCAAGAGCAGCATTCGTAAAAATGAAAAAAGTTCTCTGTAACCATAATCTAACATTGAAACTGCGAATGAAAATGGTTAAATGTTACGTACTTCCGGTTCTCCTATATGCGATGGAGTCATGGACACTCACTGATGCGACGATCAAGCGTCTAGAGGCGTTCGAAATATGGATGTACCGCCGTCTACTCAAGATCAGCTGGATGGATAGAGTGAATAACGCAGTAGTACTAGAGCGAATGAACAAACATCCGGAGATAATTTTAACCATCAAACAGCGTAAGGTAGAATACTTTGGACATATTATGCGTCACCCTGAGAAGTATGCCATACTGCACCTCATAATGGAGGGAAAAGTGAATAGCAAGAGAGGCCCTGCAAGGAGAAGAACATCATGGTTGAAAAATCTAAGACAATGGTATGGAAAATCCTCGATCGATCTGTTTCATGCAGCTGTTAATAAAACAATGATTGTCAACATGGTGGCCAGCCTGATACCAAACGATCGTTAAACGGCTCGGCACTATAAGAAGAAGAAGCTCTATATCTTAAAAATGTTATTTTATTAATATACATACCTATACATTAATATGTTTGTTCCATGCTAGGCATGATTTTTAAATGAATTGGTTTTTATGAAATTAAAGGTGATTTGGCAACACTGGATTTAATTATATTTATTTGCAATGCGACAGAGTTGGCGCAGAAGCGTCAATACAGCATTATAACCTGCTTATGCGCAGTTTGGTTGTATTGGTCGTCGTGCTACTCTGTTCGAGGCTGTTGTCTTCGTTGTTGCGTATTTCTAGTGTTCTAGAATCTATAAATATGGAGAAAATACATTGTGTGAACAATCCAAATAAGTTTTGTTATATTTGTGGTAGTTATGTCGTAGTAACGCAAAGGCAAGTTATAACTTCCTTTGTGAAAAAATATATACCACGGTTATTTTGGTGTAAAAATTGGCGACAAAGGCAAGTCCTGGGCTCCTCAAACTGTTTGTTTTGTTTATGTTGAAGCATTAGGAAACTCGCAAAAAAGTAGAAATTAATGTTTAAGCTTAGGTGTTCCTATGGTGTGGCGAGAGCCTAGGAATCACAGTGATTATAGTTTTTTTTTATTCGTGTAATGTTCGAAGATTCAACAGAAAAAACAAATTGTGCACCCCAATCTTGACTCTTCTATTCGACTAGTTCCTGATGAACCAGATATACGGATAGCTACGAATAGCTTCCAAAGGACGCATTAGAATTGTTAGCGTCCAGACTTCCTGCACCTGGCGTCACATCAAGCTTTTACCGGGATCGCAAAAAAGTAATGCCAGTATTTTACTCAGGAAGAACCGCTAGTGCACTGGAACAATATTCCGGACTTAGTTTCAAAATTAGGAAATAATCCGCATATAAAGGAAGAATGGCGCCTGTTTATTGACTCAAGTAAGCGTAGTTTTAAAGGCGTTTTATTGCACAATGGTAACGAACTGGCCTCGATTTCCGTTGCACATTCGGTACATTTAAAACAAAAAGATTTAGGACTTCTTTTGAAGAAAATAAACCACAGAACATCACTGGATGCTTTGTGGTGACCTTTAAGTGTTGTGTATGTCCCTAAGGCAACAAGGGGGTTATACATTGAACTCAAATAGAACAAGCCTTATACCTGGTAGCAAAAATGTTTTAAGAGATAGCTTAGTTGACCCCAAAAAAATTTTACTGCCTCCTCTTCATATCAAACTTGGCGTGATGAAGCAGTTTGTTAGAGCTCTAGACAAAAATGGTCAGTCAGTCAGACGGTATTTTTATTGTTCCACAGACAAGAACATCATGCAAAGGCAAGGATTTTCAAAATACAATGACTAATGTCGAGAAAAACCCCTGGGTTTCATTTAAAGAAGTAATTGATCAGTTTCTTGGGAACTCTAAGGACGAAAAAAAATATCTCGTCTAGGTTGTAATGTGAGTTTGAAAGTGTATTTCCTGTTTTCACACTTGAACTATTTTCCTGATAATCTTGGAGCAGTTAGCGACACAGGGAAACAGGTTTCACCAGGATATTAAGGAAATGGAACGGCGATATCAAGGCAGATGGAGATATGCTCTTAAAAGTAGACAGCCGAATGTCCGGCCAACGCAGCTTTCTGGCAAAAAGACGACGATTTCATTTAAAGTTTTTTTTGTCACTTTTGTTCCTGGGATTCCACATTTTTATTGAATAAAAAAAATATTTTAGAAATGTCGTTTTTTTCTTCTATAAAATCCTTACGTGATACAAATAAATTCATAGAATTTTTGAAATCAGCCTACCGAAATTGTATAAAATCAGTTTTAAAAATAAAAACAAGTATCAAAAAGTTTAATTTTATAGACCTGTGTAATCGGTGGTTCGATGATTGGAAATATCTCAAGATACATGAGCAATTTGAAAATCCTGAATTTTAATAAAAAAAAACGAAAAACTCTTTGACTTTCCATAACCCTTTAGGAACGCATTTGCTATTCCAGATTTTCGAGGCTACTGAGCTTTGAAAAAATAAAATATTTATTTAAGAGAATCTATAGAAAACCTTGAAAAAGAGGTAAGAGGTACAACTTGAACTTCATGACGCTTACCTTCTTCAATTTGGATTACGTAATCTTACCTACAATCTACACAACCTCGTGATTGTCAGAGGAAAGTTTTTCTATTTTAATAAACATAAAAAGACCACTGGAGACTGAGACTTTCACCTTTAATTTTTATCAAATGACAGCTCTATATCCGTGAGATACGCTAAATCCGCCGCGTGTTGACGTTCAGGTTGTTGCCAGGACAATGGTTATACCGGAACACGCATTTATCGATTCATTCCCTTCCACCGATGCATGATTCAGTGACTGGTGGAGTGAGGATCATCCTCTTCCGTGTCAATAGAAATTGAGCAAATTAATTCTCGTCTCGGATCCGCCCATTGGGGTTTCTACTGTCATATCGTCACCAAGTTTACGTCGAAAAACAGCTATCAAAGTAAATCGAACCTCTTGCAGTAACGCTTTCTTTATTGCTGCCCATCCGTTAGCGGTACTATTGACGGTTCTTAGGCATGCTTATAGCAAATTTAGAGTGGTCCCTCGTGGGTTAGAACAGAGAAACATGTTTAAAATTTTCTTTTCGTTCCGAAAATATGGGGAATTTTCAAATTTTCCCAACAAGGTCGGTTAATTTAGCCAACCTTGTAACTCTTGTGGTTTTGAACGCCCAGGGCCGTACACAAAAATCGTATGTACATAGGTGTCGAAGTTTTCAATATTTTCATAAAAACTCACATTATTATTTCATATATCCAAAAACATACCACAAAGTGAAAAATTGTGCAGGTATTTTTAAATGTACAGTAGGTAAGTGTGACTGTACCAAATTAGAAAAAAAAATGTAAGAAAAGTCCGAGTAACACGCACAGGAACATTTTTACAAACTAAGCTAAGCTAAGCTTTGCATTATTTTCATTTGAGGAAAACTCTATGACCGTTAGTCGACTGTCGACTGTTTGGATAAAGATTTAGTACAAATATAATTGACTGCTAAAAAAAAGTCATCCTTTCCATACAAACCGTTACCGGTGTTTAGTCTCAACTTTATATGAAGGTACATACCATCTGTGCGAACTGGGTGTCTTATTCTCTGTAACCGATCCAACATAATTATCGGAACTAGAGCCTTTCTGCCATGGTCTGTTTTCCTACTCGACACACTGGATCGTACAGGAAAACTCGCGAAAATATTTGTCCCCCGCTCAACACATTTCCCTTACTCGGAAAAATCCAACTGGAGCCCTCGGTTTTAGCACTTCGGCACAGCCGGCTTGCCGCCACAACGTGATTGCGTTCCCCCCTCCCGCGCCGACGTCGCGACGCACGAGGGGCGTCGGACAACGTTGTCGATATCCGGAGATTTTCTTTATTTTTATTTTTTGAAACGGATCATTTCCCCGAATTATCGTTACATTGAATATAGCAAACGGTAGCTTGTAAAACACTTTAGCATATTCAACAGAGTGATAATGTTGCGTTTTGGTTTTGAAATTGTTAAAGTATCGTTTCAAAAATTTAGAAAACGGAAACTGTAAAGAACCAACATAGAAACACACAAGAAGACAGAATGCATGTTACAGAAATGTCACCAGTCTATCTAACTATCTCTTTAATTTTTATTTTCCGATTCTATTTTTTTTTCGTTAAGTTTTTCTTCACTTTGTGAAAACAGTTATTTATAATTCGCAAAACTTATTATTTATTCGAATAGAATGTCGCCTCCTTTTGTCCTTTTCTAGTTCTACCGGAAATAGCCACAGCATTGTTATCAAGACAGGTCCCTAGTCAATTAGTGATCTCCATACATGTTAAAAAAAACTGGTTTAAATGACTCTGTGGTAACCAAATTCTAAATAATTTTGCCGGAAAACCTACGAGGGATACGAATAGAAAATGCACCAAAAATGTCAGCCTATATATAACAAAAATATAGACTTTCTAGACCACTCAAAGCGATACTGATTGAGACTCTGTATAACGAATATGACGTCTAGTTACATTTCATTGCAGAGCAAATCTGGCAACGCAGCGACGTTCCAGTATTTATATGCGTCGGATAAAAATGAAACACGACAATCCACTAAGGGACTGCATATTTTCTTCCAATGCGAAATAAAAATGCTTGGTTCCTATTTAGGTCGATTTCAAATGCTTTATTTGCTGTCCAATTCGCTCTTAAAATTTCATCAGGAAGGTCGTCAAAGAACCGAATTAACAATCGCGAAAATCCTCACTGGAGCTCCCGTACCATCCGCGATTTTCATTGGTGCGACGATTATAGTGAAATTTTTAGCTGAAATTCGCGGATAAAACGAAATAATCGACATAATGGCCATTATTATAAATACCCGGCAATTTTTTTGTCAAATTCACATTCTCCAAGTTGAAAATTTGCTCCTTCGCTAAAATCCTGTGGACCATCATCGTCGTGCTGTTCCCTGGATCGACGCTGGGCGCATCTAGACCAATCCCGTAGAACTTACCAGAAGAAGCTATCCATCTCGCCGCCTCATCGGACAGTCCTTAAAATGGTACTTATTTTTTTATTTTAAAATAAAAAGAAAATAAAGAAATTCTAAAAATCAAACGGCGAATTTCCTATACTTACCTAACCTCAAAATTTGTGTGATCCAAAAAATATATATATTTATCGCCGACAAAATGGTTAATGGTTAATGGTAATATTAAAAAACGATGTTTCGATTACATTAAAATTAAATAAAATTACAGCAACAATTATGGAATCCTTTTTATAAAACTTCGGGATTCCTCCTGCGTCGGTTTTTGTTGACTCGAACTTGCTAACGTTTCGCCAATCATCAGAGCTTGACTGAAACTGAAGAAGCCAACAGGACGATTGGTGAAACGTTAGTTGGTTCGAGTAAACAAAAACCGACGTGGAAGTTTCTTTGAAAAAAAAATCAATTATGAAACATTGGCTATTAAAAATTCTGAGCCAGTCGCCCACCTGGAACCCTTTTATATCAAATTGCTCAATAGGAAAGCTAAAATTTTGAAGGTGACGTTTCGCTCAAACCAAACCGAAAACATTTCTAGGCGAAAGATAATATCGAAATACTTGAAAAATTGAAATCGGCTCTTCCTGATAGAGTCTTAAGGAACGATTTGTGTGAATCGACCCTTTATGCATACCTGGAGTATTAAAAGTTTGTCGGTCGTCCGATTCCAGATATTTGAAAGCGTTTTCCCGCCAATATTTGGCTCGACCGAAGTCTACAAGTAGAATGGAACCTGGCTCAAACGGTCCGTTGACGCTTTCCCAATTTTCCAGGTGCGACACTTCAAGTTTTTTCAATTCTTTTCCCGAATGCTCAGATTCGTCGGCTAAGTCTATGGTCGTACCTAATTTTCAACAGTTTTGGCAGTTAGAAGATAAAGTGAGACAAATCCGAAACAAATTTATGATAAATAGATCCGATGTGCATTGCTATTGTAATTTGCTCCATTTAATTTAATGTGAGGTTCGTGAAAGATATTCTACATTTCTTTGTTTTTCATTTAATATTGTCCGATTATTTCTCAAATTTTTGTCCACTGGGATTACTAAGAAGGCGTAAAGCTCATCTACCATTTTAAGTTGGCCTAAAATTTAAGCTGCGCTATACTAGTTTGAGATATGTATGATTGTGAAAGAAACCTGCAATGGAAAAAACATTGCTGAATATATAAAATATACTTCAACAATTTCAACATTCAATTCAAACATTAGTCAAAGAAATTTTTGATCCAAAGAGCTTCACTTATTACTTGTTTTTATCAATTTTTAACAAGTTAATTTAAATTGAAATTGAAATTTGGTGAAAATAACATTGGTCTAGGTCCAGCTTCATTGTGTAGGCTCAGTCTCAGACCAAATACAGGGCTAAACTGCACAGTTTTTTTGTGATTTTTAAAAAAAATTATATGTAACAAGTTAACGAAATCAAAACTGAAGTTATAAAGTGCAACATAAGTGTGGTTAAATTCAAAAGGTATTGAAATTGAAAAACGAATTTAAATTTTGGTAAAAATAACATTGGTCTAGATCCAGATTCATTGTGTAGGTTTCTTACGTTGCAGAGTTTTTGTACATCTGACATTCAAGTGAACATGTCTGTTTATAACTAAACCTGAGTAAGACACGTCAAGTGGACCCGCTTGATAATAAAAAATTAATCTATACATATTTTTTATAAATACTTATGATGGAAAATTGATCCCCGCAAATGATTTTTTAAAATTTTGATTTTAACATTTTGTTTTATAATGAAAATTTTAAGCATTTCTTAGTAAAAAAATCATGTTTTTTTTTATCGGTCACATGCATTACACATTTAGGTTTAATATTTCGGAAGAAAATTTCACTCCTCGTCATTACTTTAAACAAAATGAATTTTTTTATGACAACGCGCCGGGCGCCGAGCGCTGTGGAAGCACAGCGCTGCCGAGCGTCTCGAACTGCATTGAAGGATTTATCAGTGATAATTTAAAATAATAATATTGCAAAATATTATTATAAAACAAATTTTATTATTATTTATGTTATTTTATTATTAATAAAATTTTATTTTTTTAACAAAAAAATGTTAAAATCAAAAATTAAAAAAAATCGTTTTGGGGATCAATTTTCCATCATAAGTACTGATAAATATATATATATATATATATATATATATATATATATATATATATATATATATATATATATATATATATATATATATATATATATATATTCTCACGTATTGATTCACGGATGGAAAAATGTGATGACACTATATTCCGGGATATCATCCGTTCGCTCGTTGAACTCCGACTGGAATCCTGCATCCGACTGGAATCCTGCAAATCTTGCATCCGACTGGAATCCTGCAGACGTTTCGCCAAAATCTCACTTGGCATCTTCAATGCTCGCGCTCCGTGTTCGAAGTGTTTTCGGAGCGCGAGCATTGAAGATGCCAAGTGAGATTTTGGCGAAACGTCTGCAGGATTCCAGTCGGATGCAAGATTTGCAGGATTCCAGTCGGATGCAGGATTCCAGTCGGAGTTCAACGAGCGAACGGATGATATCCCGGAATATAGTGTCATCATATATATATATATATATATATATATATATATATATATATATATATATATATATATATATATATATATATATATATATATATATATATATATATATATATATATATATATATATATATATATATATACATACTTTAAATTTTTATAATCAAGTGGTAAATGGGGGGTCCACTTAACGTGATCTTACTCAACTGCCTTTGGAGAAACTCTGATGTACTAAAATTTTGTTGCCGACTTCGTTCGATTCATGAAGAAGTAGGGCATAGTACATAGTACAATCACATAGTGTGGAGTGGTAAATGGTAGCAGAAAGAATGCCAAAGGTCACCATCACCCCGTACCTCGGACAAGATAAGATATCTCAAGATATAAGTTACAGATTTTTACTCCGGTAACCAAAGAATTTGGATTGAGTTTTGGTTAGACAGCAGCAACAGGGTGTCACAACATACAGAATTATTTGTTTCCCGAGTTAGAACTCTGTATTCTATATCTGCGACGGGCCATAGAGTGATTAGTGAACTTAAGGACGAGCAAAAAAGTTGTTTAAACAAACCTTTACCGACCAATCTGTCAACAGGTATTTCTGCAACTTTCCAACCTTCTTTATTGAAATGGTACGGGGCGTCTAAGTGAGTACCGCCATGTTCACCCGTGCAAAACTCTTTCATTGCATACCTGGGAAAAAATTAGTCGTACCACAAGTCAGATCTTTGCTGACACGGGTTGAAAACAAAACGACCTTGTGACCTTCAGTTTTTTGCAGCTCGAAAATGATTACAGATGAAAAACTAAGTCCTTACCAAAATCCTCTCTCTTCTCCCTCGGTCACCTTAGTGAAACTAAATCTAGCCACGCCTGGCCAATAAAGCGTGTTGGCATCATATTCCCAGGTAAGATCGATCACTTTCGAATACGAGAAGGCATCACCGAGCAATAGTAATTGGAAAAATAAACAGGACGAATGCGCTGAACGCATTCTTCTTGGCCGTTAATTTTATTAACAATTATTATCAAATTGTATTGCTTAGTTTTGGGATGTTAATATCAAATCGACCCCTGATCCCCGAATTTTAGCGCTGTTGCCGTCATAACCAAAATATACGCTGAACACACACATTTGCGATTGGAGAATTTATTGCGAAGTGATTTTCAATTACTAAATAGACAATTATGTTTTTCTACTCTCGCCTGTAAAATACCTGTGCGGAAAGCGTCACTTTACCACGGGTCCGACCCACTTCGGACATTTCCGGGATTTTACCGCACGGGTTTGAGAGTAATCGGATGTTTTCGGATATATTTCCCACGCTTTGAATTTTGACGTTTGTCAATTCTGACAGTCATGTCAGTGAATGTATTCGTGTTTTGTGAAAATGTACCCAAAAACTAACGGTCGTAGAAAAAGTATAGTATACAACACGTTCGGCAAACTTTTTAACTCACTCGTATATTAAAAACTCGCTCCTCTGCGCTCCGCTCGTGTCAAATAAACTCATGAGTCAAATACCGTTTACCGCACTTATTACATAATATACTATTTTACTCTTTCAGAATTAAACAATTGACGGTATTAGAAACTCCTGTTTTAAAAATTTATCTTTCCGACTTTTATTTTTGTGGTTATTATAAAAATGTAATTGAAAAATAAATTAAATAACCTTGAATTTTTTTTTTAATATGATTTTGATTCACTGATCTTTAAGCAAAATCAAAAATTTTCATTTTAACAATATAAAGGGTAATTCAAAATGGATCCGCACCATTTTGCTCCCGTAAACTACAAAAATTGATGTTTTTCATTTAATTTTTTTTTTCTAGAATTATTTTTAAACTTTTGTTCTGATGGCGAAATTTCTCTATATAAACAACATTTTTTTACAAAAAACGTACCAATTTGAAGCCGAGAGAATATTCCGTTGAAATAAAAAACTGTCTTTGGGAAAACTAAATATATATATAACATAACAATAATTTCGAAACAGGAAAATTTTATACCGAACAATGTCTTCAATAAAAACAACAACATTTTAGGAGTGTTGTGACTTTTTAAACGCACGTCACTTAAGTACAGCCAAGTCATAAGACAAACAAACAAAAATTTTTAACATACACTTACACAATAAAAAATCCTAGGGTCCCTAGTCCAACTCTATAATTCATTACTACAACTCTTTGTCTGGAATGTTTTCTTCTGAGGTATCCGATAGGTAACTAAATTAAATAATTAAAATCGTTAAAATAATATTCAGATAGTAAAATATGAGTATACATTTTTGTTCTGCGGCCCTTACTGAGTATCTCGTACGTCATTGAAGAATTTATTATCCCACAATAATAACAATTCCCTGCTTAGTCATTGCCGTTTGAAAAACTGGCAGCATTTTTAAGTTTAATTGACAGTATTATCATTGCAATGATAGAGAGCATAAGTTTGATCCAAATAACCTGCACATTAACGAGACAAGAAGGGTCACAAGCCTTCAAACTAGCCTTCATACCTTATTGTTCTTTAGGAGGCAGAAGTTTTTAATTAAAAATTACAACATACGCGGTTTTGGTTGGTTTTGGTTACTTTTGTAAAAAAAATAAAAAACGAATGAATTATCAATACTTAGTTCAGACACGCAAGATGGCGGCGCTGTAACTAAGTCATGTTGGCAACATTTATTCAACTGAAATTGGTAGAAATGGAGAGTGACACTTATGGTCCCGTTTATGTTTCGTATCGAAATCGTACAAACCGCAAGAGATCTCAAAATGGTATCGCGAAAAATACTTTAGGGCAAAATTCAAATAAAAAAATCATTAGCCTACTAACATATGAAGATATTCGACGACGAATATTCTCAATACTTTGTTAATATTTTCCACCGTGTCGAGATCGATCAGGTCCCTGTCGTCTCTTGGAGTGTGCCATTCCGGAGGGAACGGTGTGGCGATCAAGTGGACCACCGGGACGTCTGGAAAAAACACTGGATTAGGCGAAAACGAACCGCACGGTCGCAATCGCGCGCTCACTTCTTCGCAAGAACGGAATGTGATCGTCTTCGATATAACTTTGCTGTAACTGTTTCACGAAGTGCCTGTACCTCTGCGGCTTTGACAGACCCAAGCTGCTTAGACGATCTTCCGCCTCTGCCATTCTTAAATACCTAAAAAGTGAAAATACGCTACATGGTTCTCCGAGAAGGGTGTTGTTGATAGTAAACAACTCTAAAGGGATCTAAAGAAAAAAAAATAAGAAAAAACTGACCTGTGTGTTTTACTGGCCTTAACGCGTTTAAGAAACAAAATATGATCCCTTGTACTTACATCAACGTGTTAAGTTTTAAAAATTTAGAATTAACGTAAAAAACCACATAATAATTATAGTTACGGTAATAATCAAAAAATTATCCTCCTCCGGGTAATTAGAGGTTTCTAGCAGTCAAATTATCAAACGTATATTTTAAACCACTAAACCACTAATATGCAAAGAATAACCCAACAAGCATATTTAATTTTCATTAATATAGATATATTAATAGCAACACCTCTAGTACGTCAAACTGGCATCATTGCTTTCTATCCCTAACCTCAGACATAACAATTTTGACCACGTGCTTTTCGTGATATATTTTATTCGCGGTTTTGTAATCATTAAGATCTACAAGAGAAATGATTTGTGACTTTTTTAACGCGGCAAGTCTATAGACTATGCGGCACTACTACACTAACCGAATTTGACCAATCCACACTGTGCACAATTAATATAAGCCTTTATTTATGTTTAATGATGATTTTTAGGATCTCTATAACAACCTAACGTCATAGATGAAAACCCCATATACTACTACTAACCACTTCGAAGTATCGGGAAAGTAACTATAGAAGGTGGTGTCTCGGTGACCAATCAAATCGAGCAGCACGAATAGGTCTATCCTTTGCAAATCTGTTACTGATTCGGCGGTACTTCTGGTCAGTCGTCTGTTTTCATGGTATTTCGCGGCCAAGTGCCTAGCACCATAGATGGAATCCTTTGGACTCCAATTCTTAAAGGCTTCCTCGCCGTCCAAGAAGATCAGCTTGAGGCTGAGGTCTATGTTATCTCGGTGTTTCCGGAACTCATCATTAAGCACCTTGGCCAGATTCAACATCATAGCGCATGGTACCGCCGAGTCGATGGCTCCTAAAAATGTCCACGAGTTGGACTAGAAGCGCGCTGGACAGTTTTTGTAAACCGGCAGACATGTTGCATCCTGAACGAACCCATAACTTTGAGTGTTGGTGCATTGCATTACATTTTAGACCGTTAAAACCTGTCGGTGATATGCTCGTTTTTATAATCACATAGTTTGTATTGTAACAGGTTTTCTATTATTAATTTTCGCAATTATAATAATATAAATAATATAAACAAACGCTATAGTTACTAGCTATCTGAGTGAGCCATGGAAGAACCAAATTACAAATAGCTCAACTTGTTTTTTTTTTTAATGAAGAAATCTTGCAGTCAATTGATCTCATGAAAATGTCAATATTCATACGAATCAGTATCATCAAAATTATGAATACAATTCATTTACACTTTATGGGCGAGGGTACAAAGTTTTATCAAGAATATACGAAGCATTTGCGAAATTATGGAAAACTAATATTATCGCTTTAATGCCGCTAATTCTAATAAATTAAACGTAAAAGCTATAGACGTTTATTTGCCACTGAAAAATGATTAAATTGGCAGTATCGCGAAAAGTAAAAGTATTCCGAATAGATAACAAAATACAAACTTGTGTTGGATATGTTTTCACTTGAAAAATAAAAGTGTTTCTTGATTTTTATTTCGTATTCTTTTAAGAACGTGAATGTTCTTCCGTGTAGAAACAATTATTTGAAGGACTGAATTACTTTCTAAATACCTTTGATATACAATAAGATTTCTTCAGTAACACTTAAGTTAAAACTTTTTGATTTCACGTCTCTATTAAATGCCTAAAATAACTCCAACTTGCTCTATTTGGATCTATGTTCATAAAGAAAAGGGAAAACAATAGCAACAAACTAATTTTGGTGAATTTTAATCTTAAAAATAAATGCTCTGTAAACCATAAATTTAAGTATTTAAGTTTCTGAAAACTGTTATTTCGCAAACAACAACAGGTACACAATAAAATATGGATTACTAATTTTTTACAGGATCTGTTTAGAAAGACGTGGCTTCTTTATTAACCACAATGGTGGGGTAAACATTACAAAGACTTGTTAACTTTAAATCGTTACAAGACCTACGCAAATCAAGCAGATAATTTAATTATTTGGGCGTTTGCAAAAGAATCATCGACCATACCAAGGTCGCATATTTAATGCACCAACAATAATTCTTAGCACGGAGATATTGCAAATACCAAACAAATAATATACTGCATATTGTTGAATAATTTAAACAGAGCCAAATACTTTTCCAAACATGTTTTTTCAGAGGACTTTTAGTAGACATATTGCAGGCATAAGATTCAGTATTTATTTGGGAATATGCTGATGTGTGTGCTTTTATATGTATATAGCAAATATTGCATTTGTATTTTTAACCTGTTGACATTTTTCGACAATTCTTAAAGTTGGAAAATATTTTCAAGTAGTTTCGATGTATATGAGATTTTAAATTGATAAAGCGGTGCCTTCAACTAACCAATCTATTTTCTATGGCGCATCCTTGGACTATGGTTACTTTTGGATCCATTAACACCGCAAAACCTACCGTTTTAACTTACCAACGAAAATGTCATTCGCGAAATACTTGCTGTCATAATGACAGGCCAGCACTAGATATCTATCGGCGTTTGGGTTAATGCTGGCGACGATGTTTTTGAAAGTTAGCGCCCCAAATATAGGCGTGTCGGTACGGAATTCGTCGACTTCCACAGCCCAGTCAAGTTTCTCCAATTCGGTTTTGATATAGTTGAACACTTTTTCGTGGTTGGCGGTTCCGACTACCCTGGGAATGAGTATATTGTCGAGTACTTCGTCCGTATATCGCGTATCCGCGAGACCGGCGAGGTATTGAATTTCCGCATTGGACAGTTGCTGGTGTAAATGGTTCGTCTAAAAAAGTGTAAAAAGAAATATATTATTAATTTCCTAATCCTTCCTTACAAACATCCGTGCCTCTGGTCTGTGGATAATTGAAAAATGATTTTTTTTCAAAAAAATTTTTTACCGAGAAGCAGGCAAACTATAATATTCCAAAAAATTAAATATATAATTCGCTATAGCTACCAAAAATTCACAACCACACAACAATACCAAAGATAATTTATTTATATGAGCATATAACCTGCAATTTTCTTAGTTGCCCATTCGCTGCGTTGGTTACACTGAAAACGGAAGCAACAAAAATGGTCCGTATCAAAACTAACATGTTTTACTCATAGGAATTAGAAAAAAAAGTCCCAAAAAAATAACCCTTCGCGACCCATTCACGTCCCTTCGGAAAGAACAGTTTTTAGCAACTGCTGTTTTTTACATTTTCTCAATACGACCCCTCTCTGAATATGTGAGTTATACGTGTTGTCTTTTTTTATCATTTGCTTATCAACAAGGAACGCCAATGAAATCTGGTCCACCGAATGACGTCATCCACGGAATTCCCTGTCTTTTTCTTGCATTAGGAGTTTGTAACAGGTCCGCACTAGATGAATTTTCGTTGCAAGGTAAGGTTCTTCAATAAGATTTTATTACAAGGATTCTATCGATTGATTAAATTGTCATTGCAAATCATGTTGCTGAACTTTATTAAAACAATATATTGTAATATTAGTGTTGTTGTTAAATTATACAACATCAAATTATATATTATCTTCCACAGAGCTTATTAATCACTGTAATAAAATGACAGCAGCTAAAAATTCCAAATATCCGCAGTTTTTTCCGACCTGTCTAAATCATATCAAGTTTATTGACAGTCACGCCATTAGCATGGCAACGGATTATTTATTATTCGTTTGGAGTATGTCCTGGATATGAAAAAGGAATAATAAGGCAGTAAAAAGAGATGAAAACGCGTGGGAGTAAAACACGGCGAAGATATAGATCGGCGGCGAAGCAATATGAATTGTGATATTTAAATCGGGGGCGTATAATATCTGGAGGTAATGTCTTTCCACCAACGGTAGGGTGGAATGAAAGAAATCATTGGTAGGTATTATACCTCCAATATAAGGGCTTTCGAGAGAGTGCAGTTCTGTAATTTTAATTGGAAATTTGAGTTGATAAAAATGACTTGTAATAAGCAATAATAATTATAAAAATTGTTAGATTGATTTCTACTTCTCCGTTTGGACAAACTGTTACTAAAAACGCAAGGACGTTTTTACAAAATTCTTAGCTCATGTAAATAATCCCTCACCACTGCCTTAACACAAATACATGCATAACCTAGATTTATATACCGCAAAACGATTAAATGCAGACTATAAAATCAGAATAATTTGAAAATCGATAGTCGGTTCTGAGGCCAGCCCTGGCAAGCAGGTTATTTGGATTTATCCACCTTAGTAAGTTTTTGTTGGCAATGCTGATCTTTTAGATTTGACAGCCAAATAGCATGTATAATTGACGATTTGACGTACTGGCAACATATTTTGATATATATTTTAATCCAGGAAAATTTTTACAAAAGGGACTTGTAACCAAATATCTTTGCAATTGTAATATATTACACTCTTTAACGAATAAAAACACAGCTACATAATGGCGGATTTCATCGAATCCGAAGCTGAAGAAAGTAGCGAGGTAATTGAACTACTTTGCGCTTTTTAAATAGCTTTTGTATATTATTATAACATTTATTTGTTTGATATTGTGTTTGCCTTGGTGTACAGAATATTGGACGTTTTTTTTTCAGGAGGAAGAATTGGAACCCCATGAACGTAAAAAAATCAAAAAAGTTAAGGCAATGGATGATAGTTCTGAGGAGGAAGAAGATGGTATTTTATTCCTTCACATATTTTCTAGTACCATGCTCTATATTTTGGTTTCTAGATGAGGAAAGACTTCGAGAAGAGCTGAAAGACTTAATTGATGATAACCCTATTGATGAAGAGAGTGATGGTGAAGATTCTGATGCCTCTGGTCGAGAAAAGCGCAAGAAGTCAGATGATGAAGATCTGGATGATCGATTAGAAGATGAAGACTATGATTTGCTTGAGGAAAATTTAGGTGTGAAAGTTGAACGGAGGGTAATAGTTGTAGTATTGCTAGACTAAAATGGCAGTTTCATTTTCTTTTTGCAGAAATTTAAAAGATTAAGACGAATACAAGATGAGGAAAGTGATGGAGAAGGTGAAAATGATGCAGAACAAGAGAGGGACAATATTGCCATGGACTTGTTTTCAGAAGATGTAAGTTTCATTTGGAGGAAAAACCACCTCCCAAAAGTTGGATAAATATTTCCTCCTTGAGGACAATATTTGCTAATATTTCCTCGTATTACCCAAATGTTTCCAGTATTTCCTTATATTTTCCAATATTTATCCATATTTCGTAAATATTTCTGGTATTTCCTTTTATGCAATATGTTTAAATGATTTTTTACTATAATAGTATAATAGTATATATAATGTAATAGTATATTATGCAACGAGTTGGATAAAGGGATTTGTGTCAGAAGTTTTATTTTGGAGTGCAGCTGAGCCAGTTTTTAATAAAGGAGTGGCTTAAGCAGTTTATCAACCTATTGGGTACCATATTTTTTCCAGGACCTTTAGTTTTTGGTGCATTTTTGTAAAACAATATGAATCCATTCATGTGACATGTGGTATGACCATCAGAATTGAGTAATATTTTAGAAAGGTCCAAACACATAGAAAATGAAACTGACGTTATAAAATGACACTTTATGCACACTCGAAGGATGTATAATTGAATATTTTAACGAAGGGGATAGAAAATAATTCTAATGCAGGTTTAGGTAACTAAATGATTTTTTAAAATACTTGCCTTTACTTTTGTTTACCAACTCTTTTTTTTTGTTTTCAAGCAATTCTTTGTTTAAAATTCAAGAGTCTTTCATGTTGATAATAAAAGTTATAAATTCAAAATAAGAACTAATCAAGTATGTGCAAAGTATCTCTTTAAGCTGCCAAGTTAGTCACTGCCACTAGCTACTTCAGGCATTTCTCTTTCATGACTCAGGTTTGGAAGCAACCAGATTTTTTCGTGTTTTCGGTAGATTTTAAACACTGGTAATACTTTGATGTTTGTCAATTCTGATGGGCTCGTATGAAAATCCAATATTCTCATATATTCCACTTTATTTCCTATATGTAATGCAATGCAATATTTTCTTGTATTTCCCCATATGAAGTAAAATATTTTCTAGGTGGTTTTCTCATAACGATAATCTGCTAGTTATTATAAGTTCAATTTTAAATCAATTCTATAATATAAATGTATTTCAAGGATGACGAAAGACGGTCAGAACGCAGTCAAAGACCTCATGTTGAGGCCGAGCAGTTTGGTGAAGAGGAGGACGAAGGAGAATATGAATCAGATGCAGATGACTTTATTGTAGATGATCAAGGGCGTCCTATTGCCAAAAAGAAGAAGAAGCCAATATTTTCGGATGCCGCTCTGCAGGAAGCTCAAGAAATGTTTGGTGTTGACTTTGATTACGATGAGTTTGCAAAATATGATCAAGAGGAATATGAAGAGGATGAGGATGAAGAGGAAGATGATGAATATGACGAAGACGAAGAAGGCGAAAGGCGACGCCGTCAAAAGAAGATTGGCAAGAAGAGGCCAACCAAAAAATCCATATTTGAAGTATATGAACCTAGTGAACTCAAGAGAGGTTTCTTTACTGACCTTGATAATGAAGTTCGCAACACAGACATTCCGGAAAGGATGCAACTTCGTGATGTACCCATTACTCCAGTTGCAGATGATTCTACCGAACTTGATGATGAAGCCGAATGGATATATAAGCAAGCCTTTTGTAAAACTACGGTCTCAAACACTGACTCTCATTTAACGCAGGAAGCTCGAGAAAGACAAAAGAAAGGACCCCAAACTATTGGCAAGATTCGCAAGGCTTTGGACTTTATGAGGAATCAACAGTTAGAGGTGCCATTCATAGCTTTTTACCGGAAGGAATATGTTCAGCCGGAGCTAAACATCAATGATCTATGGAAAGTCTACAAATATGATGCGAAATGGTGCCAGCTAAAAACGCGAAAGGAAAATCTCCTGGCGTTGTTTGAAAAAATGCGTTCCTACCAGGTGGATCAGATTATGAAAGATCCTGACGCGCCCATCTTAGACAGTGTCCGCGTAATGAAAGACAGCGATCTTGAACGTTTGAAGAATGTACAAACCGCAGAAGAATTGAACGACGTGTACAATCATTTCATTTTGTATTACGCTGGCGACCTACCAGCTATGCACGCAGCTTGGAAAATTAAAGAAAAAGAAAGGTATAGATTTCCTACTTCAAACATACCCATGATTTATTTTTGTCTATTAGTTCAGCTTATTTAAGTTGGAAGCTCATAACTCAGCAGTTAAAGTAACTAAAACTATTATAGTTAGAATTAGAGCTCAACCTAATGATTTTAAAACTAGTAGGATACAAATTTCAAGAGTACTTTCATAATTGCTAGGTAATTTTTGAGAATACAGACATAAAATTATGCCAAAGTTAAAAAGAAAACACATTTTTATCCCCAATTTAAGTGGTAGAAAAATAATTAAAGGGTGTGAAAATTTCCTTATATCCATTGAAGTATTCTAAATAGTTGTAAAATATTTGGGTGACGCAAAAGCATCTTGGAAAAATGAGTTTGTAAGTAGCAGTGTTGCTTATTAAATCTCCCCAAAAAGTACATAATAAAAACAAAAATAAAAGTTTATTTTATTGAATGTAGTATAAAAAATAACCACCTTAATCAAATTGACAATAATAATAATATTGATTTTTTCATGAGCAATCAATTTATACAATTCATCTCCTCTGCATATTTAAAATTCCCATATTTTTATGGCACTCCTTTTGAGGTATTGTACTGCATAAATGCGTAAACATTCAAGAGTAACATTTTTAAACAATTGTTCAATCCATAGTTAATGCATAAAGAAGTCACTTTAATAATGCAAAATTTAATTAAAAATAAAGGGAGGGACACAGAATTTTTTATATACTAATTTTATATTTTTTCAACATGCTCTGTTAATCCTGTATGGTTTAAACAAAATCTAATATTTTCACAAGATTAAGTTTAAATTATTTACCTTCACGTGAGATAATGAAAAGTTCGATTTGAAATTTGTAATTCAAAGAAATGCGTTTGTATCAAATTTAGGCTCTTTCCGTCAAAATGGGAAAATAGCTATACAAAGTAAAAATTATATAAAATGTAGAATAAGGTTCTTCTTAACATTTTAAGTTAAGTTTAAATTTATGTTTTCCTCTTTAAAAAAATCGAAAAAAAAATCATTATAAACACCTATGGTGAAATAATAAAACCAAAAAGTTTGCGCTATACTATAGGATTAGGTTTAAATAAACCCCAGAAAATTAAAAATGCTTAAAATATTCCTTTGACTAAGTGCATTAAAAACCCACATTTGGGAGAGGGTAATTAAGTCCAACTATTTTTAATGAATGATGCAAATCTATATAAAAAAACAATGTATAAATTCACACTTTTGTTTTTCAAATGTCCAAGAGTTTACTACGGTCGTTTATTTACTCTCGAAACTCCCAATATTACTTCCTGCAAGGTAATACTTTGAAGTAGCCTTAAAGCGAGTTAAAATTTCCTACCTCGGTGCTCAATTTAAGATTATTTTCCAGGAAAAAACAAGAGAGGCGCGAAGCGCGCCTACGCGAGATAGCGGAGAGCGAGGAGGGCGCGGAAATCCCCGACGAGGTCGATGAAATCGACGACGAAGAGCCCGAACAAGAGACGATCAAATACGCGAATCGGTCTGGCTCGTACGCGCTATGCAGCAAGGCCGGTTTGGACTCGCTCGCCAAACGTTTCGGTTTGACGCCCGAATACTTCGCGGAAAATTTACGCGACAACTACCAAAGACACGAAGTCGAGCAGGAACCGACAGAACCGACGGATCTCGCTCGCGAATTCCTCTCCCCGAAATTCTCGACCGTCGACGAAGTCCTCCAAGCGGCTAAGTACATGGTGGCCTTGCAAATCGCTAGGGAACCGTTGGTGAGAAAATGCGTACGGGAGGTGTTCTTCGAACGGGCCAAATTGAGCGTGGCTCCCACCAAAAAAGGTCAAAAAGTGATCGACGAGGCTCACAACTGCTACAGCCTCAAGTACCTCAAAAACAAACCAGTGCGCGACCTCACTGGCGATCAGTTCTTGAAGTTGACGCTCGCCGAGGAAGAACAACTGTTGACGATGAAGATCAGCGACACGATCGAAGGTCACACGTCGAGCTCGTACTTCGACGAGGTGAAGCAGCTCTACATACGCGACGAGTTCAGCAAAAATGTGCAGGAATGGAACTCGTTGAGGGCGGAGTGCGTCGAACGCGCCCTCAGCCGTTGCATCATTCCCGATTTGCAATTGGAATTGAAACGAGTCCTGCTTGCAGAGGCCAAAGATTTCGTGCTCAAAGCGTGCTGCAGGAAGCTCTACAACTGGATCAAAATCGCCCCGTATTCCGTCGCGTTCCCCGACGAGGAGGAGGAAGAGTGGGACACATCGAAGGGCACGAGGGTGATGGGCGTGGCCTACGTGCCCGACTACTCGCAGTCGGCGTTCGCGTGCATAGCGGCGCCCGACGGAGACATCACCGACTACCTAAGGTAGATAAACAAGCATACAATGTACTTCGACAAGCTAAATTATTATTACAACTAATTAATTAGTAAACAATTACAAACACAAAGATTCAATTTTCAATTATTTTTTTGTTCGATCTATTCGATTATTATTTGTTTTGTAACACCTGCAAAGCCATAAAATGGCACTTAAATGGAGGATCTTACAAATTTAACCGTGACCAGATTTTAGTTCCTTATAAAACTTTTATTCTCCCCATTTATGTCTAAGTAGAGGGGTAAGTTTTATAAATGAATACATTGAATGAATGAATACATGCAATGAATACATTTTTCGCGTCACATTTATGTATATCATTTGTTTACAATGTTTTTTATTTTGTGTCATCTATTTTGATATTATTATGAAAATGTCTTTGCAATGCACTTTAAACCATAATTTTGGTAAATACCTAAAATTATATCATGTTTTTTTTGCAATTAAAATGCAGATCATATTTGTCCTTTTTAAGATGTTTTTATATGGACATTCAACTAATATTAAGCACCTTGAAAACTTTTGTAAAACTTATCTAGGTATACTATATTACTCTTGCAATAAAACCTAAGGTGATTAGGAATACTTATAATATTTTAAGTTACCAAAAAGTTATTTATAAAAACCTTCATAAACTTCATAAAACTAAAAGTAGCTGGAAAAACACTTGAAAACTGTTAAGGCACAAATGTCAAATTATGCAATCATATCCTCATATTTTAGTTGTTTATTTATTTGTTCCTGAAAAAAATGTACTTAGTTTTCTATAAATATTTAGCGAAAATTTAGAATTTGACCGAACCTGCCTTTTCAAATTGTGCCAACTAAAGAAGGTGGAGGTTTTATAGTAGCTGTAGAATGTTTATTAGGTGCTTTAAAATTTATAACGTTTTTAGGAATCTTTTTAAGAAACCTGAAGTAGGCAACTCCAAAGGTTTTTATAGGTAAAGTAACGAAAACGTTTTGGATGCAATATTTTATAGGGTTTTAAGTGTTTTTGTTGGTTATTAAATTAATTAAACTTAATTGAATTAAATAAAAGCAATTAATTTACTTAAATAATTAATTTTAATTGATTTGATATAATCAATTAAATATAATTAAATCAATTATATATAATTAAATTAATTAACTAATATTTTTATTGGACATAAGACTACCCCATCTGCTGAAACGTAAGAACAGCTACCGGCAAGAGGAGAAACTAATGAAGGAGGCGGATCTGATGGCGCTGAGGAACTTTATATATAACAAGAAGCCGCACGTGATAGCGATTGGAGGCGAATCGAGGGAGGCCCTTATGATAGCAGACGATCTTAAGACCATCGTCAACGAGCTAGTGGAGTCCGAACAGTTTCCGACGATCAAGGTCGAGATCGTCGACAACGAACTGGCGAAGGTCTACGCGAACTCGAACAAGGGCACCGCCGACTTCAGGGATTATCCCGAATTGCTCAGGCAAGCGGTGTCGTTGGCACGCAAGATGCAGGACCCGTTGGTGGAGTTTTCGCAGCTTTGCAACGGCGACGAGGAAATACTGAGCCTGAGGTTCCACCCGCTGCAAGAACAGTTGCTGAAGGAGGACTTACTCGAAGCGTTGTGCCTCGAGTTCGTCAACAGGACCAACGAAGTCGGCGTCGACATTAACCTCGCGGTTCAGCAGGCCCACAAGAGTTACTTGGTGCAGTTTATATGCGGTCTCGGGCCTCGCAAGGGTCAGGCTCTGTTGAGGGTACTCAAACAGACCAACCAGAGGCTCGAAAATAGAACGCAGCTGGTCACCGCTTGCCACATGGGTCCGAAAGTGTTTATTAATTGTTCGGGCTTCATAAAGGTAATAATCAGGAAAATTTAAAAACTAGTTTCAAATCTAACTAATTACTGCTTACAATATGCCTAAAAAGTTGCTCCATCAGAAAGAGATACAGAAAATTTGTCGATTAAAATTAATTAATATCATTGGAAATATTCTGAAGTAAATTCTGTAATAATTTTGGAAACAATTCTTTTGTATTATTAAATACATTTATCTATTTTCCTTGGATTTTAAATAAGTTGTAACATCAGTCATAACTGGAAATTTAACCTAGTAATTAGTTCTATCTGTACTTTTGATGTTTTTTTTGTAGCCTGTGTTGCATTTTTATTAATGATTTTAAAAATTTACTTCAATAACTGAATCATAACTTTTCTATTGGACAGTGTTAACGTTTTTTATTGTTCTAAGTTATTAATATAAAATCAGGTTCCCTTTTTAAATTATTGTTCGCAAAGTTAAGCAATTTTTAAAAAAAAATTATAGTGATTTCTATATATATTTAGTATAAATATGCGGCCAAAATAATGCTACCATAATCAAGCTTCGATTGCACTAGACTATAATAAAGAATTTTCAGAATGGTTTCCCATTTGATTTCTTTTACATTTCTAATTAAGGATCCAAGATTTCTATGACTTGGATCAAACATAACGCCAAGGTCATCTTTTTGGTAACTCATTTTGTACTTTGTACGTACTACTTCACCCCCTACCCCCGCAACAAGAATCGAATTTTGTTCCGTTCAGCTGTCATTCTTCATTCATTCATTAAATCTAGCAAATTTTCTTTTGACCTCTTTAATGTACTATTACCATCTTCTCGTATTATCCTAAAATCATTTTCAGTCTCTATTTTTCTGTATATTTCCATATCACCCGCATATAGCCAGATATTTGAATGGTAATGCTTTGTTCTATAATATATTTGAATAATAGAAATAATAGTGAAAATGAAATGAAACTGAATTATGGTTTTTAAATGAGTCACAAGTGCATTCTATTTGTCAAGTAATTCTGCAATAAACTTAGATTTGTTTGTTATTTGTTGTAGTCTTGTGGTAAACGCGGTTAAAAGCCTTTTCACTGTAAATATACACCTGCCCCCCAAATACCATTAAGATTCAAAGATTTCCAATAGTAGATCTGTGCTCTTGAAAACCATATTGAATAAACGGTAACTGCTGTTGTTTTTCAAAAAAATTGCTACATTGAATAAAATAGCAATAGAACAACAATAGTGTTTTTTGTTTTTAGTTATCTCTTTCTCTACATTAACTAAACAATAAGTTGTGAATATTGTAACTAAATCATTAGCGGGTAACGAGGCTTGCTCACTCTGATGATGGCACTATATTTTAGATTGATACGAACAGTTTAGGCGACAGTACCGAGGCGTATGTTGAAATATTGGATGGTTCGCGAGTACACCCTGAAACATACGAGTGGGCTCGAAAAATGGCGGTCGATGCGTTGGAGTACGACGACGACGAAGGAGCTAACCCGGCCGGAGCATTGGAAGAAATTCTGGAGACCCCAGAGAGGCTGAAAGACTTGGATCTCGACGCTTTCGCTGAAGAATTGGAGCGGCAAGGTAGGAAAAGTTTTTTTATTTAAGCAAAATATATTTGAATAGATTTTTTTACATCAAAAAAGAAAGAAAACGGACTTCATCAGAATTTAATTTAATTTTAGTATGTTATTACAGTACTAGTTACGTTTTAAAAAATATCTGATTTATGTCAAGTTTATATTTCTGGTTTCTGAGATATTGGGTGACAAAGCAAAAAGCGTTTTACTTTTTATATGAATTGCATGCAAAAAGGTATTTTTTTCCGAATGTTAGTTGAGATGAAGAAAAAAACTTTTTAAGGTACAAATTTTTAAAGTTTCAAATTCTGCCGATATACATTTTTTATTGTTTTCTATAAAAATGTAATGTAATGGTAAAAAAACTTATTTTTACTCTTTGTTAAACCAAAACAGGCTGTTCCTTTGTTGTTATTGTTATTATTGTTCTTATTAATATTATGTTAACATGATTTAAAAGTTATGTAAATAAATACTTTTCATGTTGACCAAGAATAAAAATTGAGGTATTTATTTTAGAGAAATATTATTTTTTATGCACCTCCTATTGAAAACAAAATTATTTGGTCGGAACTTTTAACATCAAAGCTTAACAAAAAAATTTGTTTACCCAAGCAATTGCTAGAATTTGTCCATTTTTGAAAAAAAATAAAATAAAAAAAACAAAAAAGGAACACATTCTATGTATCTAGAATGGATGACAACTAATATTTTTTAAAAATACCAAAACCAAAAGTCGAAAAAATTAGACTTTTTTGTCTACATCTTGTATACAAGGTAACTGGTAACCATATAGCAATAGTGGTTATTGGATATTTACCATACTTTTTAACACAAAATCATCTCTACTGTACTTTATGTGATTTTGCTTAATAAGTAGTTTTTTCCCTACGGCTTTGGCAGCCAATAACTTAGAAACTATACATAGAACATTATGCGTTACAAACTTTGTCACATTCTAATTGTCGAAATAGATTTCACTTTTGGTACTTCGTTGGCGCTCGGTTTTCGATCAGATATCCTACTTTGCAAGGCATTTTTACTCAAACCATGAGGTAAATAAAATAAATTTATTTTACTACTTTAATATTCCAACTCATTATAATTTATTTATTATAACAGGCGGCATAGATTGGGGTCGAAGCTCTTTAATGACCCATATGTCATTAGTTTTTGATATTTTGCCAGCGCTAATAAATTGTTTTCACTAATGTCTTCCTTGGCGGAGTTGGTGCGGCTTTCTTTTAATCTTTCTTTTCTAATATACAGTTTACGTCGTGATAGTTCACAATTATTCGTCTTAAATATTGACGATTAATTTTTCGCGCAATTTTACAGGTTTCGGCAACAAAAGCATCACGCTTTACGACATAAGGGCGGAACTGAATTCCCGATACAAAGACCTGCGAACGCCCTTCAGGTCCGCGAATCCCGAAGAGTTATTCGACATGTTAACGAAAGAAACCCCCGAGACGTTCTACATCGGCAAGTTGGTGACCGCGTCAGTAATCGGGATCGCTCGCAGGAAACCTCAAGGAGAGCAGCTGGATTCGGCGAATCCTGTGAGGAACGACGAAACCGGCCTGTGGCAGTGTCCATTCTGCCTCAAAAACGATTTCCCGGAGTTGTCGGATGTGTGGAACCACTTTGACGCTGGTTCATGTCCTGGTCAAGCGACCGGCATAAAACTTCGTTTGGACAACGGCATCTCGGGTTATATTTATATCAAGAATCTGAGCGACAAGTCGGTATCGAATCCGGAAGAAAGGGTGGGGGTGGGGCAGCTGATTCACTGTCGCATAATGAAAATCGACGTCGAGAGGTTCTCGGTGGACTGCACGTCCAAGTCCAGCGATCTGCTGGACAAGAATCACGAGTGGAGACCGCCCCGGGATCCTTACTATGACCAGGACCAGGAGGACAAGGATCTAATGACTGAGGCGGAGAAGAAAAAGGACAAGCAGAGGAAAACTTACATCAAACGCGTCATCGTGCATCCCGCTTTCCATAATATATCGTACGCCGAAGCGGAGAAATGCATGGCGAACATGGACCAAGGCGAGGTCATCATCAGACCATCTAGCAAGGGCGTGGACCATCTGACCATCACGTGGAAGGTGGCCGATGGCATTTACCAGCACATTGACATCAAAGAGGAGGGCAAAGCGAACGCGTTTTCCTTGGGGAAATCCCTGTGGATTGGGACCGAAGAGTTTGAAGACTTGGACGAAATCATTGCCAGACACGTAAATCCAATGGCTTCGCACGCGAGGGATTTGCTATATTTCAGGCAAGTTTTCACTATGTATGGGGTGGCAGGGGGGAAATCAATTAATCAATCAATTTATTCATTATTTATACAAAAGTAGTTAAATATGTTAATAAGAAGAAAAGAATGAATCACAGATTACATCATATTTGAATAAGTGCAAGGCAAGTGGTTTATTTCGGCTGTGTAGGCGGGTGGGGGAGAAATTAATTAATAAATCAATTAATTTACTCATTATTTGTTCAATAGTACTTACATACATCAATAAAAAGAAAATAATCAATCACAGTTTACATTACATTAGAATAAGTACCAGGTAAGTGGTTTATTTTCGCCATGTATGGAGGTGAAAAAGAGTTAAGTTTGTGGAGATCACTGTTAGAGGCATGCATGGAAAATCATTCTCATCATCAACATAAACTTTTACTACAACATATTGAAAGAATTTATTATTCCTGTAACCCGATTTGGTATACCCAAAATGGTATTTTTTTAAAGCCATGCTTGACTAGATGTAAACCAGCCATTATTCTGAAAAAATACAGAAGAAGTAGACTTTCAGTTTGTATTATTTTTTACGCAGAGGTTTGTAAGCTTCGTCAGTTGAATAATTATTAACTTTTAAAAGACCTTTGAGTTTTGGTTAGTTTTTATTTTTTAAATAATCAATTACTTCTCTCATTTCCTTAAATCTAATTTCAGAGAAGACAAAAATTTCCGTTCAATAAATACATGAACATGTTAAGTTCGTATTATAGTCACTAATATGACTTACTAAATCACGAGCAACACTGTGAAGTATAGATTAAATTCATCCCAAGAAATATTAGGAATTTCATTTTTTGAAGTTCTTTTTTCCTACACTTTTTAATAACAGTCCTCGAGGATTTTTCGCAGAGTTTATTTTTTATTTTTGCAGCAATCTTTGCCGCCTTAGCACTTTATAATAGGTACCCCTGAATGATCTGTAAATTGTGTAAATTATTCGGACGTCCATATCATAACTACCATAAACCGAAGAACACCAAAGAACCTAACATTATTAGGTACTACAAGGATACTGGCGGGGGCCTGAAGGACAGAGCCGAAGAATACCTTAAGGAGGAAAAAAAGAGAAATCCGTCGAAAATTCATTATGTGGTTAGCGCGTCGAAAAACTTCCCCGGAAAATTTTTGCTCTCCTACCTGCCCCGGAACAAGGTGCGCCACGAGTTCGTCACAGTCACCCCGGAAGGGTTCAGGTTCAGACAGCAAATGTTCGACTCTGTGCAGTCTGTATTTAAATGGTTCAAGGAACATTTCAGGGACCCCATTCCCGGGGGCACCCCGAGCACTCCTAGGATGTTGAGCAGCGGTCGGACGCCTTACAGCGGAGGTTCCGGAAGCACCCCGTATAACAGTACGACCGGATGTTTAAGTTTATTTCGCGGACGTTTTTATCGATTCGTTTCAGGTATGGAGACCATCCAGAGGGTCGCTCAGAATCTGCCGAGTCATATGCTGCAGAGTTTGTCGGCGGTGGCGAACCAAACGCCCCACCATCCACACACGCCGGGCGGTGGGTACGGCAATTATATAACTACTCCGTACACTCCAAGCGGTCAGACTCCGTTTATGACTCCATATCATACGCCGCACGCCCAAACTCCGAGGTAAGTGCGCTATAGCGCTGGACCGCTTTTAATATGGAGTATTTTTTTCAGTATAGAATATTATTTATTTATTTTTTTGCAAGACAAGAGTCGTTTATATCCTTTATATATATTGTATGTATGTATCTATGTATGTATCGTGCGTTCAGTTTATCTTGATAACATTTTAATTGGCTGTAACTTGTTTGCTTTTAGAGATATCAAGGTAAACAAAAAAATAAAATGTAGGGTTAGTAGCCAAGTTGTTTTCCAAGTGACGTATAAAACAAAACACTATAAATTTTCGAACATATAAGCCTACATCATATGTTTTTTTAATTTAACACCCTGTGTATTGTATATTTGTTTAATAGGATATCTTATTCCGATTACAATCAGCACACTTTGTATTTTAGTCCACTCGTTTTTGACAAATTGGCAATCGGCAATAAAAGTATGTTTGTGTTTGACGTATTAGTAAACAACGTTGATAGTTGAACTATTGTCCAAGTCGTTCTTGTTAACATGGCTTTTTGCAAATTAAACATCCGTGAAAGGAGTGATATGCTTGAAGTATACTTTCTGAACAATCCACTTAGTTTTAAAAGAATATAAATAAATTCATTTGAATTTCGTAAAACTCAAAAACTAAATGCAGAACAATGTTTGGATTTTTTAAATAGACATAATGAGAATAATAATTTTTTGAAAGTTCGTTCACAACAAGAAAGGGTTGTAACAGACAAAATACGCGATATTGGTCTTTAAATGACCCTAGACAAATTTCTATTTTTGCCAATTTGTCAAAAACCAGTGGACAAAAATATTAAGGGTGTTATATCATTGTAAGCGGAATAAGATATTTTATTAAACACAGGGTGTTCCATTTAAAAAAATATGATGTAGGCTTATATGTCTGAAAATTAATAGTGTTTTGTTTTATACGTCACTTGAAAAAAAGCTTTAATCCTTCATATATACAGAGTGTTCCGTTCATCTGGGGTAAATACCATTTTTCTTATTTTGAATAGACAAATCTGAAATTTTATGTCAAAAATAACTTTTGTAGGCTCCGAATATAATTAAGATTGCATGGGTTTCTTGTGGACGGGGCTTATTATCATATATTGAGTGAATATTATGGATGTCAATTGATCCAGGGTCAGCAAAAATGAGTCCAAAATTTAAATGATAAAAAACGTAAAAAGACAGCAATTTTTTCAAATGGAAACCTAATACTTTTGTAATTTTACCCGATTTTTTGGAATTAATAGTTAGGGTGACTTTGTTTTAAGATCTATTTCTGAAATAATTGGCAGTTTAACATTTTGCTGCTGTAATAATGCTACAATGCGGCTGTTAGGGCCTGAAGACGTTATTTTTAACATAAAATGGGAGCTAGGTATACATAAAATATATCTAGAATTTCCAGAACAATTCAAAAATTCAATAATGTAGAGGATGTTCTATTTAATATAAGAAGGCTGGTATTTATCTCAGATGAACGGAACACTCTGTGTATATATGAAGACTTACAAATTAAAAAATTTAGATGAATGTATGCAGTTGTAGTTTCTCAGTTTGTCTCAAACAAATTCTTTCACAAACTTTAATTTGGCAACTAAAAAATAACTTAAGTGTAGAGTCAGAAATTACGGACCACTAGTTAAGTTAAAGGTATTGAATGAATTAGTTGGTTAGTTTTATACCATAACCACGTACCATGTACCAAATAACTAGCCTAAATACATATTGCATCATATTTATTGAAATTAACATGAAATAGTTGCCATAAATATATTCCAATCATTTGCAATGTTAGATTATTTGATAGGAATCGCGATTGTCAGTCTAAGAGTGAGATGCTCGGTTGCGACCATAAGGTTATAAAGAATACCATCTTTATCCTCAAATTAAATATCAATTCGCCATTGGGTTGGGGTTCAGATTTACTAATTAGATTATATAACGTCATTAAAATAACACTCGAAATATTTTTGTCACCTTATTTGTTTTGCGATGAGCTAAAATAAGCCTGCTGTATGCTTATAGGCGCAAATATTACCAAAACATTAATTTTGGCTTGACATAACCTAACTTTAGTCGCGTTCTTCTTCCATCCGGGTAAATAAGTGAAACGAACGATTTAAATTCGAATCCGGACTACAACTCCGCACAATCAATTTTGCAAAATACGCGATAGGTACGGCCAATCAACACCATCGCCGGTGCCGAGCAACGGTAGCGTGCAACCGGCTGCGCAGCAACCCCAATTCCTACACCCGGGCTCCATAACTCCAGCGAATCGTACTCCGAGCTACCGATCGATACCCGCGAATTCGCCGATGATTAGTCCACCCAGTTCGGCACCAAGCCCATCATCGATGAGTTCGTACTCGAGCATGAGCCGTAGGGGACCGCCTTCCATGTCAGGCTACCACATGCCTCCTGCAAGATACGGCAACTCTGAATCAATGGATTGGCAAAAAGCCGCCGAGGCGTGGGCAGCGAGATCTAGAAGTATGTATCTGGTGATGATTCTCTAGAAAGCAGCAGCAAAACAGTAGAAATATAAAATATTTTAAGATCAAACTGAACTAAAAAAAAAATGAATCCATAATAGCAGACTTGAGGCCCTCTGGTGTTCCGCCCTCATAGATGTGTACTTGGTTTTGAACTGAGTATTCTCGAACGTTATTAGAATATTCTTGATTTACCTATTTTATTAAATTGGTCTCGAAACCTTTACCTTTATTAACTATAAATAAGCTTTTTCTACTCCCGTCTGTACAATACCTAATTACACATCGATCTAGCGTGCGGGAAGCGTCACTTTACCACGTCAGTTTCGTTTCCCACGGATCCGAGACACTTCGGACATTTCCGGGATTTTACCGCACGCGTTTGGGTGCAATCGGATGTTTTCGGAGATATTTCCCACGCTTTGAATTTTGACGTTTGTCAATTCTGAAAGTCATATCAGTGAATGTATTTGTATTTTTTTGCGAAAATGTATCCAAAAACTAACGAGTTCAGTTGATATTCTTACACGTGCCCTTCAAAAGTTTAGTACACTTACTGCTACTGCTATAATTCTTTCTGGTGCCAATTTTTCTTAGCTTTTCTGCGAAAAATGTTAGTTGAGTTACATGTGCTTATTTTTTAGTTTTTTTTCCGTTTGTGTAAAACAGATTTAATTTTTATGAGTTTTGTAGTGAAATCAAATATGTGTATATGAAATAATTACTTAATACCGGTAACTATTGATGATTTTACTAAACGTTGTGTACCGTTTGCAGCGACGCCACGCAGCGAGGGTCGTAACACGCCTCGAGGTCAGGGCGGTCAACGCACGCCGAGGTTCGACGATCTCCGAAGTGACCTCGAGAAAACAAGGATGAAGAACGTGGGCAAGAGCCCAAGGTCATTGCGGTCGACGCCGCGGACTAACGTATCGCCGCACTCCATGTCGTTGGGCGACGCCACGCCCCTCTACGACGAAAGTATATAAGACTACTTTCCTATTATTTGTAAGTAGGTTTAAACGATCATCTGTACAGTTTACGGTTTAACATTTTATCCACGCAATTGCGGGCCGCATGGAGTGTATTTATGTTTTCTCCCCAGTCTTTTTTTATTTGTATATGCGAACCGTTTCGTATGGCCGCCGTTCTTTTTTAATTAAATTAAACCCGTGTAAAATAGTTGCCAATGGTGTTTTTTTTTTTTTTTAATAGCAACCAATGAGTGTTTTTGTTTTTACCGGACAATCTGGTCGCTGACTCGGCGCCTATTGGCAATTTTAGAATTCAATGATTGGATCCCTGGCGGATCGTTTGGTGTCGTTCGCGATTCAGTACGTTCATGGATTCATCCGAATGTTCTACATTAATAATAATAATAATATTTAATTTCCAAACCAATGAATACAATTTTTGTATAGGAAATTGTCAAAAAAATAAAATAAAATGACGCATAAGTACTCTTCTACTGAGTACAGGCATTTAATCACAAAATATTCCTTTAAAATTTTTAAAAATGCACATAAATTAAAACACATTTTTATTTCTTTCGATAAAGGGTTAAAAAATCTCACACCATTTACACTTGGGATTCTATAAGAACTCTTATATTTTACATAAGGAACTGTAAAATCGTCTTTAGATCCTGTATTCACTAAGTGAAAATCACTGTTCAATACAAAACCTGATTTATTTTGAAACACATAAACACACTTTTCAAACGCATATAGATTATACAATATTAAAATATTATTTTTTTAAAAATAAGTTTTACAAGATTTGGAAATACCAGCCATACATCTTATGGCCCTTTTTTGAACCACAAACACATTTGTTGAATCAGTCGACCATCCCAAAATTATACCACACGTAATTTTACTCTCAACATGAGCGTAATAAATTATTTCAGTGCATACCCCATCTGTTTTATGCATTAGGCTAACATATTGTTATAAAATAAATAGGACTCCGCAAATTTCAACGGAGGACCGCTTATACCATTGCAAGAAATTTTCCATAATAGTATGTCATGATCTACACAATCGAATGCCTTGCTGAGATCACAGAATACCCCAAACAGGACAATACCCCTTAAGAATAAAGTAACTGCTTGTGTGGAGGATCTCCCAATTCGAAAACTGAACTGATTACTCAAACAACTGAACAACTCAAACAACTTTGAGAAAACCATGGTGACTGTAACAGGTTTGTAATTATTAATATTTGTTTTACTACATTTTTTATATAATAATCTTTCAAATTTTTTGGCGCGAAAGAAATTAAAGGATAAATTTACTAGATGGCCTGATTAAAAAGTGCATCATCACATCCAGCAGAATCTTTATTTTTAAGCTTTTTTAATAAGTAAACTGTATAGCTCTTCTTCAAAAAAAGACGTTAAAAAGTTATTATAATAGTTCGACGTTCTGAAAATTCGGGTAATTTTGTGGATTGTTTGGGAATACTTCCGGTTATTTCCAAAAGAGCCTAAGAGCGTCCCTGAAACAATCATTGAACATGTCTGATAGAACCTCAACTTCAATTTTTTTATTATTACTCTCAAGTTAAATAATATTGAGTTTTCTCTTTCTATTAGTTACTTCTGCAACCACGTTCCAAGTGGATTTTGTTATATTTTCAGAAAACAATTTTTTGTTGGCAAAAGCTTTTCTTTTTATTCCTTACTAGCCTCTTATGCTCGATTTTAGCCAACCATGTCTGTCTCCTAAATTTTCATATTTTCTGTTTTTGAACCAAATACGTATTTAAGTTCCCTCTTGATTTTTTACATCATAGCGTATCCATGATTTTTTACTATTACACATATAAAATTCACGTTTAGGAAGATACGTGTTCAAATTTGACAAAAACACCAAATAAAAATAGTCAAACGCAATACTGCACTACAATTAAAAGAAAAGCTTACCGGTTTCAAATCCAAATACAAAACAAATTCCTCTGTTGATGGATATCACTCAAGAAAAAGTAAATAACAATAGTTTTTGATTTAAGAATTTTATTCCTTAAACTCACCAAACACATATAGCCAATATATCTGCAACTTACCGACAAATGAGCCAATCAACGCGATATATAGATACTTTTCAATATTTAATTGGCCCTTTATATTATAGGGACCACACACCACAAAAACTAACAGAGCCACTAATAATAGTTTATTGTAGCTTAGTCAAAGGTTCAATGGTAACATTATGGAATATTTCCAACTGGCCAAGTTTGATTACTGTTAGCACCGCCACCGTTGGAAAATAAATTTGCGAATCAAAAAAAAATCAAACCGAAAAATAATTATTTAATAAGGCGATAAATACATCATTAACAATAAACAACTTACAATTAATCCGAAATGTTCAAATTAACATTTAACAAAAGCTGGTTTTCAAAGCTAAAAGTAAAAATAAATAATGATTTATATTGATCTTTTTATTCATGGTATTTAAAGACGTCAAACTTCCGGTAATTAATTTAGTCGACCAAATCCTTATCGCAGTGCAGTCGTTTGTTGGTTTTATGTTGAATTTGAAAAACGTCAAACGAGAAGGAAGCCTATATTTTGTGACTCATGTGACGGTCGACAATGTGACTTATTAAAAGCGGTTTCTGCGGATATGCGTTGCAACAATAGGGACACACGAAAAACTTGTTGGCGACGCTACCGGGTGCATTTTGTGGTGCAGCTCGGTAGCTGAATAAGCTTTCGAACAACTGCTGCGCGCTGTGCACCCGTAGGTGGTGGAGGAGACTACACTTGTGTTCATACCACGCGAGACAGACGTGACAGCACCAGAGCTTATTACCATGCCTAAAATGGTTAAAAATTTGGTGACCCTCAAAACATAAGTGCTGGCGCCGACGTTGAGAACGTTTAATACAAGTTTTACCTCCTAAGACTAAAAGTTCGTGAGAGTTTCATTCACCAATTAGAAAAACAATTCATATACGATTTGGACCAACTAAAGTTTTAATGCATAGTTCTTGTATTAAATTTTGCAGCGAATTTGCAAACTAAAAGTTACTAAATGGGAAACAATTTGCCTGTTTGACTAACCTTTCGGCACTTCCCTATCTACATTTTAATTTTTACTTTTTTGTGATTTTAACAGTTTTCGGCGACCATTTTGTTGAATTGTTTTGTATTAATGCGTATCGATCAGACGTTGTGATATGTCAAGAGAAGTATTGGAGATCACGACTATCGCCCCAGAATAGAAAGTTGTTTGTATATTCTGTGGCATAATGAAAAATGAGTTTTCTATGTCACGATCGAAAAGTTCTTTGGTCCGGACTACATTTCGATTTACAAACTCGTCCTATATTAAACATCAATTACCACAATAAGCTGAAAGTTTGCCCGACACGTCTATCTTATTCCACATTTTAAGTTTATATTTTCGTTTTTAATAAGATACTCGGATGTTGATATAAAAATCAGAAGGGAGACATGAAATTTTTTTTGAGATTATAGAGGTTATACTTCCGTGTTTAATAAGATACTCTGATAATGATACCAAAATGAGAAGGGGGAGACATGGAAATGTTTTGAGATTATAGAGGTACTCTAACTCGTTTTTCCTGTGTTGATACTTACAAAATAGTAATTGCATAGTACACTATTGATAAAGAATCTGAAACGAATCAAAAACTGAAACAAAATATAGTCGACGCTACGTCATCACTTAGTGCATGGCCCAAAGTTTATATCGCTGCATTGCATTTGCCAGAATTGCCAATTGCGAAACAGACTTAAGGCAAAATTCTCGCAAGACATAACCCCATAAGGTGGTCCAGTGTGTTATAAAAGAGGGCTTCCGTAGAAATTTTCGGGGAATTACGTGAAACGTCAGCAATGACTTATATGTACCACGCTTCGGCATATAATGCTAGGAAAAAAATTGGCCCAATCCAATTACTTACCATCCTTGGTCAGCCGCTTGCTTGTTGTGTTTAACCACTGATAAATCTAGAGGATTCGCATAGTCTGCACGATCAAAGCAACACGCAGACCCACTCTTCTTGGGTCTTGGATAACAAGTCTTGCAAACTGCATTCGGCGTTTTTTCGCTCGGGACACTGCTCGGGGTCCAATTTCTCACATTTCCGGCCTCTATTTGAAACGCCGGTATATGGTGCTCGATATCCTGTAATTTCGGGCCGTCCCAAATTCCAACATCGGGAATTAAAAGTTGCGTGTCGGTCACGTCAATTTTGTCTTCGAAAAAATGGTCGCTGCCTTCGTCGGTTGTAAACGCGTTCGTCTCATTTTTTCTGATCTCGACTTCGTCGAAAATGTCGTCGTCCTCGTCCGCCAATCTATCACTCGAACAAGAAGATGACTTGGAAACCAGATCGATGCACACAAGCTCGTCCTTATCCTTGTCTTCCCCGGTTAGGTCAATCAGGGCGCACATATTGTCCAATCCGAGTTTTTTGGATACACTTCGGAGCTGATTGTTCGTCAACTGCATCACATTATTTTCGCGACGGTAGCTGTTCAACGTCTCCTCCACTTTGAAGCATTTAATTTTAAAATCGTAAATATTTTTCGCGTTCGTCCAGCAGCCGTGACAAATGACGTCGCTTTGAAATCTCTGCAAAGGGAAAATCAAATGGACGCACATGGAATATGGACGAAATCTCGGTCAAAAATCCAGCGCCAATAATTCGAACCCAGGACACATGACACACCACCAATCAATTAAAAAGTTTCAATTCTTGTTTCTGTGGTATATAATATTTAATATTCATATCAATTCGGCTTCGATACTAAACATATATATATATATATATATATATATATATATATATATATATATATATATATATATATATATATATATATATATATATATATATATATATATATATATATATATATATATATATATATATATATATATATATATATATATATATATATATATATATATATATATATATATATATATATATATATATATATATATATATATATATATATATATGTGCTTCTTTGTGTTTATTATGATTCCACGTTCCATTCTAAAAGCCTTATTGGACGCATTTCCGAAATCTGTAATTGAAATGAAATTGCTTTTGATTTCTTATACTGGATATATTCCTTTCATAACAAACAGCTGCTTCGGAAGTGCTAAATGAGTTTAAGTAACTCTTCTGCGTACAACGCCGCTACATTTGACACACCGTAGTATACGGTAGAGGCGCTGAAAAAAACTGTATCGTTAAAGAAATCTTTATCGCTACTAACATATGTACTTTTTTCAAAACTTCTTGACAGTTTCAGTCAAGCTTTGAAGAAGACAACAGCCAACGCCAACTGGATCACTGGATAAGGTTTGCAAACTATCAGGTCGATATATCCAAATTTTTAACGCCTAGTTGTATTGAGCGTATTGATATCGCTTTTACTATAAAATTCAGGCTTTGGTCTATCGACTAGCAAACCCAAATCTATTAAAAGTTAATCCTGAATTATTTATTAATTTTTCGCTACTTTTTCTAGTTTTTTTAAGTTTATTTCTTAGTCAATTTGACTAAATGATATTTCATAAGTACCACAAAATGAAATAATTATTGATGAATCTATATCCACATCATAAAAAAATTACTATATCATCGCTAATACAAATCATTTGGGTAAAGTGGCAAATAACGAATACTCACAAAATCCACCATTTTGATTTTTTTGAGGTTTCATTTTCTGCAAATATTAATTATAAAAAATAAGTAGAGAAAACGCCGACTTTTTTATAGTAACACATTTTTTGGGTCTCTTGAGATTCATTGAATAAAAGTATTAAAGTGGTTTTAAAAGAAATGTTGAACTGAACTTTGAGCTTGTACGTTATTATAGCCAGGTAACCAGGTAATCAGGTGCTAATGGAAACTCACAAGTTGCCATGTTTGAATTTTGGCCTGGATTTTTTCCGAAATTCGTCTCCGAGGCGCTACCCATGACGTCAAAGAAATTATACACTCACTGTGGTTGTCAGGACAGTTTCAATTACGTCCGTCATCGTTGTGATCAAGTCGGCGTCGAGATTATGCATATTGACATCGTCTTTCGATTGTAATTTCGCGCACAAACCACATACTGGTCCGTTCTTGGACAACGACGCATTTGATTTTCGTGACGCTTTCATCTTAAATTTTTTCGCGTCCATAACCGCCGCGAAACATTCGTCGCATAAAGCGATTGATTCGGTCATGTCTAATTTCTGAAAGATTGTAAAAACTTTCGAAAAGTGTAAAGTATGATTGACTGGATTTTTTTGTGGTATCTGGCACTCACGTTCAAAATTTGAATTTTTGTATGGTAATTATTATATAACGACCAGTTACATTGAGGGCTGATGCTGATAACAGAGAACTTGTAACAACAAAAAATATATCCCATTCGATTTTCAACTAGCGTATGCGCGCGTCACTTCATGTGTCGCATCCAATATGGCGACTGACAGCACCGAATATCAATTCGGTGGCTTTCGCTTTGGTCGTGGCATTTCTTGCAAAATATTCGGGAAACAATGAGTCAAGTGTGCAGACATCGCGAAGGCTGCCGGTTAGTGTGTTAATTTTATGTACACGAACGAAAAATCATTCGCTGCTGTGTAAGAAGGTCATAGCCGCCTGATGTGCCACTTTATTACGTTTATTTTGTACCCATTCGTATATAGTGGTTATCGTCTTAGTATCCATATAACAGGTAAGTCAATCTATTTTTAATTTATCTAGCAACCGTAAGAGTTTTGTTTCAAAAATACGTATTTTGAATCTTTCCGTAACGTGGGAGAATCCCAATATTTTTACCATACTTACGATTCCCGGAAACACCTTTAACAGAACTTGGCGATATTGACGTTTACGCGCATTTAAGTTCTGGTTCGAGCATTCTCGCAAGCACAATCTGCACGGTTCTTCACACGAAGACATCGTTCTGTTGATACGCTGCTCGTAAGGCCAATAGTTCTCTAAACATCACCAATATTTAAATATCTAAACACAGGCGGTCGCACTTCTAGCGTGCGATAAAAACGCCTGTTTGGTACAAAAAATTGCTTTGTCGGCGAGTGCCGTTTTTACAACAACCTGTTAGGAAAAAAATGCTTTGAATGCTTAAATGATGAGACTGAAATTTAATACTAACACGAAGTTGGCTGTGGGGATCATATGCCTCCCGTCCTTTAACATGAAATAAAATAATAAATAGGTAATTTCAAGAGTACGTACTTTTTGAGATTGAAAACAGTTTCGTTGGCAAAAATTAATGGTGACTTTGTAAGAACTTGTAATTGTAATCTCGGGGGATTGGTATGTCTGTTTTTATTTCGTTTAGTTGTTTGCTGGAAATTATTATTTCATACCTTTTTTCAATTGAAGAGACTCTAAATTAATTATATTATATGATGATATATAAATAAACTATAAACATAAATAAATCAATAAACGTAATGGACGAATCAATAGGGAGATTTTAAAATCCATGTCGATCATTTATGTTTGGGAAACAGGCCAAACTCTTTTTCTGATGATTCTGAAGATGTTTAAAATAATTTATAAGCAACCATTTGCGTATAATAAAAAATGTAAAATATTTTTTAAATCTATATATTTTTTTGTAAAGAGAAGGTACAGAAATCAAAAAAACCTTTTTTGTAAGTTTATTTTTGTATACATTCAATAGCCAAATTAAAAAAGATCTTATCACCTTTGTCTTTGGTATATTAAAATGCCTCTTTTTATTTTCCATTGTTCTAATTTAATAAATAAAATTTAATAAATAGATGCCAAATCTTTTGTTTAAAACAATTAACTACGGGTTAATTGTGTGTTTAGTCTAGGGCTCCAAAAAATGTAACTCTAGGAAATTTATAAAGGAACCAAATAAAGAGCAGTTTGTATTTTGGTTATGATAACGTCACATACATAACAGATAGGTTCTTAATTGCCGGGAATATCGATGAGGAGCAGTTGGTTTACACAAATGGGAAATTTTGCCTTCTTTCTGGTCCACGTTTTATGCATTTTTGTCGTGTTGGCTTTGCAATATTGGAATATGATTTTTTGCTTCATTAAAAACATCTGCGGTACCTCTGGCTTTATAAAGAGTGTTTCGAATTATAATGGAGAATTTTTAACAGCGTGTTGAGTAGATAAAAATAAATAAAAAGTTCATATAAACTTATTTATAATTTTGTAGCCCTCAACTAAGAAATATTATACACAATAAGTACAAATTTGACACTAAAAAACAAACTTCGTTTTAAATCTCGTAGTACATGCATAGTAATGTCTCGAACACCTCTTAAGGCTGTGCATTCATTTAATATATAATACAAGTGCTACTGAAGAAAATTGCTCTTTTTCTGCAAGTTTCTGTTAGTCAATTCAAATTTGATAAAAAAAAACAAACAAACCTATTCATTCTTTTCACCTTCTGACATGATGGTTGCATTATTATGTTGAAATTGGTCTACATCTGATGCTTTTTTTCATGCCATCGCTGTGGGTTGCTAAATATATTTCGTGGCAATTGGTCTGGGTTTTAAGAAAAGGCGCTATTAAATTTGCAAAAATTGTATATTGGTTGAAACATTAGTAAATAAGTGTAGACTTAACAATACATTTGTTTAGCAAACTCTTACATTAATATTGTAAACAGTAATTTAATATAAAAATATATATTTTTGAAACTGGCGTGGGTGGTTCTGTTGGGAATTTGGCAATTCTCAATAAACAATCATTTGCTATTATTGACTCAAACTGAAAAAAAAACTGTTTTTTTTTTATAAACACACTCAGACAAGTTAGACGTAAAGTAAAGAAGTTGGACAGTATACATTAGTAGACCACTGGAGATAATATCAAAAGCTGTTAAAGGCACTATATCACGAATAGGGAAGACGCCATTTTTCCGCAACACAATCACTATAGGCACAATTACAAATCTCCCTTCTAGATACTAAAAGATATCTTCAAAAAGGCACTATATTGCTTTCACTTTCTGTCACCTTACAATACTTTCAAAAACGTAGTTTCTACTTAATTGCTATTGAAACTGATGCCCAAATGAAAGTAATATCAAAAGGACTCTATCAAAAGGACTCTTCTCAATTCCTGTGCAGTTTGAGGTGATGTATGAAATGCCGCCTGCTCGTCGATTTGTGCGTGCACTTGGCACACTCAAAATAGTCAGTTCTGGAAGGATAGTGGACCTCAGACAGATGCTTGATCCACAAACTCCAATTACATTTAATTTGGTAGGAGCATAACGGACACTGGATGGATTTCTTGGTGTAGGTATCGGACTCCAACAAACTAAAAACAGAAGTCATAAATTGTATAATTTTTTGAATATGAACAGGCCCCCCCTTTTTGAGCAGATTAATGCCAAAATACACCTCCATCAAAACCACCCAACACAACCATCATTTCTGAAAAGTGCACTTACATGACATCGGAACAATTCTCTTCTTTCGTGAGCGCCATCGAATTCAAACTGATCGCCTGTTGGGTGCAGTGCACGTTCTGAGTGTGAATCCTCAGGTGTTCCTTCCGCTTGGCCTTGTAGGGACAGTGCAGGCACTGAAATTTCAACACTTTCTCTGGACGCTGGTGTTGCAGCATGTGAGTGACCAAGTGCGATTTCCTCTTCGCCTTGTAATGGCATTCACTGCATTCAAACTTGTAGGAACCTTCGTGGACCAGCATGTGCGACACCAGGTGGGTCCTCTTCTTGCACGTGAGCGAACAGTACTCGCACTTGTACCTGTAGATTTTTCCCTTTGATTGGTCGTGCAACTGCATGTGATCTTTTATCGACGTTATATAATAACACTTGTCGCACTTGTACACTTTTTCGGTACTCTTGTGCGCGCGGCAATGCGCGACATACTGTTCCTGTCTAGCCGTTACGTAAGGGCATTCGGGGCAGGTATACTCGAAACCCAGGTCGATTTTGCCGGTTTTCGAATTCTCGCGTTTAACGAGGGAACCACGCTCGTCCTCGTCCTTTAGGCACGTGTGATTTTTTAATGCGGTTCGGTCAGTGGTGTTAAAATCACAATTCGGACACTGCAACGCTTTGCTGGACGTGTGGACGGCCATGTGCCTCAGAAAGTTGCGCTTTATTTTCGTGGAGTAGAGACATTTCGGACAATCCAAGCTTTTGGCGTTGTCGTCGTGGAGTTTCATGTGTCGCGTAAGGTGCTGTTTGTATTTCGTTTTGAAAGGGCAGACGTCGCAGTGCCACCCGTTAGTGCCTTCAGTGTCTTGATTATTATTCCGACTCCGAATTCTATTTGTAAAAAAAAACAGTAGGAATATCATATTTACATCAATAATTTTTTTTGTTATCCCTATAGTTTTGACAGATTTAATTATACAAAAAAGAACCATAGTATAAATCAAAATCGTTGAAATATGCGTTTGTAAAATAAACAAATTTATCTTGTAACTTTAATAAAATCGTTAGTCGTAATAAAATAATTTTCTGATCGATGCTAAAGTAGTCTGAGAGGCTTAGACCATCTCTTTAATATATTTGCAATGGTGATACTTCCTGTAAAATGTTATAATTATAGTTGGGAAACTGTACATATTAGGATGTTGCACTTTACCCTGCTTAGGCTTGGACGGCAACACAACATTACAATCTCACATTCGGATTTAAATTCTGAAAGTCGGGACAGAGAATAAAATAATAAATAGATGTTTGTTATCAATTTAAATGCCCACAATATTTTTATACTGTTCCGAATGATGGGTTTTTAATATATCAAAAAATAATAATAAAGTTGATGATTATTTTGGCAAAACGTTTTTTTTTCGTTAATGGCGATAGTTATTGTATTGTATTGTTTTAATTTACTTACTCCTTAATTTTCAATGAACTAGTTTTCATCGTGGCAATCTTTTGGTTCCGATGCACGATGTTTTCGTTATTGCATTCGTATTCGTATTTGTGATTATCGATGCTCTTTTTCCCCGGATCGCATTGTTCCGCACTTCTCTCATTGTTTGTCGCTTCGTATTTTATCTGTTCACTGTTCTGGTCTGTTATATCGCTCTCTTCATTTTTCTTTGGAGGGTCGGTTTTTGTAGGAACCGTTTCCGCGCTTTTTTGGTCCGAGAATTCAATGTTCATGGTGACGGTTGCCCCCGAAAAATTTGTCCTGGTCGTTCCATTAATCGTGATAACGTTTGTGATGTTCACTTGACCATTATCATTACTCGCCGCTTGGTCATTTTCTTCTTTTGTGCTTACTGTGCTTTGACAATTAATTTGCTCAGACACCACTGATTTGCAATTATTGCTCTTATTTTCTTGCAAGACTATATCCATGGTCTGCTTTTTATTATCAGGTTTTAAGGACACTACTTCCATTTCTTTTAAGTTACAGCTATCATTTAATGGCCCATTGCATTTTGGAATTATGGTAGTTAGAGCAGGTGAGGCTAAAGTGTGTTCAACACCCTTAGGCTGAGCTGTTTCAACTGTTGCACATATTTGATTACTTTCTATGACAGTCTTCTGAGTACTCTCCTGACATTCAGTCTCACATATTTTACCATTGTGTTTGGTAAAATTTTTTATTTCTTTCCTGTCATTGTTAGAGGTATGCCTTTCTATTTGTGTCGAAATTATCAGCGGCGAAGGAACGAGGGGCGCAATTTTATTTTGAGCATTTTCTTTAATATTTTTCTGGCCATCAATGTCAGTTTTATGTTTCAAATCTCTTCTAATGGAATTAAACAATTTTAAGTTTTGGTTCCATTTTTTTGAGCTCTGCACAGTGTTACTATATTGATTGCTCACATGGGTTAATTTTTGTTGACCACCGGTGCCGCTGGATTTTCTCTGAAAAACGCTGACTTCCCCATACTTATCTAAATTAAATAAAGTCCTTTCAAGCAATGGACAGTTTACTTGGGATGTATTGGCAGTTATCTGGTCTTCCATTTTACTGTTTTTAGGTGCAATTTGGTGTTTTGGGGTGGAGGTATTAATATTAAGTTGCATAGTTTCATTTAACTGTGATTCGCCAGCTTGATGGAGCTGTCTGTCCATGTCGTCGATACATATTGAGTTTTCTTGGGGCCAAATTGAATCCAAAAAGTCTTGCAGGTCTTGTATATAAGCATAGTGTTCAGTATTAAAACTTGCAAAATCCATGGAAAATTCATCATCTGAATTTAGTGAGTTTGAAAACTCCAGTATTAAGTCGTTTATATCAATCACGTCATTGGTTTCGGTTTCATTGCAACACTCTTCTCTTTCATAAATTTCCTCAAAAATTTCTTCTTTTATTTCTGGCAATTGATTTTCAAATATAAAATTACCATCAACCCTATCGCTATAACGAAGTTCATTTCCCTTAAAAATTGTACAAACTGAAAGTACTTTACTAGGAGGTTCGTCCTTTGCAGTGGCTTCTTTTAGATTGTTGCCACCACTGGTGAAATTGGCCTGATCTATGGGCTTTATAAGTTTGTCTATGAAACTTGCACCATTTTTAAAAAACCTTATTAAGCTAGGCCCTTCAAAAATTCGTTTCTCAATTTGGAGTAGGTCTATGTGTCTTGTCTTTTGGCGAAATACTGCAATTTTTTCCTTCACTACTCCAATGACCCTATTATTTTCAAAATACTTTTTAACATGGCTCATATAACATTTACTAATATTGATCACTTCCTGGTCTTTCAAAACATCTACTTTATTGTTTATACAGTAGTACTTTAAAAGTTTCTCTACTATCCAGCATCGCTTCTTAAACAAATACATCGCGCGGACAATTTGCCAACAATTGTTACAGATTACAGGCTTTTTGTACAAATGGAAATTCTAAAAAGAAAACATTCTTTAGCGCGTTCATTTGTAGACAAAAACAGTTACTTACAATCTCTGCTACGGCAACTTCTATTATGTTTCTGATTTCTGTAAAAGGTAAAGGCTGATCACAATTATAGAGTGCTATAAATTTTTTGGCGCCCAATTTAAAACATAATCTACAAGTTTTTTCTTGAATTCTCCTGGCCAACTTAATATTCTCAATAATTTTGTGTTCATTGGAAATTACAGTTCCCTTAATGTGGTAAGCAAATTTGACATACTTGAAACATTCCGGACAAACTTTCGGACTCTCTGTCACTTGTATATCCTGAAAAAAATAGTTTGTATTGTATTATTGTACATATACAACAGTATAAGACACTTTTATTAGTAATTAAACTTACCAATCCTGTAAGCACTCCTTTCAACATCCAATGTAACTTTGTGTTGTCGCCCAAATTGTTTGGAGGTCCCGAAAAATCGTGTAGGCACAAACGGCAAATATGTTCAGGCAAGTTCATTTTTGGGAAATCGCTAAAGTACCTTGATGTAAACAGAAATTTACACCATATATTATTGACTTTAGCTGTATGCAATTAGAACTATTTTTCGACCTAAGGATGTGATAAATTTAGTTGTTCAAAACTTAAATTAAAAAAATAACTGAAGTGGCAAAATAAATGTTATAAATAAAACATAACTCTGTGATAAAAACAAAAATCTTTTACTGGATCTTTTACATTTTTTACGCGTTTCCTAAAGTCATTAGTCATAACGTCGTTCACAGTTGTTAACGTAACCCTAGAACAATTCAATTCAATTCAATGATGCGTTTCACAGATAGCTGTTGGGCACGACTACCAGGATCATTCGCCCATTGCCGACTTCCGTCGAGGATTCTCGGATCTTCTCCAGGAAGGAGACAGAATTTTGAAGTTCTAAATGTCGAGGATTTTTTGTATCTTCTCTGGCGAAGAAGACTGATTTTTGAAGTTCCAAATGTCGAGGATTGTCAGATCTTCTCCAGCGAAGGAGACTAAACTTTAAAGTTCCAAATGTCGAGGATTTTCGGATCTTCTCCAGCGAAGGAGACTAATCTCAGAAGTTCTAAATGTCGATTTTTCCGATTTTCCCCCCAAGTCTGCGCTTTAAAATATCAATCTTTGCTTTAATATCTAGTAGAATGTAGCTGTTGGAAGCTTCAACCGCACTGCATCCGAAGCTCTGCAGGGCACTTTTGGAATCGGAGACAATTACTGCCTGTTTAATATTATACTCTAATATAAGATCTAGGGCGTAACTAATAGCTACCATTTCTGCCGAGCAAATACAAAACGCGCTATCCAACCCATGCCCGACCCTAACATTGAGAAACGGAATAAATACTCCAAAGCCAACTCTATCATCTGGTCCCTTAGAGGCATCGGTAAATATAAATGTCTCTTCCCGTGGGAGTAAAAAAGATTCATTAATCATGACTATATCCGGACCAAAGTCACGAATAAGTCTAATAATACTATCACGATTACTTCTAATACCGCAAGTGTTCCAGTGAATAATTGAGAAATTACTAATTTTAACAGAGAGATTTGACTGTCGATCTGGGAACATTAATAAATTAAAAACCCTAGAACAAAAGAACATTCTCCTTTGCTTTTTGGATGTTGGGCATAGCAACACAGGACGCTGGCCCGTTAGTGACATACGCTAGAGATATAGTGGCCCTGCCTAATATTGATAATCAGGACCTTATGAAGTAACTATAGAAAGGGTCCATTCAAAATGCACATGCGCGATATTTGAAATCTAATTTATTTAGTGTTTTATGTAGTAAAAAGGAGTTAAGGTGTGAAGAGAGTAATTCTGTGAATGAGAGTCCTATATAAACCACTTTTAAATCTTTTAAATTTACTTGAATACCTAGGTTTAATTTGAAACTATTAATTGCAGGTTATTTCATCAGTCAAATATATTTATTTATTTGTCTTCTATCATGTTCAGTCTAATCTGCATGTTCCTGACTAAAAAGTTGTTTCCAATTCGGGAATTATTCTTGGCAACCGACCCCAAACTGTAATTTTATTTCTACGAACGCTTTTATTTAAATGTGCAGGCCTCTGATAATTTCTGACTGTTTTAAATGAAAACTTATTAATTAAAAGTTTATTTTTTGATTAATCTGTGCTTGTAGTTTGTGAACAACAACAAGTCAGTAAGAATTGTGGTAATTTATAAAGAAAATAATTAAATTTTAACATTTTATTCTATATGTACTTATACAATTATACAATACATTTTTGACGGAAAATAATTTGAAAATAAATGTCAATAATGAATTGCCTAAGTTGATCTACACCATAATAATATATACTTAATAAATAATTTGTTTATACATTTATAGCTTACATTAAGGCGTAGCAGTAGTGTAAAAACAGATAAAATTTAATAAATAAAGGTATTTAGGGTTCAACAAGCATAACCTTTCAACAATTCGCTTTTTTATTTATTTGATTTGCAAAAATATAATAATGTAAAATTGTAAAAAAATCTTTAAATATGAATTAAACAGAAGGAAAAACAATATGGAGAAAAAGACACGTGCCTAGCAGCCATTATATTGCACAGATGAAAAGAAATTCGAGGCCATGGTTTAGTTGCTTGGTATTAAGTTGTACATATACAAAGTCAATTTAAGCCTATAAAAGCTTGTTCTTCACATCGAGATCAATTATAAAAAATAAATAAAATATATACAAAGTGTCCCAACAGGAAATACTTCAATTTATTAGAAAAAAAAAATCTACCTAACAGAAATAAAACTAATGTCATGTAAAATGTCATATGGCAAAGTCTCACCTTTTTCGAGATATTTAATGTGTGTTTTTATAAAACAATGATGTTTGCTGACCATAGAAATATTTGCATATTTTTCTTTTACACAATGATTTTTAGAATTTTACTTGAGCAAGTAAAAAAATGCTATTTACAAATCTTCCTGATTCCTCCAGGAGGAAATTTCTTTCAAAAATTAAATAAAAAGTGTTTTTTTAATTTAACCCAGACGACTTCCATTCATATTAGTAGCTAGTAGTACTTTCTGTTGGGACAGCCTGTATAGTTCTCAGTTTAATATTTCCGTTTTCCGACAGGTCATGATTGTGTCACATAAATTCGGCAAAAACGTTTACATAACTCATATAGAAACGAAGTAAAATTACACAATCCAATAAACTGTACACTTCTCCATAATAACATTGGTAGTAAGCGAACTTACTGACCCGTTGACATATTCCATAACGATTCTCGTGTAAGTTAAGGTGAGTGTGTGTGACTAGAATAGTTATCGACATTGCTTAAAGCATGCCGTCGGAATCCGGTATCCCAAAAAATTTAAACATCAACGATTCGAAAATCACAACCCCGGGGGCTTCGCTGGTATATAGAAAGGCTTATTCACTCAAACCTTTTCATTAAAATTTTATTATAGGTTTAGTTCTTCATGCATTGCAAGTCTCGGAGTTCATTGTTGTCTTTCATTTTAAATGATTCAAAGTCAGTTGTCGCTTAACGACTTGACAAAACGTGATGTCACTGTAAAAATTTTAAATTAAACACCCTATATTTTGTTACTGCCGGTTTCTATATCCTATTTCAAATTAATTATCATCACCCTTTGCCCGTAGTAGGACCTCAAAATAAATAACTATGAGATTGATAACAAGACAACTTTTACTGCTCCAGAATTCATATAAGTCTCAGTAATGGGCTGAAATTTTACCTATATCGATATAAGCGATCAAATTTTTTTCGCGTATTGAATTAATTAATCAAGATCAAATAATTCAGAAAAAAAAGATAAAATATATGTGGTGTTCAATTTGAAATTTTCGCGGTTAAATCCAAAGTGACAGCTATCTAAAAAATGTTTTAAAGTGGAACTGCAACAATTTAAATTTGTACCAAAGTAATAACCTAGTAAACTTCAAATCAAGGGTTTGAGCGAACGACCATATATATATATATATATATATATATATATATATATATATATATATATATATATATATATATATATATATATATATATATATATATATATATATATATATATATATATATATATATATATATATATATATATATATATATATATATATATATATATATATATATATGTATATATATATTCATATACATTCAATGAATTTGTGAATTATACGACTAATTTACAGCTAGGGGGCGCGGCCGTCGAATGTTAACTCAATCGGATTAATCACTTCTCTCTGCCTGCGTGGCCTAACAACTCGAAGACTGCGCCGCGGTAGTAGTACCCTAATAGTTAAATTGCTATGACAATTTTGGCCAAATACAGGGCCGTCCTAAAATTATATATAGTACGTTTAAAATTTCCAAATAATCGGTCGTCGATATCACAATTCCGTAAAACATGTAGAAGGGAGTGGAGGGGAGGGGGACACACATTATTGAAGCAAATTTAATAGACCAGCACGGATTCCATCAGCAAATCTCATTTACCACCTACAGTTATCTCCGTTCCCTCGGACCTCTGGTTGTTTTGATTTTGCGGATTGCGCCGCGCCGATTTCGACCTAATCTGACCCGCCAGTAACGGATTGATCGCATACAGCCAATCGTGCACCTCTTTTTCGTGCAACGTTTGCAACAAGTAACCCCTGTGTTTGCTGACGACGCTAAAAGTGTTCGGCAACCGGACCATCGCCAGCTGGTCCTCCGAGTATTCTACTTGAGCGGTGGCCAAGTTGATCAGCGCCCGTTCTACCGGATCCTTCTCGTCGCGAAATATGAAAACGTACGGTCGACGTACCGACTGAAATGTAGGGTTAAATTACGTCAGAGAGCTCCGATCTAACGAGAGACGACAGTGGCCGGCCCAGTTTTTTATGCGCATGATCGGTATGCTTATTAGTCAGAGAGTCTGTCTTGTTATTATTTCGATTATGTCTGCAACTTCGCGGGTGTTATTTTCAAATTAATACGAGTATAATAAAATTTCACAAACTCTACAATATTCTCTTCCGAAATTTTTAAAAATGAGTTTAGTTATATTCAAATGAATAAATAAAATAATAATCGCAAAAAAATGCTTAGGTAGATACTTTATTTAGAATCTTTTTCTAGGTCTATAACCTCAAATGAAGCGCTCGAGAGGAAGGTAAGTTTACGAAAAATACTCCCCCCCCCTCCGCCACATTCATAGCCTCATGTTAGATTCGAGCCCTGTGATTTACGTATTATTATTATTATTATTATTACAATTAAATCGGCGCCGTACGAGAAACTTTTTTATCCTTAGATATATGAAAAGAAGTTATTTTTCTACAGGCCGTTATTTAATAAGTATTTTTAAGGTGAAAAGTTAGCATAAACATGTGATTTAATGTTTAGATTTGTAAATACAGGATGTCAAAGTTTTATGTTTTTTAAAGTCAAATTTTATGAACATTTTGCATGTTACAGCACAAGTTATTGTTTGAATGATATTATTTTATTTAAATTAAGTTTCTGTGTTTAACTTCTGGGATATTAACTCTCAAAGTTTTATAAATAATTCCGTGAGAGAACAGAAACTACTTATTAAGCAAAAAACATACCAGATGAGTTCGATTTTATTGTCTACTTTTTAAGGTACGAATTTACTAGTATTTATGGATTAGAGACAATAATTATTTCCACACATATCAAAAATGACGACTAGTTTTAACCATAATATTTTCATAAACATGTGACAAAACCGGCAGTTCTCGACATTATTATTATTATTATTATTATTATTATTATTATTATTTCAACACAACTTAAAATACGGACATCAAAATTATTAGGAATGATGTAAGTAATAGTATAATAAAAACTAACTTATTTGATTTTGAGAAATTATAAAAAAAAACAAAATAATTTCTTGACTTTTTAAGGCACCCATAGTAAAAATAAAATTATCTGTTTACAAGTTTTAAAACATTCAGATTTTTTAACCCAAACAGATTTAGTCGATTTTTAGTTTCGGTATGTGTTAGAAAAAATCCAAAATTTAAGTTTTACCTTAAAAACTATAAACCAAAAACGAACACATTCCATTTACATCATCTAGAATATATAAAAAGTAATATTTCTTGCGTTTTTCGAAATCATCTAGAATATATATAAGTAATATTTCTTGTGTTTTTCGAAAAATGTTACTTTTTTTACTGCGCGTCGTATACACAGTAAGGTTATCGAGAACAACAATCTGCTATACTTTTTTAAAACAAAAGTATCTGTACTTTATATCAGTTTGCTTAATAAGTAGTTTTTTTTTCTTTAACAGGTACTTGTCACTCTTTTATTTCTAAACTTTGATGGCAAATATCTCAGAAACTTACCTACTTTACTTAATTATAGAAGCTCGACATGCATGTCTTTCTCACTATAAAACGCTTTTTGTATGAATCTGTATTATATTTTTAGTAAAGAAAAAACGAATTCCTCAATGACTTTTAAGTGAAAAAGTTCTCATCTTATTAGAAGTGGCTAGGGGTCACCTTTTCGAAATATGCATTTTTTAAAAGTAAAAATTTTCTAATAAGTAATAAAAAATTAAGTATTTAAAAAAACAAACAACCAAATTTTGACGTGTACAGTTCGTCGGTGATGAATATTAGTATTTTTTAATGGTAAATTTTTGTGTTCGTTGCAAGAAACAGATTATAGACTTGCTGAAATGCTTTTTAGAATAGTTCAACAACGACACATTAGTAAGAACTAACCACAACAAAACTTATTATTATTTATTATATTATTTACTCTAAACTCTGTGACGTTCGCTCATAGATTGACTTTGGTATATAGCGCAATGTCTACCTCCTTAAACCAAAATTTACTTCTTTGAAGAACATAACCTGATTTATTTTAGTAACTTGGTCGTGCATCTAAGATAAAAAATAACTACGTACCACGAAATCAACGCGCACGCGCACTTACCACCCATCGTTTCTTCCAGCCGTGCGTCTTGTGCTCTAACACATTCAGGTATCCCTTCCTCGCCACTACCGGGGAAATTCTGATTTCTTCCATATCGGGCACGTACAGCACTAATTCTGGATCTCTGGGTCCGGGCGACGCGATCGGGACAGGGGGAAACGGGGCGCACTCGCCCGGCAGCGCGGCTCGTTCCGGCGAGCACAACTCTATCGAACTGTTAGTCATCGCACTAGATATCATGCTCGTACTCATGTCGGTAGCTTCCTCGGTCGGGCTGGCCACCTCGTTATCTTTGCCGGAACTCTGATCCCGCGATTTCCCCTGGATCAGTCTGACGCACTTGTTGAGGAGGTCGCGTTCCCGCTCCGTATATTCATACGGCACGTCATTGTTCGCTGCAAGGTTAACATTACGCCATAACATTGACCTCACTCAAAGTCTATATATGACAAGAACTGTTGCAACTAATTTTTAAATTTTGGCCAAGGTCTCGAATTCATTTCGTAGGCGAACTGTCTTTTTTTCTTGAGTGACTAAAGAGAATGGAAAGATCGTTTTTTTTTTCTACAGTATTATTAATTTTTCTTTAATTATATTGTTTTAAATCTAAACAAATTCATTTTGATGTTTACCAATTAAAATTTTACTGCACCAAACATTTTCGGTTCAAATTAATGAAATAACCTACATGACTTGGTCCTTGGAGCTTTAAATTGACAGATAATTTCCCCTTTTTTTCGCGGTTTTTGTGTTATTTTGTATTTATTTTTGAATAGTTTTTACTTGGCTTCTCTCCTTGTCCCAAATCCCACAAAGTAATTTGTAGGGGTTTTTCTAATAAGACAGAATCTCGACCACCATTTCTAGCGTGGAATGAAGGAAAAAAATCACGCTCAATATGTTTTGGCATCCATTCTTCCGAGTTAATTATAATAAATTTAATGTGAAGAGCCCTTACCAGATACAATATAGCCAACATCTTTAGTATCATGACAATAAAACATAGCGAAAACGTTAAAAACACAAACTATCAAATCGTGAAACGAAAAAGTCTTTACCGTGGTTATTTAGGTTGTTTTTGGCGACCATGTTGCAAACCTCCTTTTCGCTCTTCGTGTATTCTAGCTGGTATTTGTTCTGACCTCTGTCCAAACCCAAACGTTCCCGCAACAGCAGCGTGTGCCTGACACGCTCCACCTCCTCCAAACGAGTCAACTTTTCCAGCTCCCATTGGTGGTCGAATATGAGGGAGTCGCCCCGCGGACGCCACCCGTGCAGGTTTTCCTCGCCCCTAACGTACGTCGAGCTTGTGTCCAGCACCCGTCTTTGTCTTCTTTGAACGCCTGATTGAATATTGATTTAGTACTCGCTATTTACTTTCCATTTTTCGGTTAGTTTTGGTTAGTCGTAGTAGTTAGTTTTAGTTAGGCTGCATTCTCGCGAGGTTTGGTGCGATATTGAAAAGGCGCAGTCTCAAAAAAATAATGTCGAAAGAAACTTATAAAAGCTCCTGTAGCAAAACCCGAATGATTGTAACGAAAATAAATAAATGACCATTTTGATTAAGCTGGTATGAGGTATTGAGAGCGTTGCTGGGAATGTATTTTTAAAATTCGTTTTTTATTTCCTGAAAATTTGAATAATTCGACATTTTCAATGCCATTCTTCTGCTCCCTCTAAAGATCTCAACATGTTTGCTGTTTCGTATTTTTCGTATTTCAATAGTATATTATGATCGTTAGTTCCTGAATATATTTTTACAAAACAACACGAATACATTCACTGATATGACCGTCAGAATTGACAAACGTCAAAATTCAAGCCGTGGGTACTATTTCCCAAAGCATCCGATTACTCTCAAACCCGTGTCGTAACATCATGGAAACGTCCGAAGTGGTTCGCAACCGCAGGTAACGAAAGTGACGACGGGTATTTTAAAGAAGCAGAAAACAAAATATTTCGATACCTTGGATACGGCAGAAAAATTGTAAATACAGGGAATTTAGGGAATATATAGAATTGTTTAGGTATAGAAAACTGTAAATTAACCACAAAGGTGTATAACGAAAACAAACAACATTTAGGACCTAATATTAATTACCTGATCTGTTGAACATGGAAGACATTATTTTATATATTTTTTTATATACTTTTGTTATTAATTATATGAATGAGTGTTGGATTTCTAGTGTCTGTCGGGAATGGCTTGAGTTTTAAATTGGACGCAAAATATAAATCCTTTTTTAATGAGCCACTGAAGATTACTCGATAATTATTTTTCTTGAAAAAAATTATTTCAATTAAAATTCAGCTGGGAATCAGTGGAAATGGTTAAACTAATCTAAAATCTTTTATTCTTATTCTTAATCTTTATTCTATGGTATTGTTGTCTTTACTGGTGTGATAGAATCAAAGATCGGCACAGCTGGGCCTAAAAACCAGAAAATACATTACTTTATATAAGTTGTGGGTTATGTGTGTTAACCTATACCAGAAAATTAGTTAATAAATATTTATGTATATATGTTATACGTTACTTTATGTAAATTATAGGTGAGGTGTTTTAACCTCGTTCGATTTCGAGGGGTTCGCAGGTTCCACGTCGATTGAAACTTCGACTGAAGCGTATAAAAGTATCAGTATTAAAAGTAGGCTATTCCAAAGGAAACACCACTATTGCTTTCTTTAAAAAAGCTTCATTTTCGGTCGCGAACATGTACAAAATATTTTATCATTTGCAAAGCAATGGAATGGAAAGGGAAAACGGAGTAACAACAGTGGACATCGCAGATTTTAGGTTAGGAATGGGACACTAACGGGAATCTACCTGGACTACCTGCTTCGCTAGCTCTGCGCAGCAACAGCTCGTACACCCCGGATAAACGGTTCGCTTCCGCGTTCTTGTAGTTGCCCGAAAACAGATGCCTGAGGGACCGGGGGCCGGTCCTCGCGTCTCGACCATAAATAATCATACTGAGGTCCTTCGTTATAATCGCCGGACGTCCGCAATTTTCCAACTGCAAATCCCGCGCGTTTTTTTTTTTACGGAAAAATCGACTGATCAGCAAAACCAACCTCTAAGTACGCCGATATCGTCATAAAGATCTGCTCGCCCTGCGCAGTTACCCTGTTCAGCAGCGGCGAGTTGTGTAGGGAACTATCCCACGCTGCCTCGAACCTGAACATTATTCTGTCGTCTCCCGGTATTTCCAAGTATTCGCCGGGAAACAGACCGAGAGAGAGGACCGAATTGTCATTGTCCTCATCCTCGTCGGATTCTGGGGCGTTCCTGATACGACCCACCACCAATTCCCGAACGTCGCGCCATTTAATTTCCGACGCTTGATCGTGAACGATCGTTATTCGAATTCTACGTTGAATTCCCTGAAACGTCGGTCTTGAAAAGGCGAACACTGGGGTATTAACCATATACGAGGTTTGTTCAAAAATTAAGGTGACTTTTCTAATTGGCCGGGCTACGTACATTCGATCTTCGATATATTTTTTTGTTATATTGATATACATGTCCCGAACATATGTTCCCAGAGACAGAAGCGTTAGAGGTGTTTTGTGTGCTCGGCGATTTTCTGCTGTCAAAAAAAATGGAACAAAGAATTTGAATAAACTTTTGTGTAAAAAATGGAATACAGTGTTGCCAAACACTTGAAATATTGACAACGGCATATGGTGAATCTACTTTGAGCAAGAAAAATGTTTATAAGTGGTGCAAGCTGTTTCCAGAGGGCCGAGAAGACGCCGATCGCTATTAGAGAAGTGGCTGAAGACTTCGGCATCTCTATTGCCTCATGGGATGCAATTTTTTTCGATGTTTTGGGCATGCAGCAGCAAAATTTGTTCCTAAACTGCTTAATTTTGAACAAAAGGACCGTCGAAGGAGTATCGCTCAAGAGCTGTTAAACGGCGTCAATGATGATCCTGATATGCTCAAAAAGGTCATAACTGCTGGCGAAGTGGTTATGAGGTCGAAACCAAACCCCAGTCATCCCATTGGAAAAACCCAGAATCGCTAAAAAAAGAACCGAAAAAATCACATCAAGTTCGATCAAATGTCTGGGTTCTGCTTACTGTTACTTATAATAGTATATTATGCAACAAGTGCGGTAAACGGCATTTGATTCACGAGTTTATTTGACACGAGCGGAGCGCAGCGAAGTGGGTGTTTAATAAACGAGTGACTTAAAAAGTTTACCGAACGTGTTACATATTATACTTTGTCTATGACCGTTAGTTTTTGGGTACATTTTCGCAAAACACCACGAATAGATTTACCGACATGCCCGTCAGAATTAACAAACGTCAAAAAGTGGCTCGGATCAGTGAGAAACAGAACTGACGCAAAGTGACGCTTCCCGCAAGCTAGATCGCTGTGTAATTAGGTATCTTACAGACGGGAGTAGAAGAAGGGTATTACCTTCAAGTTATACGCCGTTTGCAAAAGAAGCAATATGAAGAAAACGTAATGAATTGTGGGAAAACGATTAATGGATTTTGCATCACGATAATGAACCTGCTCACTCATCGTTGCTTGTGTCTAATTATTAAAACCACAATCATGCCTCAGCCACCATATTTGGAGTGATTGAGGAGATAAAGAAAAAATCGCTTTAAGAACTCAGGGATATCCCAAAAAGTGCTTACCAGAAGTGAGGATTGGAAAAAACATTGGCATAAGTGTATTACATTTGGGAGTATTACTTTGAAGGAGACACTATTAATTTTAATGCATAAATAAATACTTTTTGATAAAACTTAAAAGTCACTTGTATGTCAAAGCCGTATCATTGCGTGAAAACTTTTGAAATTTAATATGGGTTAATATTTGACTGTTGTGGGATTTTTGACTAACCCTGTGTAATGTAATATTCGTTCAAAATATTAAATTGTTACTGAATTTATTATCCGCTTTTAATTTAAAAAGTTTTCAAGAAATATTATATTAAAAAAGCAATTTTTTTCAGCTGTCCATCAAATGGCAATAGATCTATATCTATCATAATATCATTGGTTCAATAACGCTGGAGCCTCTTTTAGATAGCATAGATAGGGTTAATATTTCCTGTAAAACTGTTTCACAGTCCCAGAGCAACATAGACCTTTAGATTTAACTTAGCATAGTGTTATATGGATCAACCCTTTCAAACATTTTTAAGAAAATGTCCTTTCACTTGGACTTAACCTTACACTACCCACAGACGAAATGAAAACCCTAAATAGTTCACCTGATGCAGGAGAAACAGTCCCCTGCAGGGCAAATCATCGCTATGCTCCACGACCACGGGGACGTAGTCCCCGCTGGGTGCAAGTTCGCAGATTTCGAACCACACGAGTACGTCGACCTTGGCGTGAATGTGGGCGGTGCACGGCGAAGGCAACGCGCCAAATTTACTGGACCTCACCGGCTGCGAGATAGGTATTGACGGCGGGAGCATACGCCGCGGAGGTTGCCTAACGTTGCCCTCCAGTTTGGCGTCTTTGTGCAGCGGATGCTGCTGGTAGTGGCCGAACACCTCGAAAACTATCGGCTGGGTTTTGATGTAGTCGATGAAGGATTTCGTGGTAGACACGGTTATCTGTAAGAGTACGATCGGCTGAAAAACCTTGTTCGACCTAAAGGGATCCATGACGTACATTCTGAACGTGGTAAAATCCCAACGGGGTGCCTTTGCCTGTATTCTTCACCGGCTCAGTCGAAAACGCCTCGTCGTGTCTGTGCAGAAAACTGAAGAAAAGAATAAAGTGAAAGCGCCGCCATTGCGTTCAGCAATGACTTGTACAAAACAGATTATTATTAGACATATTGGAGCGTAGAAATGGGTGAATCGTTGACGACACAAGATATTAACATTTCAGAAGGTAACAATCACCTGATCGCGATTGGATATAATTTCATTGGTCACCACTCACTTGAACTGGCAGAATATATCCGCGTATTCGGTGGATATTCCGACTGCCTGGAGCACCGTCACCCTGAAAGTAAACTCTTTGCCCAGAGCGAGATGCTCGGGGATCTCTTCCTCTTTAACATCGGAGGCGACTGAACTGTCGCCCCGTCCAGAATCTGCATCACACTCTATCAGTTCGTCTAATTTTATCGGGTCGATCGTATTCTGACCTTCGATAATACGTTCCTCCATGTTATGGATGTTGCGGTCCATGATCGCTGCAGGTGTCGTCGACCATTAATTAGGATAATTTTTTCATCGCCACTTACCTTTGTGCGTGGTTTCAAACGTGATCCTAGCGCTTTGTCGCACTCCTACTTGATCGGCGTTGTCCTCGTCCATAACAGCTTGGACGGCCACCCTTAGGTAGCCCCTGACGTCTCCCTTCTCGCTGACTATCGCAATCTTATGTATCAATGTAACGGGGTACAATAAATTGCTCAGATATACGAATCCTCTGCCGACGAGGCGGAACCACGGGAATCGGTCGTAGAAGGGATCGCCTCCCGTTAGGGATTCCACATTGTAATCAGGTGATGTCGGTGACATTTCCGCCTCGTTGTGGTACATTTCTCGCATCAGTTCTAGTCTTTGTCTGAAAATGACCGGAAAAAAATGTCTTACATCTCGCTCCTAAATACAAAAAACATTTTAAATTTACAGCATTCACTATAAGTAACGTATGCCACATAGATTGGTGCCACTGTACATTGCATGGTTTGTGCGTTCGAATATAGAGGGTTCAATATATTACGTTTCTCTAACCAACTTTGATTACTCCATAACATTTTGTTCTATAATGTCATTTTTAATCTTTCGTTCCGTAGTTTATTTTACCGCTACCTAGCTTCGTTCCGGGAGTGGTCGCCCCTTTGTTATCCTTTGAATAATTTTCGTTTGGAGAAAAAACGCCAATATTTCAAAACCAGGTTAAACCTATTTGAAAACACACTTCATATCATCCATTTCTTAAACACTCTATAGACGTACTTTTTTAAAAAGCGAACTCAAAATGAACTGCCTAACAAATAAAAAAGCAAATAAGCTTAATGTCTCACGATCTGCATATACAGGGTGTCGCATCGGAAAATTTATATAACGATCAACGTTGACTGCCACATATTAGAAGAAAGTTCCCCGGGCGTAACTATGACACAGTGACAGATGAGGACAACTGCGTGGGGGTAGCCCAAAGCGCACCGTTACACTACTGACGCATACGAATGTGACGAGATTCTGACATTATATATATGATATATGATATACATTTGGGCTTCCAACTCTGGTGCATATAGGCGAAACCATTTAAAGAGAGTGGGAGACGACATTCAACAACCACCGAAGCGAATGTATTTACATGTATCGTGCCAATGCGGTTGCAAACAGTGGCACCAACCTCGACGGTACTAAATTCGCCAGCGACAAGCGTGACGGTGACGGTGGGCATTGAGCGAGACAATGAAACAACATCGACGTTTGGTCCGGAGAGGAGTCTGCTGACTGCTTCTCGACCGTCGTCGTCGTCGCGTCCTCGTTATAAGTTAGTTTCATGATTTCCAATCTGTGACTGGACGGATAGCCGAAAGAAGTGTCCAAAAGGTGACTTTGAATGTGATACGTACGCCGTACCCTGCTCACTTACCGTAATTTATCCAGCGACCAGTAGTGGGTGGCGCCGTTCTTCAAGTCCTGGACCTCGACCGCGACGATAGTTTTCGGTATCGAAGCGTCTTCGTCGTGATCGTAGTCGATTACTGGCTTCAGATCGGTCGGAAGTGGCGAATACAAAGTGTCCGTGAGGAGGGTGAATTGGAACTGAACCTGAGAGAATTATCGAATCAAATGGTTGTCGCGCAATCGATTGAGCGGCCAGGGGTTACCTTCTTCTTCAGCTCGACCGAAATCGCATTCGCTTCCTTCAGGAAAATCGCATTTCCCCACAGGTCGTCCCTGAGCGACGTGAACTGATGGTGTTTCCACTTTCGCCACGCGTTCGCGGCCAGTTCGAAGTCTTTCTCCGTCCAATTGCACTCTGCATTAAACAGAGGATTCACTGAAAAAGCGTCGCCCCTCTGAATGTCAAAGCTAGTCTATGCATCGCGCATGCGTCATTTAGACCAATGTCGCCGTTAGGTTAGCGTTAAGCGGGGAAGCATCTAAGACGCGGCGCCACACGAACAAAGAGGGAGAGAGACCCTTACCGAAAATGTCGTCGTCGTTGTTGAAATCTTCCGGTGTGTACGAGCTGTACATTGACATCGTCATGCTCTGTTCTTCGACTTGTTTCTGGAGTGCGTCTATTCTTGCTTCGTAATTCTGGAAATACGATTTTATTCTACCGAAATGTTTTCCCTTCAATGCTTTAGACAATAACCTAACGGTTTTTGAACAAATTTTCGAGCCGTTCACAATTTAGATTGCTATTTTCTACATAATTAGGAAAAAAAGAATGTTCAAATGACTAATGAATTAGGTTGTCAGAGCAAATAAATCATTCTTTTGTTAAAGTGATAGTGCGAAGATTTATTGTCGACAGCATTATCTGGCATGCAGGGTGTCCAGATAAAAATGACCAAATTTCTGAAAGTATTAGTTCTAGCTCTTCATGAAACAATATGGGCAAATCGGCCGTGAGAAACCGCGCTGCCTTCGTTAGGGTACAATTATAGATAAAGAAAAGAAATAGATATTTATGTTAAATTGGAGATGAATAAATACCTTTCTCTGTTCGTCGAATAACTGGTCGGCGGCTTCCTTCTCTTTACGGTACTGCTCCTCCAGGGTCACCAATTTTTTCGCCATCTCGGCCTTCAGATCCACCCCCTGTTTCTCCAGCAATTCGGTTTGCGCGAAATTCCAATCAACCATCGAATCGGATAGCGCGTTTTTCTCCCTTATCTCTCGCACCTCCTCCGGATGGGTAAACCTGAACACGTGGTTCTTGCCGAGAATCACCCGCGAACCCGTTGGAAGGGATATCGGTTCCGTAACCTCGCGCCCGTTGACGTACATGAGGGCCCCGTTCAGGGGTACTAGCGTCACCTTATTGTCTTTGTTCTCGAAAATACAGTGCTCGGATTTGATGTGTGATCCGGACAGTTGGATGTCCTGCGGAATGTTAGCCTCCGCCGAACCGACCCTCGTAAGTCCGTCCTGAAAAAAAAAACGGTTTTAGGGCAAAGCAATTCGTCTCTCTTGGACACCATGCCTTGATATAATAGATGAGACATTCGGACATGAAAGGGTCCTCGTTCAAATTAACGAGGTGGGGCGTCTTCTTCGGGGAGAATATACCCACGGTGTTGCCGTCCTTCACGGCCACCCCCATTTCGGCGAACACCGCCTCCCTCTCTATCCTGATCGCTTCAGTCCTCTTCAGCTTTTCTTCCCAAGTTTCGTTCAACTCTGGAACCCACCTATATAGTTCCGAGTTCGAGAGTTTGTTTTTATTCCACTCACCGGCGATAAGTTTCTCGCTGGCCTGCAGCTGATCGACGGCCTCTTCAGCGGTCGTCGACTGCGCCCGGGCCCTTTGTTGATTCTCCTTATTGTTCCTCTCCACCATATTGTTCTCGCCCCCTGCAGAGTTATCCGAAATCAATTCCCGTCGCGAAACACTGGCTTTTGAAAGCGTCTTAGCCAAAACTTATCCGCGTCAAATTTCGAAACAAAATAGTCAGCCAATTCGTTTCAACGCAGCGAAGCCGAAAGCACTGTGATTGGTCGTTTTTTAACTGTAGTGCAACGCAAAACGGTGAGGTTAAGTTTTTAATGCGCACTGGCATGAAAGTACTTCCGCGCAGCGACTTTCCAGACGTATACGGTTAAAACGATACAACATGGCGGCCATTACTCAGGCAAAAGTTAGCGCCAACAAGCCTGCCGGAATAGAGGAATACTTACTGGGATCTCTCTTTTCATAAAGAACCTTACCATCGGGACCTAAGCCGCATTAAATTTTAATCAAAATAAGAAATGAGCGAGAGACATTTTATATTTAACGCGAGTGCACCAACATCACCAAAATTCGACCTAACCCCAATTGCCGACTATTCTATCTCACATGTACACGATCCACAATTTAATATATAATCACACGTTCCTCATTCGTAATTATCATCAGTTGCATACACACCTTCATGAACCTCGATTCCTTCTTGCTTGAGCAAGTCTCTGAGCTTTTGTATTTCTTCTTTGAGTTCTCTGATGAGTTTCGCGTTCGCGTCCTCGTTGACGATCGCTTTGCAAACAATTTGTTTCGCCCTGTCGGCGTATCTACAAATAGAACCCCCATAGTTTTTTTGTTGCGCGTTACGACGAAACTAACCTCAACGTCGACAATGTCTCGTCGTAGTTAATATCGGCTGGCGATATTGCAGCAATCATAGCGGTTTTACTGTTACCGCCTAAGTTTTCCCTCAGCAGCCACGTCAGTACCGAGTCTCTATAGGGTATAAAATCGGCCTTCTTTGATTTTTTTGTTTTGGATGCCTGTAAACAAAACGTCCACAAAATTTATAGTATACGTCAGATGGGCGAACATATCTAAACTTACCGACTAATCCGAAGAAGAGGCATGGAAATATTTGTCAGATTATTTATTGTTAAGGAACTATGAAGCGAATGTTGCATCAACATGCTAGGTAGAGTTCTCCAAACGCTATACCGTTTTTACAACCTTTTATGGTTTTGACTTCGGAATGAGTTTAAGAGCGGCCTGATGTAAAGCGGAATTGACCCTTCTTTTCAGCACTGGTACCACAAGCCAGGACCGTATTTAAGATGTTAGCCGACAAGAACTGCGCTTTGCGGACCGTTGTATTCTAAGAGTAGGGAAATTTTGTTTGATTAAACTGTTATGTTAATTCATATTAGTGTGCTTTTTATAAATCTTCCTAAAACAGTCCCTACTTGAGGTACCTCGATTTCAAGTTGAATTTGCCCATTAGATAGGGTGATCCCTATATTTAAAATATATTAAGAAGCTTAAATTGATTTCCAATTTAAGGGTTTAACATTATGACTCACAATTTATTTCTTACCAAGTACTAAAATTATTCAATGTTGTTAGTCACTTGCGATATCCAGCGACGAAGAAGTTGAGATTGTGATCAGTGACTTAATTATAATTGAAAATGAGTTTTTGTTTCTGAAATCGACATCTGGGGTAAGTCAAGCCATAAAATTAACGTCCCAGATGACTAAAAACACACACCTTTGATAAATGGATTTCTGAAAAATTGCTTCCCAATATTGCACCAAGCAGTGTTGTCGTAATGGAAAACGCCATCTACCATTTTGCAAAAGCGGAAAAAATACCGAATTCATCATTGACTAAAGAAGTCATCCAAAATTTTTTGCTCGAAAATGATATGTATTATGTAAATTCCTACACAAAGAAGCAGTTATTGGAAGCAAAACGAAAACGTTTGATAAGAAGTATAATGTTTACAAGTTGGCTATGGAACGAGGATTCAAAGTTATCCGTCTTCCACCATATCATGGCAATTTTAAGCGGATTGAACAGCTGAAATCCAGTTTAAGAAGAAACAACACCTCGTCGAAATTTGATTCTGGAGCAAAAGAATTAATTAGAAATGAAGTAAAAAAATATCTGCTTTTAGTTGTAAAAAATGTGTAGAGTATGTCATCGAAGAAGAAAATGTTTACAGAAGTCGAGTAGTGGCAGAATAAATTATTAATGTGGGTGACGAGTCCAGTGACGACAGTGATCATTTTGATGTAGAATAACTTTTTTTTAATAAGTATTCTAACATTTCATTTATTTATATTTATAATAAATATTTTAAAGTAATAATGGATTTTTCACTGCATGGACTAATAATAATAATAATAATAATAATAATAACAATGTTAAATACCGGATTATGTCGTAAAAACGGTATATCGTTTGGAGAACTCCACGAATAATATTTTTGACGATTTACGATAGCAGTAAGGGTGTAACAAGGAAGCCCTTGGGGTTTTATAAGGGGTGACCGTGCTACCACAAAAAAGTACATCATCTCAGTGAATACAGCTAGTTGTGAATTCAACTGATATTATCTGCGATGTTTAAGGTTTGGGACAATGTGTCATGACATTCGCCGAGTGTAATTTAAAATCCACACATTTAAATTTTCTTACCATTTCGGCTAAAGCTGATATAACTTTCCCGAGCGTGGTGAGACTTTTATTAATGTTAGCGCCCTCTTTTAAACGAGTGCCCTTTGCCCCGGTCGAATCGGCCCTTTCGGAGCCGGCTAGATCGACCAGCGAAATTTTCGATACCTTTTCGGTAGCGAGTTGAGTGGTTTCGTCCACCCTGTCGGAGAATTTTGCGTAAATAATTCATTATTCGGAAAATATTACTAGCACTTTACCTCTGCTGAGTAAAGAATATCGTGAAAACTGCGTGAGACCTGGAACTCGTCTCGTTCATATTCGTCGCAGCTACCGTTCTGGCTTTATTACCCTCGTCTATCAGGTCGTGAATGTCCTCGTAACTGGTAACCGCCAATTTGCTTAAATCCTCAACGTAAGGCCCGAGCAAGGGATGCTCTCGCACTTTCAGGTTGCCCTTATTTTTCGGATTTAACAAATCCCTGACCCGTTCGCAATAGATTTCCATGTAACTAACTTCGACAGAATACTTAACGTCCAGGTTGGTATTGTGTCGAATTTTCCGAAAGAGTTCTTTACAAATTTGCGGAATGATACCTTCCTGTCCTTCCTCCTGTTTGCCCATCATCGTATACGATTTGCCAGCCCCCGTTTGACCGTAGGCGAATATACAAACGTTGTAGCCGTCGAATGAATGCTGTAACATCTCTTCGCCGATGTCTTTGTAGACAACGACTTGAGACGAGAATTCTGGGTCGTACGGCTGGAAAAACGAGGCGTTACGAATCATACGAGTGCGCAGCAAATGACGTGCTTACGTCATGCGACCAATAGGAATAGTCGAAGTTGAAACTCTTTTGCGCCTCTTTCGGGTTCACTTCAGCTTTGGGATTCGTGATCGCTGAAATCATAGTTTTAACGTTAAACGATATCAAAATAATCTCTTGAAATTATACTCACTGGTGGTATTTCCCCCCATTTTGATGATGCATTTGCATTCCCTCGATATTTCGCGGTTGTTGAAAGGTCGTACGCGGACCGCAACTTTAACGGATGACATTTTCGGTTTTTAAAGGGAGTGGGGGGGGGGCTCTGTAACAAAGAAAGAAAATGTTTCCGCACACTTTATTGTCGCCAAGGTAAATGTTGGAACTATTTACTCTAAATGTGAGACAGAACATCCATTTAATTGTATACAATAACTAACTCTCAGGAAAAAAAAAGACGATTATTTCAAGCTAGGCCAAAAAACTTCAATAAGAGAGATCAGAAAGTGGTCCACACGATCCAAAAGAAGACCATCTACCTCATTACACAGCGTATGGGTGCGTGACAAAAAGTTGCAAAAAACATTTGTAGGGTTGATAAATTTGAGGTCCATCTGCTTTCTTTTACAGAAAAAGGTGACAAGTTGAGTGTGTACATGCTGGTCATCGTGGAAAAATTTATAGATGGATGTGACAAGCTTCGTGGACTTTATGCTATAGGATAGATTTAGTACATTAAATAATTTTCATGGCAATTTCGAGGTATCATGAATTCCTTATAAATGTCACACAAAATCGCTATAAATATTATTATAAATTATTATATGTATAAAAAGAATCGTCAAGTTATTTTATTTATAACCATCGCTCTAATAAATAATTATAAGTCGTTGCACATTCTTAATAAATAAGGATAAATCCTTAGTAAATCTCGATGTTATCTAGGATCTATAAAAGAAATATAAAATCCCTATAAATCGCATTATAAACTATATCTGTAAAATTAACTTCATCGTCCTTGTCAATAATTATTAATTATCAATAAATCAGGGTAAATCCTTGACCATAATGTGTAACCCGCTACATCAGATCAGATATTTCAATGAACAACTAAAAGTTTATAATTTGCAAATAATGGGATTATTTTGAATTTAACTAATATTGTTCTGAAATAAAGTTGTATGGTCTGTTCATAGATATAAGAAAGTGCTTTTGAAGATTTTTACCTAAAGTTTCGGAATTTAAATTCAGGTAAAATTGTGGTCGGTAATGGAAAATAATTTTATACCTACCTGTGTTTAATATTGTTTGGTTTGGTATACTACTTAGTTTAAGTTTATTAGTAATCATTCTTATTTCGTGTGTATTACAGCGTGTGTTGAATCTTGTGCGAATTATGCAAAATATGTGCGATGTAGAAAACACTATTCTATTGAGACTAAGGAAGTTATAAATAATTTTTATTTGACTCTCATTGAACGTGGTGCCAGCAAGCAAGCATCTTTAGAAGAAACGGTCATATTGACGAAAATTGTGAATAATCCCATTTCAGCGAGGAAAAAAAGAAGCGATGCTGACATTTTCTCGAGTGTAGATGAAAGTGATCCAGATATAATACGGCGTAAAATTTACCAGTTATACGAGGAACAAAGCGTGCCTACATTAGATATCTTAATTGGGAGGCTTGAAAAAAATGAAACCGGTATTAAATGTGGCAGTGTATTCAACACATGTGTTTTAGATTTAAAAAAATTGACAAAAGGCAAGTGTTAATGGAATCTTTTAGAATTCGGAAATGGCGACTGGAATATCAAGTAAAAATTAGAATTTGCAGAGAACAACAGAGGCCAATTATTTACTTGGATGAAACCTGGTTCGACACTTATGATAGCCCGGAAAATAGTTGGGTTGACTCAACTGATAAGTGTAAAACAAACGCACCATCAAAAAGGAATGGACTTTCTCTGTCTGCGAAAAATATTAAAGATTCTTCTCTGGAGACACCACCGCTGATTTTTTTTTTTAAACAAACTAGTTCCAAAAATTCCTCCTAATAGCGTAATTATAATGGACAATGCAAGTCACAGTAGACAGTTGACTAAAACCCCTTCCTCGTGTGACACAAAAGCAACAATACAAAACTACATGTATAATAACGATATTTATTTTCACGAAGATTATACCAAAAAGCAATAAATTGAGGTTCTACAAAGCTTGAACTTACAAAAGGAACACGTTATGATTAAAATCTAGGGCTTCCACCTTACCACTGTATATTTAATCCTATTGAACATATTTGGCACCAACTGATATCTGCCATTCGTCGTAACAATGTTTTTCCCCGTATTAACGACAATGTCCTCAAACTTATAGAACCCGAAGTTTTTAACATCCCTCCACAAAGTTGGGCAAATTTTGTTAAACATATAGAAAAAGCAGAACAATAGTATATCCATATTGCAAATAATATAGAACAAATAATAATTAGAACAGGCGATGATAGCGATAGTGATACTGATATATTATGTGAATAATTTTAAGTAATTTAAGTAGGTACGAGAACCCCAAATAATTAAATTCTAAGCAAAGTACGAACCTGTTCGGCCATATTTGATTCTTGCCCGGGTCTTTCTTTTATTCGTATCAGTTAGTCACTTTCTTATATCTATGAACAGACTTTACCTAAAAAATTTCGGTTCACGGTACCGCTGCCGGGATACTGACAACGGTTTACCTATGAATAAACCCAATGGACTGGTGATTAATGAATTCTCTTATTTGATGCGAGTTAAGACACGATGTTTTATGTATGATCGTGACCCTTTCGGTCCTCCCGTAGACCCTAAAATAAATACTCCCCAGAGCATACCGGCGGAAAACGCGACATGACAGATGTGTTACACGGGAAGAGCGCACATTTATCGGCATAAAATTTTCCCAAGTTTTCCGCATTCATTCTTAAATTAATAAATATTTTGTTACGCAGGTAGGTCGACGATTATTTTTCGATAAAAATGTTTTCAGCAAGAAGGCTTTAAATCGAAACCTGGATATTTGTAAACGGAAATGATTTGAGATTATTCAATAGCGTTCAATATGCGTAATTTTTTTTCGTACGTATTTCTGGAATAATAGAAATAAATGGAGCGCTATCTTTCTCTGTAATCACGTCATTTGTGTGTGTCCCTTAATCGAAAAATTGAAATAAAAATATACCCGTATTGCATATGCGTTTTTAAATAAAGAAAATAATAAAGCTTGACCAGTTAACAATTATGTTCCTCGATGTATTTCTTCATGTATTTTTATCAGCTATATATTTTTAACTGGTAATTCTATGATCGAATTTTGTATGTAAGCTTTTTTAAGTTTTGTTTCCTACACTTAAACTTACCGTTCTATTTTTTCGGCAGCTATTGGAATATTTCTTGATGAACTTTTTGACTTTTTCTAAATAATAAGTCAGAAACCGGATAGAAATTTATTTCCTCATAATTAAAATGAAACGAAATTATTTTATTCGCGAAAGTATTTATTTCACTTGCAGTCGTCACCTTTCCTGATTTCGAGTTTATCACTTTCAAAAATTGATTTTTTCGAAAGTATCTGCGCTCGTATAAAAATATATCTCGGTAACGGTAGGTCCTATGGGATCGCCATTGGAACAGAAATAATCAGCGTCGAAAAAAAAATTTTTTTTTGTCTATCCGTTCTCCGTTCTCGTCTTTTGGTTTTTCCTGAATAACTTTCGAACCGTTGAAGGGACAAAATTGCTTATAAAAATTCTTATAAGATATAGCCTCGATCTGACGCCGGCATCCATTTTTTTCCGCGATTTTCGACTGTTTTTTGCACATTGCTATTAAACACGATAAGTGTCCGAAATTTGAAGCGATCGACTTCATATTTGACACATATATACAGCTTTGCCCGGTTACGGAACCTATTGAAAATCGGAGGGCTGGGGCGTCGGGAAGTATTTAAAAAAAAATGAAAATCGCGTGTGCACGGGTCTACAAAAAATATCATTTTTTAAAAAATTGGTCATAACTGAAAGATTATGATTCAGATGTCACTTTCTTTTACATTAAGATATAGCCCATATAGACAGCTGCAACTTTTGTATTTAAGGGTTTCACCAATTGTACAGGGTGTTCCCCATATTCCGCGCTATATGTATAAGAAATAAATTTATAATTTAAATAAATAAGTTTATTAAATTTGCAGATATCAACTTCAAATTTACCAGAGAAGTAAAGATCCGTGTCCACATTTTAACAGTAGAAATTGGGTGCAATTAAATTTCTCCAAGTATTTTTTTTTAATTTTGGAATTTTATTTTTGGTTAACTTGGCGTCCAGAAAAAAATTAGTATTATTTATTATATTTCGCATCAAGAGCTATACTTTTTGCATTTACTAGCACATACGCTGTTCGAGATATTTGAAAAAACCAAAATGAAAATCACCATTGCTTGCCCTCAATCTAGACGTGATGACTTCGTTTACTCTTATGACGTACTGCACTTCAGAGAACAAGTATTTTCCCGAAAGGCGTTTACTCTATTGGAAAAATTTATATACAAGGAAACGTGGGAGATCCAGGGCGACCACCTCTATTTCGTACATGGCTTGAACTATATACGGTGTGTGTTTGTGTGTGTGGGTGGGTATGTGTTTATGCGAAAAAAATCTAAAAGATTCTAAAAATTGCCGTAAATGAAAAACTATAAAACATGGGATAATTCGATTTAAACAGTATCATAAATTGTGTCGAGAGAGAGTTTTAGGTTTCGTGTATCATACGGGGTGAGCAAGATATTCGAAAAAATATCATTTGAAATCGCTATTATTTGTACAAATTTTAACATTTATCAATTTCGGCGGGGCGTTAAAGACACTTTATACACGGTGTATGCATAATAAAATTTCATCTATTTTGCGAATGTTCCATATTGGTCCGCAGGAGCACGATAGAAAAACAATGAATGCTGCTCTAGCACAAGAATAAGCGAAGCGGCTTCTTTCTGAAGTACAAAGCTGCTTCGCGTTACGCGCTACGAACTTGCCCCGCCCAGCGACGATTTTTCGAAAGCAATCTTGTTTACATTTACCATCAAGGTTAAACTGCTAATTAGTTGCTAATACTATCTGTCAGATTTCCAATTTGATAGTACATATATTTATAAATTGCAAAAACAATATTTCAAAGAGCAACTAACCACAATTTTGGCCGTAGTACGTCAAACACCCTGTCACGAATGAGTCTTTACAGGCATGCAGAGTTTACTCCTTTGGTAAATGATTATTGGATGTTATCATCAATAAGTTAGATTGCAACTGTCAATTCTTTCCTTCCGATATATTTATCACGTAAAAAACAGCCTCTCATTTCTATGATCTATTGCTTGCTTTAAATACTTATATGGTTCTATAAAATAATATGCAACCAACATTGAAGTTGACACGCAATTAGTGACGTAAGTGGCTTCCCACTTTACAAAACGTTTTACGAAGATGCCGGGACTTCCTTAATTTGTTTTAGCTTCTCTCACGTTTATCATTGGTTTTCGAAAAGTTAAAGAAGGATTTCGGGTAAGCCGAAACTGTTAATACGAATCTGCGTTTCCAAAATTCAATGTCAGTGGGTGAACGACCTTTTTTGATCCCGAATAAAAACGTGAGTATAATACGAAAAATGTTTCCCACTTTAGAGGGCTAATTTCGACTTTGAGAATCCCGCCGATCGCGTGACGTGCGTATGAAAGATTGACGATTAACTGGCGCCACGGCATACAGGGGTGGGCTTGCCGATTTGACTGGGTTTTAAATATGTTAGAAAAGACCGCACCCTTGTTTCGATTGAATGCCAAATCTATAAGTCTAAACGTTTTCTATTTTTACTCTAGGAGGTTGTTTAAAAAGCTGTGCCTGTTTACATTCATTTGGTGACGCCTACGAAACTGTAGAATCAGAAGTCAGTGCGTCGCGACGCCGTTATAGTGTGCCGGTCGATGGACGACTGATAAGCTATTTTTAGGAACAAGTGTAACTCTACCAAACTTAGTTATCGAATTTCCGTCAAATCTTTAGGGTATATTTTGAAGTTGGACCTCAAAGTCGGGCAGTATTAAGTCTATCTTTTTTCTAGTTTAGGTTTATGAGTAATTCTTATGTAAAACTTGCAACGTTTTCTGTTTGAAACGAGTTATTAAGTCACATAAAATTTAATTACAGTTCAATAGAAATAACATCTTGTCCATTTTTCGCCAGAACAGTTTTAAGTAAGGTTAAGTTTTGTGGAAGGAATGAAAACTCTTATTTTTCAATAAAAAAAGTATTAGCTTAGTTAATATATAAAGTGATTTTCTTTTTTTTTTTGCTAGTGCTAGAAGTTCTGTTTGATGAGGATGAGTTTATATTTATTCTTCTCTCTAATAATTTCCACATTAAAGATATTTATTAAGCGTTCCATCACAAAATACACGTCAACACACAAACTTCCAATAGCAATGAGGCCGAAAGCAATCCCACACTTGCCACTGTTGTCCCTCCTTACATCAGTGACGACATATCAAAAGTTTTAAAGAAATATAAAGCGAAAACCAGATTTACCACTTGTCCAAAAATTTCTCAACATCTTCGATCCGTCAAAGACAAAATACTATTTGAGATGCCATGAGTTTATAGCATTCCATGCATATACGGCAAAGAATACATTGGAGAGACCGGATGAAAAATATCAACTAGGCTCAAAGAACATAAAAGAGCCTTAAGACTAAGACAAATAAAACTCATAAGCAGTTGTTAAACACAATCACGAAACCGAACATAAAATTTTATTGGATAAAACTAAAATTCTTGCATGTAATCAATTTTTCGACCAACGAAAAATCTTAACCGCCACTCAGGTCATTTAGCTCCGCCCCCCTCAAACAATATATAAGCAGGTACAGAGTAAAATGCGAGTCAGTTTCAACCAAGCTCTGAAGAAGCCAACACGATGATTGGCGAAACGTTAGCAAGTCCGACTCAACAAAAACCGACGGAGGCGGAAGCCAGAAGTTTTGTAAAAAGTATTACAGTAGCCTGTGGAAGTTTCTTTGAAAAATTTACATTAGGCCTTATTAAGCAAAAAAACATGTTTATCTAGTTAGCATTGTTAACTCTGAAATTAGAACGCCTATACTCCCAACCTTAAAATTGCTCTCCTTTTTTTTTTAATTAATCAATAATAATTGTCGCCACTCCGAACTCTAGGATTCTGTAATCTGCTACCAACCTAAATTGATTAGTTGGCAATAGCAAGTAACCAACTTCCGTGAAATTACAACAAATGCACCACCGTAGTTTCATTAATACAAAAAAATGCGGAGAAGAGACATTTAATATCACATCTCTCTTTCAACCAAGACTTTGTGGCGTTCAACAATCACCATGGCCGCTGACCGTTCTTCAATTCGACAGTTTTCAAGTTGAATGTGGCAGTTTTTTTGTAGTATTTTTTCAAAATTTTGCCTATTGTTAAAAATCCTGCAAGCTTTTTTGTTTCAATCCGCAAAACCCAGCACTCATTCTATTTATTTCAGAGTCGCAAAGGCTAAAAGGCGTAAAGTGAAAAAAAAATTAAATTAATAAAATAATTAAGTAATGATGGCGTAATGATAAAATGTCAGAAGGCCTTTGAAGGATCGCAGTCAGTTGTGGTTTTGCATAAATGTGGTTTGAAGGATTCCCAAATTTCCGGTAGAGCCCCAGACAACGTGAAGGTGCATCGACCGTAAAATTTTACAACTTCATCTAAATGAGGGATCTGGAGTTGGCGGGAGGCTTTATTGCGGTATCGCAAACTGCCCTAGACGGATGTAACCCGCCAATAAAAAAAAACGGCAGACGGACCGGTTTTCATCAAAATAGGACACACGATAAAACAAAAAAAATAAATACCCTCGTCAGCTGAGGTCTTGCTATATTTTTTACATATAGAAATATGACTCATAATAAACACGTTTTTCCGCATTTTGACATTTGACAATTAGCGGGATCATGATTTGAAACCTTTTACACAAAGTGAACATTTTCATTTTTAATTCATTGGGTCCCGACCAGTTTTCCACTTTTTGTTTATGCTGAGTAGAGAACAAACGAATTTCAGTTGGCAACGGTGTTTTCTCGGACGTCAAAGTCAGAACATGTTTCGCAGATCAAATTGATCATTATCTTGGAAGTACGAATCGAATTTGATCGGTATATAGTATCAAAATTTATCTATTTTGCTGTTGGAGAGCAACGTTTTTTAAAATTAAACAGTACAGTACTACTTAATTTATTCCATTATACCTTAATCAGAATTGCTATGGAGATTTGTGTATGTGTAAAACTTATTCATCGTTACTTCATCGTGTTCTCAAAAAACTGGGAAGAAGTTTGTACGGGAACTCTCTGACTGGAAAAAAGGTTGGTAGTTTCCCTGGAAAAACAAAACTCGAGACGTTGAAAAAGTATTAATGAGAACTCACTAGACTATTTTCTCTACTAAACCATCCAAAATGCATTACCACCCGCCATTTTTAGAGAACAAAGTGCGTAGTTTCTCTATACGATTGATTTCTCCTGGAGAAAAAAAAACAAATTTTTCACGTCAATTGAGTTCTTACGAATAATAAATATTATATAATAAATTGTATTTTGCGATAAAGGTACATAATTTCCATATTCATCTTGGAAGGACCTATGGCCTTCTTTGGAAGGAAATAAAAAAAGTGACGTCGACAGAGGATTTAAGAGTACTCTCTTACGCTTTGGTTAGTTTTGGTTAAACCAAGTTTTTTAGATTGAAAAACAATTAAATAACATTTTTGGACATAAATTTATTCCCGAACAAAGGGAACCATAATTTGTATCATGTTCAAGCGAAAAAAATTCTAAAATCGTTAAAAACATCTCGTAGAATGAAAACCGAAGTCTTTTACGCTGCCAAAACGACAAAATCCATAACTTTTCCTGATCCTTAAAGAACACCTTGACTAGGACAACCAAACGAGACCGAACCATTCGATTCCAGTACCTACTGATCAACAATTAAGTAATAATACCAGTAGCCGTGACAAAATCAATCTCTCCCACACGCCCTTTGCGCTAGTCACATCAACCTAGGTCAATAAATAACAAAAAAGGTTCGTATTGGCCACTCACCACCAGGGACGATTCGCTGCACACTGCCGGAAGAAAGAAAACATGTACCTTCGCGAACTAAATCGACTCGCGTACCACGAAACACATGTTGAAAACTTTGTTCTGCTTTTTTCGCGAATCGAGGCTCTGCCAAAGATTGTGTTTTCCGATGTCGTGATGTGACGTCTCCCCGATGTTCCAAGGAACCTCTAGAGAATGGGATCGAATGCGCATGAGAAAGCGAGCGCACGTGATCCGGATCAATACCGGCGCGCCGCCAATGAACTAGCCCGATGGAATCGATACGTTATTTTTTTTTACTCACAAAGGGAAAATTGATGGGATGTTTTTTTTCTAGAGGTTTTTGGAATTGAGCGATTTGGCGAAATTGGTTTTGGACGATCTCAAACGCGGATTCTCAATCCTATCCTTGCTGACTTAGTTGAATGGCAATTTCGCTAGTCGTCGTCGCCACCACTTGAAGACTTTGCAGCCTGACTTCATTCAAAAATACCTATCCGATAGTTTAAACTAATCAAAAACTAGTTTGACCTCTGTCAGTTGACAGGGAAATCGAACCACATTTTTGCATTTACCTCTGAAGGTACTAAATAATTTCTCGAACTCAATAAAGGGGGAGTGGGGGTTGTCGCGAGAGAGTACTAATTACTATACAGCCATGTATAGCTTCTAACCTACACTGTTAATGCAGGCAGGGACATTCAATATGTGCATGCCCGATTTGATCTCGCTTTTAACAAATAAGACCTTCTGGTATTCAACAATCAACATGGCCGCTGACAGTTCGTCAATTCGGCAGCTTGGCATATGGGGTTTTTTGGTAGTATTTTGTTAAAATATGCCGAGATCGCTTTAAAATTTTAGGGTAAAAACGATATAAGCGTACGGAGATGGCTGTTTATAAAGAAAAGTGCAGGTCAATGTGTGAAATGCGCTAAAAGCTAAAAACAAGCTATAATTTTCAACAGTTCTTAAAAGACACCTTTAGATCACAGCCTACGAACCATACAATAGATTCATTCGCAACGATGGCGTTGACGATTCTGCCCTTTTCTGTTTTTAAACGAAATATGACTTTTTTCATTCAAGTATGATTCTGTAGATTTTGAATTTTATATTAATATAATCCCCATAAATCTCCTTAATTAATTGTTAATTGTTTAAAAAGGAAGACAAATATATCAATTGAAATATATTATATCAGATTACGAATTCAAGATTCATTTAGACAGTAGAAGAGTGGAAATGTCAAATGAGGTATGAGCCATTTTTTGATATATTAACATTTTGTGTTAGAATTGTCGTACGTGCCCCGACGCATGTCCTGAGAAAAGGAATATGTGCTTATCGTAATAATTAAGTAACCTGCATATGCTTTATTTTTACCAACACGGCAATTATAACCATTGTTTTAAATTTAAACAGGTTTTTCTTAATTATCTCAAAAATGTAATTTTCGCACATACCCCCTTTGGCATTTCCACGCTTCACTAGCTTCTGCTATAATTGCGAGTTTAATACTCCAATATCCGTAATAGAAATTGTAGGGTTCTCCCTCAAGATGACTCATGCTCCACGCGTGGGGAGAAAAATCAATGAAGATTTTCGTGACCTAGCGCACAACATTCCATCATGTCAAATATGCTCCTTACAGGCCTTGATTCGCGACGTGCATCTTGAAAACGAGGCCGCCACTTACAATCTCTTAAAATTACGCGAATATGTAAAACGGTGCTGCTTTCCGGAATAATCTATTAAAAATTTGAAAATACGGCTCTGAACTCGAACTGCACACATTAACTTTTGTTATTCCGATGCATTGCTAAATTGAGCAATGTTGTTTGTCGCACCCATTTATTAGTTTTAATTTACTGCTCTGCGATTTACATTTCTAATTAAATTTTCTTACCGAGTCTTTCTGTTTTTCGCCGAACGTCGGCTACTTCACCGCACAAAACAGAACAGTGACATTTCCGCGAACAATCGATCGCCCATGCGCAAAACCGGCGACACCATTAGAACAGGACCGCATTTGCGAAGTAAACAACTTGTAAGGTATCGATCTCGAAATATTTATTTCTTTATTATCAACGGTTTAACGATTTTTACAATTTTGAAAATATAATAACTATATTGATATATCATTGAATACATTTGAATAGTATTGACTGCTTTAAAACTCTATTTTGCTCTTATATGTAGTCAGTTTCGGAATATGCTTGTCAGGTTTGGTCTCCTTACAGTCGGTATGTTTAACAGATTGAGAGTGTAAAAGAGAAATTTGGGTTCAAAATGGGTGTACAAAGTGAGGATATTATATATGATGAATTACCCCAGTCCTTTAATCTTACAAGTCCTAGTAAAAAAAGAAAGTGTATTGATATAAAAACCATGCATAAAATACTAAATGGCTTAATATAGATTGTCTAGAATTGGTGTTCTTGATAGAATTTAACGTATCAGAGAGCTCTGAGAGTCCTCAACCTCTTTTCTATTTTATAGAACAAATTATGGTTTATCTTTATCTCTGACACCCACCAATTGTGGTGTAGACATCTTTAATCATTGTTTTAATTTTTACCTCAAAAATAAAAAAATATCCTGTGATATATACTCGTTTTATTCTCGTATCGGTTTTTTAATAACTTAAACTTTTGGAACTGTGTTGTTGTGGATTGTAACCATTTTCAAATTTTCAAAGAAACTTCCATAGACTACAGTAATACTTTTTACAAATTTACAACCGATTCCAGGAGGAATCCCGAAGATTTGAAAATAGTATTAATTCCATCTTAGTAAATGGCTGGTCCCTTAAAAACAAAAAAATATATTTCTGTAGACCCGCCAAATTAATTTTTTTCAGGATTCCATTAGTCCAAAAATAGGTGAAAACGTTTAGGGTGTCGACTTTTTATTTGTTCCTTAAAAGCAATATACACTTGAAATAAAAAAAGAAAAATCTTTATACACTTTTTAATAAATCTATGGCTCAATTTAATTCCCTAATATCAAGTTTCGACGATAATATAATTTAATATTTCGACTGTTTCTGCTTTAGAACGGCTTGCACACATTTAGCCATCGTGGGTGACGCTCTACTGATTGAGTCGGTCATAAAATAGTCTTGCAGCTCCTTGAGCTTGACGTCCAAGGGCGAATTATTCAACTGGGCCTTCACTTTCTAAAAAAATAAAACGTCATTAAATAAAAGCACCTGCCAGGTCTTTGGAGCTCACCTTAGACAAGTCTTGCGCCTGTTTGAAGTAGTTCGCGTCCTCGACGGTTCCAAATCGTGTTAAATGGGGAGCGATCTCCTCCATTCTATCCCTGATTTCGCTCAGATTATCGTAGGGCAACGTCTCGCCGACGAGTTCCGACAAGGCCCTTATCACTTTCCAGTCCTCTCTGGCTCGTCCGGGGGCCGTGACTGCGACTAAAGTCTCTTGAGCCCTGCCCTCGGTATTTACATAAGTCGCTTGTTTTTCGGTATACGCGGCGCCGGGTAAAATGGCGTCTGCCATGGCGGCTCCTCGGTCACCATGATGGCCTAAATAGACTACAAACGAGTCGCCCGTTAGTTCGGACCTTTCTATGGCGCCATCGTCAGCCCCGATCAATAACAGAACCTTGGGATTCAGGGTCCTTATTTTATCAACGCCAGGGGTGTAACCGATGTCCAAAGCGGCCACCTACAAAATGTGGTCATGTTGCTCTTTGGGTGCAATAGAATCCACGAAATAACACTTCCGAGAAAATCAGTGATTTAGGAAAATAAAAACTGAAATATTGAGATAACTCATATCAACTCTCCTATTTATTACAAAATTTCTAGTGATATGTCTTTATAATTACATATTGATTTGTATTACTCTCTTTCTAAAACAAAAACTATTTATGTTAACTAAAAATAGCTATTTTTTTATGTGCCATTATTGCACCCAGTGGGTGATAATCAAATATTATCAATATTATCAACGCTGATTATTTGAGGGTACCATAGTAGGTGTCTGGAGATTAGTATCACACATTTTAAGTTTAGTCTTAAATGATAGCACAAACACAGTAAGGGTTCAATTTTTTTTAAGGTTATAGGTTATGTTTTCGTTTCAATAAAATACTCAAACTGGTTTCATTCCCACTTCTGATACTTGCAAAGTAGTAATTGCGTAGTACACTATTGATGAATAATCACGAAATCAGTTAGTCTTAAACAATTAAAAAACACACCAAAACTGCGTGAGAGAGCTTCCATGGGGCTGAAATTTTTATAGTTTTTATCGATTGATTTTGATGAACGATTAATAAGAAAACACGTTATGACCAACACTTTTAATATAACGTAATCTTATGGTCTATTTACTGGAATGAAAATCCAATGATGTGCATAAAAAAATCAAAATCGAGGGTTTGAAAATCTGCTTCTGAGAGAGTCTACAAACGTTTTGTTAATTTTAAAAAATTAGTTTAATTTAGGTTATCAAAAAAGAAAAATATTTATAAAAGAATGAAAAAAATAGAATTTTTAAAATTACAATGTCTTTTTTGCGATAACTTCAAAGGACAGCGAAATATCTTGGATTTTATAGATATTCTTAAAAGGTATGAAAAACGACAAATTGTCTCTAATGTAGTGTTGGGACTGGTCAATTGACCGTGGCCAATTGACCACTTCTTAATTGACTAGTCAAATTCGATCAAAATGTTTTAAAGAAAATTTTTAAAAGTAAAATTTATCTATATCTCCCTTTAAGGATTATCCGAATGTCATACTTAGCGATTCCCAGAATGACGCAATGGCGATGTAAGGCACAATATAAATAAATATAAATTTCATGGTATTTGAGTCAATTGATACAAAAAAAATTCACCGGTCAATTAATTTATTTAAGATAACCCTATGATGGTAAAGGAGTACCTGACTGGCTATCTTGTGTAGTACATTCAACACCTTCCAATCTTTGGAATCGACAGAAGTTGCGGCGGCTAGCGATTGCGCCGCCGCCAATATGGCGGCCCCGTCCGGCCTCTCCAACACCTCTGAACCTACAATTATTAAGGGTTTTTTGGCCGACTTTAGCCTTTTGCTCACGTCATGTTGACCAGTCGCGACCTGCTGGAGGATACTAGGACTATCGCCCAGGTGTGTGTATTGGTAACGTAAATCGACCTTGGGGCCAATTAACGCGATCTAATAATTAAATAATACCATGACATGGTACAAATCGCATCGTATAGCGACGCCACTAAACATTAATAAGATAAGAAAGGTCACTCTTTGTCCAATAACATCCACACATTGCCCGTCATGCAGGAAAAAGTTTAGCACGCGAGTCTGCAGAATAAAGAAACAAATTTTCCTAATACAACACGTCTGTTTGAACTGCTTTAATATTAGATAAGAATAAAACTATTTACAAATCTTCTGGATTCCTCCTGGCTTCTTCAAAGATTAACAGAATAATGGGCCAAATGTCAGCAAGCTCGATTTATTAACCAACCAACGCAGGAGGAATCCAGAAAATGTGTAAATAGTATTACAGTCACCCAGTGGTTTCCAACCTGTGGATCGCGCGAGACTATTGCAAGGGGGCATGCAGCTGCTGTCAAAATTTCATTTTGTTTTTGTATTTTTGTAAGATTTGTTTTTATTACATTTAAAATGATTATTTCTTATAATAAATAATTATTTTTTGATGTATATTTTTATATAATATGTATATTATTTTGTAGCCCATTAAATAAATGATAATATCAGTTGAGTATTTATGAAATTAGATTGTAAGAATTTTTTTTTAAAGAGGGTCGCAGGTACAAAAATGTTGGAACCACTGCAGTAACCTGTGGAAGTTTCTTTCAAAAAATTAAGTTGTCATTGTCAAAAAAACCTAGACTCTTCTCTTTTTATAATTTCTATAACTAAAAATTACAATTTCGGCAACCCGGGAAGGGACGTGACCCCAAGTAAAAAAACTGGTATTGGGATTTAAGACCCATCCTACCTCAACAATGAACAAACCGAGAGTGCCCCTTTTTATCTTGTTTTCAGCAGCGATACTCACATCCAATTCGTTATGGACGTAACCCTTGCGCAGTCTAGAGTTTAATAATGGGGCTTCCAAGCGCGGGTTGGTGCCGACCAACAGAACGAAATCGGCTTCCTCTGCCGCAGCTATTTTGTTATTTAGCAAATAACTGGATCGTAAATCAGTACCAGATCCATCCATCGGAAAAATGTGTTCTGTGCATAATACCTCCGACCCCAAACGGTTCAACAAATCTTTCACCGCCACCAAAACTTCGGCGTCGGCAAAAGCGCCTGCGATCGCACCGACGCTACTGCCTAAATTGGAACATTATACTCTTTTTGTATTGAAGATGGAGAGAGTAATAATATATTTAATTAAAATCTAACTGCGAGCAGTACAAAAATGAATGGTAAAAATGAATGAATGAATGAAGAAAGGTGATGAACCACATAATAATTTTAAATACTTTTTCATACTTTCCATACATAGACATACTAAAGTAACCAAAGCTATTTACTTACCAGTATTTTTAATTTGTTTTGCTACTGTTAGTAGTGCTATTTCCCAATCGACAGCCTTCAATTCCCCTCTATTGTCCTTAAGCATTGGAGTTACCAACCTTTGCCGTTTCAACCCGTCATAACAGAACCGGGACTTATCTGCCAACCACTCCTCATTGATTTCCTCGTTGAGCCTAGGCATAATCCGCATGACTTCGTTTGTTCTCGTGGAAACGACTATATTGGAACCGACGGCATCCAGCACATCAATAGAGTCTACTTTACGGATTTCCCATGGTCTAGCTGTAAAACTGTACGGTTTACTGGTTAAAGCTCCCACTGGGCACAAATCGATAATATTCCCTGATAATTCGGAAAGGAACATTTTTTCCACGTAGGTCCCCACCTGCATTTCATTGCCCCGTCCAGTAGTTCCTGCAAACAGCAATTACATCATTGCTACTGTACACACATACCTTTACCTAAATCATCAACTCCAGCAACTTCTGATGCGAACCTAATGCACCTTGTGCAGTGAATGCACCTAGTCATAATAGTTTTAATCAATGGCCCAATATCTTTATCCTCAACAGCCCTTTTCCCTGTATAATTAATATCTACAAATCTAGAACGGTCTGATCCAAAGGCCATGCTTTGGTCCTGTAAATCACACTCTCCCCCTTGATCACAAATAGGACAGTCCAAAGGATGATTGTATAATAAAAATTCCATTATACCTTCCCTAGCTTTTTTAGTCATTTCAGAATCTGTTTTGATGCGCCACCCTTAAAAAAAAAAACATGTAAACCTAAATACTTTCAAATGAACAGTTTTTACCTTTCATAACAGGCATTGCACAAGCCGCGACAGGCTTGGGAGATTTTTCTACTTCAACAAGACACATTCTGCAATTACCAGCAACTGCTAAACGTTCATGGTAACAGAACCTGGGGATTTCTATTCCAACCAAAGCAGCAGCTTGTAATACTGTTGTTCCAGGTTCAACTTTAACTGGTATGTCATCGATAAATACTTCTATTTTTTCCGGTTTCTTTGCTTGATCACTGGAGGCTCTTGTGATTACTGCAATGTGCTTGGGGCTGAGATTGCCTGTACTAAGAGCTTTGCCAAAAATCGTTCGCAGCATGACTACAACCACAGAGAATTACATAATAAAATGATCTAACCTAAATAATAATGTTAAGAGTATCCAATTGAGTTTATTGAATACCTCTATGATGCCTCAATTTAAGAAGTGTAGGTACCTTAAATTATTTTAGATTTGTTGATAAATAGCGAAATATTTAAAAGTCGTTCATGAACATCACAATATACATGGCATTACCAACGTTGCCATGTTTAAATTTCCTGCAATCCACTTTTGCTAGAAGTGCCTACAAAGTGCACGAAGCACCGAACGCGCCCGACACGTTCGCTGCTCCGTGGAATTTTATTTCAACTCATATTTTACGATCTATAGAAGTCCCATAAAATTGGTTGCGATTATAAAAACTTTAACCGCTTTACGTGTTTTTTTTTTCAATGAATCCCTGGAAACCCACAATAGAGATTAAAAAAAAAAATAACAAAAAACCTCTCTCACCTCCGTCTCATTGGAACCACGAACAAAAGAAGGGAAGCGTTGAAAAACGCACAAAAGATGGATGGATGCAACGCGCAACGCGCTAATGTGTACATGCCATAATACTTCAACGTTTTTTTTCTATTTCTTTAATCGACGACGTGGACAAGTTTTCTAAGATCAATCGACCAGTGTGGAATCTTGTTTTATCTATGCTGCAATTTCCACACTTCTTTTCTTTTGATTGATGGGTTAACCTTACTTTAGACACTGAGCCAGCCCAGCTAAGAATGCATTCTTAATTCAATGGTATCTAATTTCCTTTCTTGGGTGCTTCCTGCCGAGGATAATATCTAGGAACAGCTGGTTTAATTAATTTTGTAAAAAATGGCTTTTGGCAATCTAAAATCTGACAAGGAGCTTGCCGAATTAAATAAACATTTGGAAGACAAAAGCTATATTGAAGGGTAGGTTCTATTTGAAATAAATTCATCCACGTGGACGTAATGTTATAGGTTAGCTGTTGTATAATGTTAAAAAATTGGATTTCTAGCTATTTCCCTAGTCAAGCCGATATCGCCATTTTGAACAAACTAAATAAAGCTCCAGCAGCGCATCTTCCGCATGCGTTGCGTTGGTACAATCATATTAAATCATTCTCGGCAGATGAATTGAAAAGTTTTGGTGCATCCCCCTTAAACACAGCCCCAACTACTACAGCACCCGTACCCAAAGATGATGGTGATGATGACGACGTAGACTTGTTTGCATCAGATGAGGAAGAGGATGAAGAAGCAAATAAAATCCGAGAAGAAAGATTAAAAGCATATGCCGAAAAGAAAGCTAAAAAACCTGAACTGATTGCCAAATCAAGTATTGTTCTTGATGTTAAGCCTTGGGATGATGAGACTGACATGAAGGAATTGGAAAAATCTGTTAGAACAATTGAAATGGATGGTCTAATCTGGGGTGCTTCTAAGCTGGTTCCAGTGGGATATGGTATCAATAAGTTGCAAATCATGTGTGTAGTTGAAGATGCAAAGGTTTCCATTGATGAGTTAACTGAAAAAATTGAAGAATTTGAAGACTTTGTCCAATCGGTTGATATTGCCGCTTTTAATAAGATTTAGTTTGTTGCTTTCAAAATAAATTTTTTTCAGGTTTTATTATTTTTTACTAACCTTAATCAAGAAATTACAGAACAATTTCATTATTAACTTGAAGAATCTTATATAATCTTAAATTATGACTAGGAGGTACAGAAACTATAGAATCACTTAAAGGTAATTTTACATTGAGAGTATGACAATAATTTCTCACTTTTTTTGGTTCAATGAAATCGGAGAGCAATGGTTCCTTATCTTTGGCTGGTAATGGGGCTCTTGCAGGTAAAACAGATTGAGATTTTGGTTGTTGACTTCCCAATGGTATTAGGTCCTTATACACTGGTTGATCCAATGGAAAATTAACTCTCCTTGTTATCTGAATAAAATAAATGTGTCAATTGTGTTTGGACATAATGTTCTAACATGATACCTACCTTTTCATCTACTGCAAGTTTTAATCTGTCTGCTTCAGACAAACTTTTAGTTTTTCTGGGCTTAACAACTGCCTCGATTTTCTTGGAAAAATGTAGGGTGCTGCAAGGTTCTGGTTTATCAAAATCCGATTTTGATAAATTGTGCACCAAAGATTTTTCATTCTTCCCAGAATCATTGGAGGTTTGTAAAGACGTTTTGGAAACAACCGGGGTTATTTTGGGCAATGGTTGTTCCGAATTGCGAACTAGTTTTTTCTTACATTCTGCCTTTTTATCTTTATTCATTATCAACACAAAACCGTTTTCGATCAGTTTTAAACAGATGCACAGAATAAAAGCTTTTCTAAGTTGTTCTATCTAGAAACTGGAATTGTGATGAAGTCAATATTATTCTAGGTTATGTCACTAATGATCATATTTCAAATAAAAATAAGTCATATTGCGGACTCCATTAACTTTTCAATAAAATGAGTACCGAAACAACGGGCCATGAAATTTTAGATCGATATAGAGTTATATCAGGAAAACTTAAAAAGTATGTTTCCGTTTATCAAAACATTCTTCTGTATTTGTAACATAGACCTTAAAATTTAAGACGATTTTTACGTAAGCCAAACGTCACTGAAGCTTCTGAATCTTTTGTTAAATTGGGACAACAATGCGAGTCTCAGGATCTTCCATCCTATGCTGCCCTTTCTTGGATGGCCGCTGCTCGTTGCGAAGGATCTTTAGGAAACATTCCAGGGGAAACGTCTTATATGATTCGTTCTGCAAGACAGTTTCTGAATGCTGAAGAAAAAGATTTTAGCACTGGATGTGTCCGTGTTCCTTCTGATAATTTACAGGCTGGTTTAAGTTGTTTTAACCATGCCGCCATTAGATGTCCGGAAGAGTGCACTATTCCTGTTGGACTAGAATTAGAAATAGTTGAATTTTTAAAAAGAATTGATCGAAATGAGTATATAGAAACTTACATTCGTAATTCTGTGGAAATATCTGAAGGAAGACCTAAAGCAAAAATCCACTCTCTGGATTTATTGGGGTCTCATTTTATTTCAAGTGGTAAAGTGGTAATGTACAGTTTTAAGCATAATTAATTCATATTTGTGACTTCGTGTTTCTCTGTCATATTTGTATTTTATAAATGTATTTATTAAACATAGTATTTTATTAATTTTTCAAAGAAACTTCCACAGGCTACTGTAATGCTTTTTACAAAACTTCTGGATTCTACCTGCATCAGTTTTTACTTAGTTGACATTGCTGACGTTTCGTCAATCATCCTGTTGGCTTCTTCAGAGCTTGACAGAAACTGGTTTCAGTTTCAGTCAAGCTCTGAAGAAGCCAACAGGATGATTGGCGAAACGTCAGCAATTTCGACTAAGCAAAAACCGACGCAGGAGGAATCCAGAAGTTTTGTAAAAAGCATAGTATTTTATTGTTTTAGGTGATTATGTTGCAGCATTGAAAAGTTACCTGGAAGTAAGTGATACATTATGTCAATTCCATGACTCTGGTTACAAGTCTGAACTCTTACTTAAATGTGAAGTTAATTGTGTTTTCTTGTTGTTAATATTACACCCTGTTCCTCAAAAATTATCTCCAAAGTTGGGGAAAATTTTGGAAAAGTATGCTTGGGGAGACAAAAATGACAAGAGCATTGAAAGTACATATCATTGACCTTCAGTGCTCTTGCCCTTAGTGAATACATTTTCTTTGTAGGCTGCCACATGTCTGAGAAAATGTTTCTGTTGCTTCAGTCTTTGGTTATAATGTGCCAATCATTTGACACAAATGGCTTAACAGAGTTAGAAGGTGAATTTTGGCCATTATTATCCAATGAACAAAAAGATTTGTTGCGATTATTGGTTGGAACATACCAGCTCTAAATTATAGTGAATTGTACTGTGTAATATATAAAATACCCAAATATGAGAATTTTCTACTGTTTATGGATAATATTTTTTTTTCAATATTGTTAAAATACTTACTTATTTTTCAATAAATTGTAAGGTAGTAATTTTTCATGTTTTTATATTATTATGTAAAAAATGCAAATTTGAGTTATTTTAAATAATAAACAACAGATCTGCGACTCGCCAATTCCCGAGAATGCCAAGTGTGACACAGCATGACAGATCGCAGGGAATAGACTTTACAAAAATAGCCCAACAATTCCTCTCGGACGTGAACATGTACCACATTTCACGTGGATTCGATTATAACCCTTATATCAATCTAAAGTACGAACTAAGTTGCCATATCAGTTATAAGTTCCCAAATCCAATAAAAATCCTTTAAAAAATAACAATGACGTCATCATTGGCACGTAGTACGGGTTTAAAGAGATTTTTTTGACAATGTTTACTTACCAGCTTTAACAACGAAAAGCGTAACTTCCATAAGTGTTGCGAATTGGTGAGCTACAATTATCGTTAATATCTTTTACTCGGTCGGTTGGTGAACTTTGTGCTTGTTTTTAAGGTTAGATTCCTTTGAATGTGTTTGTTAAACAAATTTGATTACCGTCGGCGGTCAAAATAGGCTGTAACGGTCCAAAAGCGTCGGTTAAACCATTTTATTTAAAAATAGATGTTGGTGTGTTCTATTTTTATCAGAAAACCATCAAAGGGAGAGGTGTTATTTTTGGTTTATTCTTGAAAGGCAAATAAGAATAAAACAGTTCTGATTTATTTGGAAGTGAAGTTTATTTCCAGTGCGCGTAAATTTAGTGCGTGCTTTGAATATGAACAACATGGAACTTCGGTCTAGCAGGTCTAGGTCTAAAACTCCATTTTTGACTCAAAATTTTATCAGTGACGAGGTTGTTGAGGCTGGAAATCATGTAGAAAAAACTGTTACTCGGAGCACTCGAAGAACTACTATTTACAAGTAAGTACAGATCAGAAAAAATGTTTTCTTAAACGTTTTTAAAACATACATCCTACAGTCGAGAAGTTGGTCGGAAAAAGCGGGCGAAATAAAAAAAATCGCGAATCTGAGCTTCAAAATGTCAAATATGTTATGCTTAAGTGTCAAAGTTTTAAAAATGTCAAAAGTATGCTACATTCATTCTAATGCGAAATGGTTACATTAAGAATAACTGATTTTCATGCATTTTTTATTGAAATAAAGGTTTTTACTCAAAAAAATAAATTCGATGCAAAAAATCAGCCTATTACTGTGGTTAACGTATAAGCAAACAATTTGATTAAATTTGGTACCTCGTTAGCATATTGCAGGATAACGTTATCATTTATTTGCCATCCATGTATAGCCCTTGTATTGTTTAAGCATTATTAATTAAATTGTATGTTTTTCTCCCTAATATATTAGCATAAATTTTATTATCGATTTGTTTGTTTTTTGGCAGGAAAATAATTTATATTACGCCTTCGTTTAGAACATTTCCTTCATGATAAAATTTGTGAATATTATGACAATCACAAACCCTCTTCTAGGACTAGCGAAGGCGCTACCAGTTCAACCGAACAATCGATTTATTCAAAGCCAATAAAAAAAACAGCAACGCGGTCAGAGAGATCGCTAAGGAGCGGATTGTTTAAAACATCGGATTATTCGTCAGAGGACGGCGAGAACGAAGTCAGTTCGACAAAAACCATCAGCCAAAACGAAAAGAATCAATTGATAGAAGATGCGCGATCTGCGGCAATTAACGGTGACATGCCGGCATTGGAATTGTATAAGAAGTCTGGACGATATTGGGAGTGAGTTCGTTTTGCCAGAGCGTAACTTAATATTAGCCCAAAAGCATACCTACACGAGATCAGATTTCATATAAATAATGCGATACTTTATTTCACATTACAATTTAAGAATATTGTGTTTCATTTATTCTTCCAAGCGTTGAAATTATAATCAAATCTGTTTTGCGTAAAAAAACATTTAGGAGTACCATAAAAACACAATTTTTTTGGTGCTTTTAATATAGCGAGAAGCGTGTATTTTACAGATTTCGGGCATTTTTACTGTGAATGCGAACTTTGTGGCAATCGGTTTGGTGTTGTTCACTAGGTTCACGTTTTTAAAATTAATTTTTCTTAGTTTTAGAAGTTAATAAATACAATACAGCTGCGTAATTTTTGTGGTCTTTGCCGTTTATTTTCAGGGTTTATCCCAAAACCGACTGGACCTACTCTTATCACTCTAAAGATCGTGTCGAAATTGCCCCGGGGGTGGTGGCTATGCCAAACATGTCGCGCAAAACTATACACGCTTTGGACGAATCGTCAAGCAATAAACTGTATTCGGAACACGTTTCCCACAAAAATGTGAGCACGGAAGATTCATATTTGGCAAGACACACCAACCGAAAGAGTGTGTTCAACAATAATCAACAGGATTACGAAATCAAAAGGTAATTGAAATCTGAACCCGTTTTAGGCGCATGCGTGTTTCGTATGTGAGGGAATGATTTTCTGCGCATGCTCTTAAATTTCACAAACTCACCTGCACTTTGCGTCAATTTCTTTTTCAGCAGCGATATCCACACACTTAACTCCTTTTAGCCTGAAGATTTAATGAGATCGGGATATATTTTGAGAAAATACTGCCTTAAAAATGCCGTATCCAACTTATTAACGATCTGTCAGCGGTCATGTTGCTTGTTGAATGCCGCAAGGTCATTGGTTAAAAACAACATATTAAATCTCGCGCATGCGCATGTTGAATGGACCTTGTCTTATTTTAATTCAGAGTTCCTTCATAATTTCCTGTAGTTCTCTAGTAGCTATGTGGTTGAAAGTGAGATTTGAATCTGCTGAACCTCCCTTCTGAACAGCTTCTATATATCTGTCTATATATTCTAAAGTGTTACAGCTTGTCAAATATCGCGGACTTGTATTGCTTTTATTAAAACGGAGGGGTTGGGGGGCACCAAGTTATGGATAGGCTCTAAGGATTGTACTGTTTCAGACAAAAGTACAGCCGTTGGTCTATAATAAAAAACACAACAGTCGCCATTTTAACGTCGGTCATCACCATTCTAACGTCGATTGTTGAGGTGTTTTACTATACCTACAGGGTACAGACAAATTTGTTGTCGAAGGTACACAACTTGGCCGGCAGAGTGATGTTGTTCGACACGTGGTTGTTGTGGAAGACGAGACCCGGAAACAAGGCTACCAAATTGGCGTTACTTTGTTTGATTCCATTGTTGCTATTTGGCGGTAAGTGGCAGGGTTTATAAAACATTTATTGGGTGCCTGGTAACTCTCGACCAATCGTGACCAATACGCAAAATTCAGAATTTTGAATCTACTGAAATATATAAAACTATGCAAAGACAAAGAAAATAAATTAATTTTTTTTTCTATAACCTTTCATTTAGTTAGACGAGATATCTGTATAGAAAAAATTATTTATTTTTGAAAAAGTGCATAGTATGGTGTTTTTAAATCTGAGTTTGAAAGGATCCTAACGACAAGTCTGCTCATAAGATAAAAATTTTAACTTGAATGTCATCTCAAATGTTTATGAATTATTATTCGTAGATATTTAATTGACTCATTAGCTGCTATTTTTAGTAAATTTGATATATTTTTTCCTGTGCGAGTTATCTGGCAACCTGTCTAGATTATTTATGACCCTTGGATAAATTGTAGACTTGGTAAAAATGCGGTTTGCCACAATTTTTTCTGACGTGGCAAGGGTGGGATTATCCTGTACCTGTATTTCAGGTGCGCACATTTTGTTGGCTAGCGGCGTCTCCCTTGCCCTCTCCTGCCACCCTAACTGTGGACGCGTCGCGTCGGCTTACACTGAGTCGTTTAAAAAGTCCGTCAGTAACGCTCTGAATTTTAGCCAGTAACACGCCTTAACCCACAGCTTTATAATCATTTTGCATTTAATGTATCATTTTATTAGCGAGGTCAAATATGGTGATTAGGATTTTTTTTTGTATTTTTAAATCGAAATAATTTGATGTGTAGGTTATTTTTAATCGGGTGATCTCTCGTGAGTGTTTTTCGAGTGGTGCTCTGTACTAAATTTTTATTATTTTATTACTTATATATAATTTTGCCAGTAGGGCGAAATAACACTTAATGAAGTTTCTCGAGACGGAAAATTAGAATATATATTTCCATAAATTTGTTTCGTTTTTGAAGTTTCATATTTAGCGTTTTTATTTATACAAAATATTTATTCATATATTACATTTAGCATCTACTTTTTCATCGCCAGGGTCATCAATAGGTATTTTTTAGCGACCCTGTAGGATTGTGTATTGTTAAAATGTTTGTATTTATATCTTATGCTTTATTCTCAATAAAAACATTGCGCATCAACTTTGCTTCTTTCCTTTCTACCCAAATCGATTAACTGCGTGGTGGTAAGAGACGGCAGGGAGATGCGACTATTGCTGTTAATTGGTGTAAATGCAAATGTTAAAGATCGAAATTTCTGTGACGAAATATAGTTTAGAGACGTAATTTATGAAGTTGACATATTTTATAGTTACTAAAGTTAATATCATTTCAAATATAATGGGGGAAAGAATTTTCATTTTCTCTTAATTTTGTGAAAATCATTTTTAGCTTCTTTATTTCTCGCAAAAAATAAACTCGAAGTATACGGTTTTCTTTTATAATAATGGTCAGTTAGTAATCCTACAGCACTATCACGAAGAAATGTAATTAAACACGGATCAAATCCACACATGAACTCTTAAAGTGACTAAAAATATATATTATTAATTAAAGGTATGATACTGAATAAGAGAAAACATAAGCGAAAAGAACGAGAACCCATAAATAATAAAATTACCTGTCTCTGGACAGACAAAAAGAAGTAGTTAGTTCCAAAATACCAATAAAAGTACTCAATCAATCATCTCATCATTGTAACTAACCCTCATTCAAAAAAAAAAGAAAAGATAGTTACAGACGTTCCAGTTGTCTTAGCTTTTTCCAGACTAAATTAACAATTTTTCATGAAATATTATTCAGTTGGGGTTATTTTAGATTATTTTGCCAGGTCTGCCAGGTGGCTCCAACGAGATCTATTCCAAAAGTTGGTTTAAATTTCCAGGTTGGTGGCTGCTTTCGGGCCTTGGCAGCGTTCTTTACGCGACCTTTTCAAATTCCATGCCGCTTACCACCGGAAATTTAGTTGCGGAGATACACCCTTCCTCTTCCGATCTGCGTTCTAATTCGGACAGCGGCGAAAAAAAAATACAGGAAAATGGAGAAAATTACATAGATCTGTCCGACGAACAGGTCGAACTAATCGCTCGAACCATAAAAAGTTCGTTCCATTCGGACACGAACAGGCAAATCAACACGGACGAATTGGTCCGCAGAATAGTCGAAAACCATAATTTTCACACCTTCGTCGACGAGGAAGTTCTGGGGAAACAGCGGGCGTCGATTGACGCCCTGACCAAAGAAATTAAAAACATGAAACGGGACACGGAGAAGCTCAGTGTCGAGATGAAGCGGTGTTGTAAAAAATCAGTCATCAATACCGAGAGCTATGTCAGCAGAGTGGTGACTGACCTAATAAACAATCCCGATTTTTTGCGAAACCAAAAGGGTCTGAACGACTGGTTGGAATCGCTTTTTGTAGCGAAAGAAGCGCTCGAACAACGTCTCGCCAACGTAACCCTTAACGTGGATTCGAAGACTGCCGAATTGGTGCGGGAGAACGGCAAGATCCTGATGGACCGCGTAGCTGCGAGTTTATCGGACGTCAATAAATTGAACGTCGATTACAGCAGCGGGTCTATTGACGAGGATCAAATCAAAAGAATAGTGCGGGACGTTTTAGCGGTTTACGACGCTGACAAGACCGGTTTGGTCGACTACGCGATGGAAACTATGGGCGGGCAAATTGTTACAACCCGCTGTACCGAAACTTATCATCACGGTAAAGCGGTGGTATCCGTGTTGGGTATTCCGCTTTGGTATCCCGTCAACTCGCCTAGAAACGTCATCACGCCGGGCATTAATCCGGGAGATTGTTGGGCGTTCCAGAATTTCCCCGGCTTCGTGGTTATAAAATTGTCCGGCATGGTCGAGCTCGAAGCGTTTTCTCTTGAACATATCAGTAAACTGCTCGTGCCGGACGGTAGGATCGATTCCGCGCCCAGGGATTTCGAGGTATACGGCCTGACCGGGGAAAACGAAAAAGAGCCCGTGAAATTGGGATCGTACACGTACAATTACGACGGCGATCCATTGCAGTTCTTTGCGGTAGAAGGTGAACGTCGCGTATTTGGCATGATCGAATTGAGGGTTACCTCTAATCACGGTAACCCTAACTACACGTGCTTGTACCGGTTTAGGGTCCACGGCAAGCCCTACCGCGATGAACAGGTCAGGTGAGACGTTAGACTTTATTTTTCCGACGCAATTGGTGATAGTTGTATACCCACACGTTGTTTTTGAAATGCTACAGATTCTCGTAATGGGTCAGATAAAGTGTAAGAAGCGCAAGTTTGTGATTAACTGTGGGCGATAAAATAATGACGATGGTACTCGACTAAGACGATTACAACATGATTATAAAAAAAAAAACTTTCAAGCAAAAATAGAGCGCGTTGAACATGCAAATTATGAGTGTAAAAAAAGCTTTCACCGATTTGCAGTATAAGTCGCCAATAGTTCGGATCTTAAGATGAATAAATTTTTGTGGTTGGTTGCGGATCATGGCAACAAAAATAACATTTTTAGTTAACATCTTAAAGTTTTCGCAACTTACATCATAAACTTCATAAAAAAAATTCTTCAGTTTAAAAGTTTCACCAAAGATTTTCTCACTAATGGGTTTATAGCGATTCTTATAATATTTCGAGCTAAAGTGTTTGTACTTAATAGGATGTAGATATATTTTTCATATTAATTTAAATCTTGTTTTTATATATATTTATTAAGTTAGTTTTAAGGTCTTATAAGGTGTTTCATTTTTTTCTAACGAAAACTACTAGTCAGACCTTTTTCACCTTGTTTACTGGTAGCCCACTCGGTGAAATGTAATTTTAGATCTAAGGTACGCAATGAGCTAGTCCTAGTGGTATTTGCCCTACATTGACGCTGTATTGATGATAAACTTGTTTTGTTTGTTTTCTGAGATAGAGTACAAATATTTTAATGACTTGAACGGAAATAATAGCGCCATGTCATTTTTTTGAATCTTTTTTGTTTTATGTTTGTCACTTTTATGGAGATTTGGGATGAAATTGGTTGTACCCCATAGTATTTCTCGTTTAAGGCGTGGTAATAATTTGTTAAAAATCCTATTTTTAAGTTTTACTTAGCAATGTAAAAGCTTAGTCTAAGTCACCATTCTTAAAAAATATTGTGTTTTGCGCATTTCAAATAGTAGTAAGTGGTTTTTCAGTTAGCTTAATGCAAAGATCTGTTCAAAATGTTTTACATCTCTTTCCCATAAACTTTTTTTATTTTTACTTTGCGGTTTGTAATTAACTACGAGACCAACACACTGTGCCTTATTTGTTTTCAACACTATGGCGAGGTACACTACCCTGAAATTGGATCTCTCTTTTTTTTAGACCATTTATTTTAGAAAGCAATACTACGTGTATTTTGATATCTCAATAAAATGTTTTTGTTGTAAAGATGATTTATTTAGTTCCAAGCTTTTGTACCTTTCAAAGTCATGAATCATGAATTAGATGAATATTTTTTTTATTAAAAGACTAACTGCATCATAACCCAAACAATTATTTAATTATTGTGGATAATAATAATTCCCGGCATAGAAAAATTCCCCTTATATTTTATTTTTTGCCCCATCCCCATAAGCCTTTAACAAATCCAGAAATACCAGCTCCTTGTTTAACTTTTGGTTGTCCTTCGAGCTTCTCTGTAAGATCAGGAAACTCCACCTGGTTCAATGCCAAATCATAAAACAAAGGTTTGGCTGGAATAGGTTCCATGTTTGGAGGTAACACCACCAAATTTGGATTCTTAGACAAAAGCTGTGGTTCTTCTCTAAATTCATCCAGTCTGTCAATAAGGGGTTTCTTTGATTTGAACACTTTCTGGGGCAGATTGATTGCCTGGTCTTCTTGCTGGTCCAGCACGTAGTTGGCTTGAGCAGTGGCAATGTCAGTTTCATAATTGTCCTTCATAATCTTAAGTAACTCTGATAATTCTGATCCATAGCCAGTAGTTTTAAGAGATTTAATACTCTGACTTACTGAATCAAACAATATGGCCGCTTCCCTCCACCTTCTAGCAGCAGCGTGGGTTTTACCCATGTAATAAGATCTCAAGGCTTTGTACGCGTTTAGTTGATCATTGTAGTAACTTTCAGCTGCAGCATTATTTTTAATGCATTCACTTTGTGACTGTTCATTAGTCTGTTGAATGTTAATGTCAAGCAACCGAAAGCTGTCTTGCGGCCGTTTGGTTTGCTGAATCAGCAATAAGTTCCTTTGAGAGGTCCGCTCGATTCTAATTGATTTTAGATATGTCAATAATAGTTCATCTTGTTTATCAGTTCTCGCACTCTCGCGTACAAGGGAAATTACATCGCGTAAATCAATTAGAATGTTTTCTAAAATCTTGATACGAGCCTGATTGTTTTCAGCATGCTTTAAAGAGTCATCTAGGCCTAAAATTATAATACCAGTGCCATTTCTATTAATACAGAATTATTTGATGCCTACCTTCAATGCTCACCAAGAATAGTCTGACTCTCTCAATTCTAACTGAAATCTTCAAATTGAACCAGTCAACTTCATGCAGGACAGCAACAGTTTTTTCTTTTGTTTGTGAAACCAAAGCATCAAAAGTTTCCAAAATGCCTTGGCTGCGCAATTCTAATAAATCTACTGCCTTATCATCACCAATGTTATAAGAACAATATCGCAAACTTGGAGCTATCTCTTCCACTCTTTGCTTGTATGGTAGCTGTTCATCTTCTTTCAGAGTCGACGCTAACTTTTCATATATAACTTGGGCTTTCTTAAAATTCTCAGTTGCCTGCAGCCACAATTGCAACTCAAATTGCAACGATCCATGAATCCACGCAAGATAAGCTTGCGACTCTAACTGAGTTCTTGGATCACACCTTTCATATTTGCACAATTCATCTAACTGTAGGGCATAAACGCACGCTTTTCGTAGTTTCTGAACTAAATGAAACTTCTTTCTAGGTTCAGTATTAGCTTCCTGTCGTAATTGCATGGCATAACCCCAACAGCGCTCAGCCAGCATCAAAGGAATTTGTAGAAACCTTTCATCAGCTTTGGGGTTTAGAATGTGCGATTCCGTAACATCTCGTTTTTTAAAATGCCTTCTGTCACCTTGGGGAATCTTCAACACCTTTCGAAGTCTGCTAATCCTTCTGGAACAGTACCCTCGGTACCTTTGATAGTCGCCGTGTCTTAAACCGTGTTGCTGCTGAGCGTCTTTAATTAAAGTTAAAACTGTAACATTGCGGAAAAAGACAAACATTAAAACGAGGTTAACAGATGGTTTTCAGTAACTACTTGCTTTCTAAGGTGAGAGGCCTCGGTGGTTCTACTTCAGGTTTCTGATCGAGTTTCACATTATGTGGACCTCCATTACTCGATTCCAATACCATTTTTGCAGTTCTCTTGAAGAAAAGTTCTTGAGCAACGTAGCCAAGACAAAATACAAAGTGGGCAAAGAATGCTTCGTCTTTATTCCTTTTTACTACGTTAGGCAAGTAAGCCAAAGACACTCGCCCATTACCGACGTCCGTCGGGCACAGGCCAAAATGATAACACAAAAATATAAAAATCACAAAAAATCGTTGTTTGTTTATGTATTATAGTTTGCAAATTTTAGTACGTCTGTTATATTTCCTCGAAGGCAGAAAATATTGTGTTCAGTTAAGAATATAATAATATAATAAAAATATTGCTAATAGTTAAGCTTTCAAAATTTAATTTTCGAACACGTAAATATACATGCCTAAAAATGTGGAAAAACCTTGTTAATGTTTTACACTAAAGATTGTAGTATCGACGACATTTGCAGTAGGAAGTCGATAATGTCCCTCCATTACCAGAAAATCCCGAATATTAAAAATGTATAAATAATTTTCAGATAGCGTAGGGTCAAGGATATAAACAATAGAACTGTTTGCCCACGGGCGTACTGCAATTTTAGTGCATAACGCTACTGACCGAGTTGTATCGGTTTCGTAAAATTCAATGACCCGACTACAACCACGTCACTGGTTTTCGCTTTCTCCGTTTCTGTCTATCTCGAAGCCTTTGCCGTATAACAAGTTTCCTATGTTAATGAATTCCGTCCAGCAAGTCCGCGTGCATATATTTTAAACCTGGCGAGACGGCAATAATCGCCAGTCGATTTTTGATTTAGTTCCGAAACGCCTTAAAACTATTTTTCCGATTCCAGTCAACATGCTAAAGTTGATTTTAGCCACTGTGTTGGTGTTTTTTGTAGCCGGTAAGTAATATTTTACTAAGTACTTATATATACTTAGATTCAGATTTAATAACAACTTACTTTTATCACAAAACTCAACTCAGTTAATTTGCAAGCGTTTTACACCGAATTAGGTAACGTGATTTTACAAGGAAGTCAAAATGTTTTTGAATTAGAGACAATAAATGTAAAATAAGAAAAAACATTTTTCGGGTTGCTCTTCTGATCGCACGTTATAATCTCCAAAGTTTTCACTAGTTTATAATTGTAATCTAAGATTAGCTGTATTTTTTTTGAGAAAATCTTAATTTGGGATACTGATACAAAATAATAGTTTGAAAAACGTTCCAATTAAAACTAAATGAGCATTACTTTGTTTTCTAAATTGTATACATACAGTATGTTAATACTTTATTAATATTGAAACTGAACTTAATATTATAACACTTGGTTCTAACACATATAACTGTTGACATTTAAAGCAATGCTTTATTGATTTTTTCGGTAGATATTACTAAACAAATAATTATATTTTACACTTATATAATTGGTGCTTTGCCACTAGCGAGAAAATTGATTTGGAAATATTTAAACAGGTGCATTAAACGTGGTTGTGTCATCGCGTTTAAAATTTATCGAATTTTTTATCGCAGCTTTGTTAACCGTATTCATAGAAAATAATCTTTCTATGTGAAATTTGCGTTAAGTCACAAGATTTATTGCATTTAATCCCGTTGCTATTGCACGTGTCATTGCACGCGATTTTATTTTGTGTGCAAATCGAACAAAATTAAAAGATAAACCAACAACGCCCGGTTGACATCGTCACGAATCCAACCAAATTCGTATCTGTCCCATCGCGAACAGGATTTGAGCCCGTCCTTGTTTGCCTTTATCTGACTCGTTAGGCTTTTTCGATGATCTCACTTTCCGAGAATTATTTTTTAACTCTCAAAGGTTGATCCAAAACAACATTTGATTGAATTAACCTTCTGACGAATCGGATATGGCGCCTTACAAGTAAGTCATTACGAAGGTCCGTTTAGTTAGGTAAATGTCACGGCCTTTGAGGAGTATACGCATACCAAAAAGTCACCGAACTGCGCGCATATTCCCCAAGTTATATCACATATATAATATACACGGTAATAAACTTTAATTTCAGAAAATTAAAGTTTTTTTTGTAATTTTTCAAAGAAACTTCTGCACTGGACTTCTTCTGCGTCGGTTGTTGATGAATCGAACTTGCTGACGTTTCGCCAATCATCGGGTTTGATTGATCAACAACCGCCGCAGGAGGAATCCAGTAAATAGTAAATAGTTATTTATATGTAACTTGGAAAAATAAATAAGAGCTAAAGGTTCAGATTTTCACGAAATTCTATATATTCACATGACAATTGCTTCGACAACACCGTGTCTTTATCAAATGTAATATTTACAAACTACCTGCTACTATATATACCGAAAAATGACAATAAAACCTTAATTAACATTGTTTTGAGAATTTAAGTTTAATAATGGAGAAGTATTTACATCTAATTGATCGTTAAGCAATTCATTTGAATGTCTCATTTGGTAATCTCCATGGCTTTCACTAAATTTATATTTCTACTTTTTGTGGCTGTATATAAAAGATCAAAATTGTCGTCAAAAATCTGTTTGTCTGTGTTTAAGTGTGCAGCATAATTAAAATCTAGACTATTATTTTTAAACGCTCTTTTATGTTCGTTAATACGTTTCTTGAAGGATCTACCTGTTTGTCCAATACACATTTTAGGCATTTCAACATGTAGACACCTGATTTTTTGGATTTTATTATTTTTGAGTTTTCCTATTGTGTTGTTAGTTCTGAAAGCTATTTTTAAACCACATTTTGACAAATGTTTTGAAACTTTTTCATTGGGTTCTCGTATATATGTAATTGTTTTAAATTGTTCATGTTCTGTATTAGGTTTCGGATAACTAAAGTTTACTGTTGTCTGGGATTGTTTTTTATTTATAACTTTATCGATAATGGGCGACGGATTGTAGCCGTTTTCAGTGTAAGTTGTTTAATGATATTCAGTTCTTTGTTGTAATTTACTGTTGAGAGTGACGTACTAAGAAGTCTGTGTATAAAAGAGTGAAATGCAGCCAATTTGTGTGTGTAAGGGTGATTTGAGCTGTTATGTATGACTGTTTTCGTGTGTGAAGGTTTACGATAAATGGAAAAATCTAATTTGTTTTGCGTTTTCGTAATAGAAAAGTCTAACAAATTAATAGAGTTATCCTGTTCAATCTCGATAGTGAATTTTATACAATTATGTAATAGAGATGTAGATCTAAGGAAGGTTTGATTATGGGAAACCCCCTTAGTCCTTTGTTAGCTGAGATTTTTATGGATAATTTGGAAAATATCGTACAAGAACATCCTTTAAGTTTTCCATGGTGGTATAGATACGTGGATAATGTCTTTGCTTGCTTTGCTAGAACGGACAGAAAATTGAATTCTTTTTTAAATTACATTAACTCTTTACATAATCGTATAAAATTCACTATCGAGACAGGATAACTCTATTAACTTTTTAGACTTAACTAATACGAAAACGCAAAACCAATTAGATTATTCCATTTACCATAAACATTCACACACGGACACAGTCATACATAACAGCTCAAATCACCCTTACACATACAAAATGACTGCATTTCACTCTCTTATACACATTCTTAACTCTCAACTGTAATTAAAACAAATAACTGAATATCATTAAACAAATTGCACTGAACAACGGCTACAATCCGTCCATTATCGACAAAATTATAAATAAAAAACAAACCCAGATAACAGTAAACTCTATTTAAACTATTAAAACTTATCTAATAAAAACAAAAATCAAGAATATTTATTTTCATTTTTAACGCTGTTTACCGCCCGGTCAAAAATAAATCCGCCTACACCCAGAAATTTGATTCCGCGTAAAATCCAAACGCTTATTACCACATAATAGTTTAATAAATACGATAACAAAACAATGCGGGCTGAGATAATTATCGCAAGCTATATGTATATGACATCCTCGTTTCAAAGGCAACAGCAATTAAAATACAATGAGGCGACCGACGAAACTGGTTAGCGACTTGCACGACTTAATATTCCCGAAAATATTAGATCAAAATTATGAACTTCTTAACTTCTTACGCCTTATTCTCACTTAACACTGAATATTTATTTTGTCGCCGTTCATTGGCTTATATATTTCGTTAATATTCTAAGCACGCGTCGATATCTTTTGTTGCTTCGGTTTGATCACATCATGGAGTCAACGTATTATTCACGATTAGCAAATATTTTCACGGTCTGATCATCTGATAGAACAATGTACCGTGCGTTAAATTTATCTTGATAACATTGTGATTGTCTGAAACTTTTTCGTTTTTAAAGATATCGTGGTAAATAAAAAAAATGTAGGGTTAGCAGCAACCTTTTTTTTCCTAAATGAGATCTAGACCAAAACATTAACAATTTTCTGGTATTTAGTATTTTCTTCAATTGATTACGTTATTCTGATTACAATTATATAACACGATTTATATTTTATTCCACTTGTTTTTGAAATATTTTCAAACATAGGAAATCTTCCTACCATTTCATAGAGCGCTGCGATTGACAATTAATTATATTTAACATTTAAATATATTTAACATATCGCTAAGCAATATCGATTAATTCAGATAAGTATAAAAAGATAAAAAGGGTAACCGCTATGTGTTGCCAGTTGATTAGAGTTGATCCAGAGGGATGAGTTCCTTCCAAACATATATTTCCTAAACTTGCATAGAAATTTGAAAAAAAACGGTAACTTGTTAAATATGAAAAAAGTTTGTCGGAATAAACCTGTTTTGAATAAATACAGTAAAACAATTAGGGTTTTTTGAGTCACATTCGATTTCTATTGTTACTACAGTCCAATCAGAAGAGTATAAAAGGAGGACGCAGTTTTGTTTGGAAATACAAAATACGTTTTATGGATCGACGAAATATCGTTCACTACAAGAAAGAGCTATAATTAACAAAATAGGCGATACTGATCTATAAATAATTATAGACAAATACAGGAACTGAAACCCCAAGGATACCAGTGGGTTAATGTTTGGTGTAGAGTGTGTTATAGATATTTGGGGTGCGAATGTCATGCTGGTCAATGGGGACCAACAGACCGGACTTGACATTCATGGTTCAGTTAAGAGACAATCCGGAACTCTTATTAAATGAGAAAAATCGTAGAATTAAAATTTACAAATAATGGGTTTAGCAAGATGGTGGCCACATTTAATCGACTTCTATTATAACAAATAGTTGGTAGTTTTAGTAAAGTAAAAATGACTTATTTTTCCCTATACAGGGTGTTTTCTAAATGAATGTCAATAATTAGGGTGGTGATTTTGGGTTCATTTAAAAAAAAAACTTCATATGAACATATGCCCTACACGTCTTAACTTTTGAGATACAGTGCCGTAAAGTTTTCAAAAATAAAATAATTTTTTTTAATATGTGTATTACCACATTAGATATTTTAATGAAACTTGACTCACATGCACTGTGTGTCAAGAGGCATTATTTAGTGTACAACATTTTTTTTTAAACACAGTAATGGCTGCTGTACGTAATTTCACATGTTGCCAGGTACTATTTTGGCAGACATTTCTAAATAAATTTAATTGCTTGATTTTTTTCAATCCGATGTACGATTTTCGCTTAAACAATCAACAGTATGCAGAGAAATTAGTTTTTATTTTTAAGTGAAAACCGTGTTACCGACTAAAAAGAACAAGAGATGAAATTTGCTCATAAATGAATGCAAATGTCATTTTTTTAAAGGAAATCACTGTGTTCGTACTTCGATATTTTGATAGAGAATTACTTAAATAGGAAATAATAATCATAATAATTCATATTGACGATATTGTTATCGCTAGAAGAGGTTTTTATTTTTTTTTTGCGAAAACCGTACATTAATTATTGATATTCAATCATTCATAATTGCAATCAGAATAACATGTTCTTTTGAATACCGATAAAATATAAAGCGTGCTCCTTTAAAAATATGGCTTAGAAAATCGTTAATGTTTTACTATTTCCAAAATATTCTGCATTCCTCCTGCGTCATTGAACTGTTTCTCTCAAAAACCGTTTACTCTACTGGAATAATTTATATACCAGGAAGCGTGGGAGATCCAGTGGTATCGTCTCTATTTCGTACAATGTTTGAACTATATATAGGGTGTGACGTTTGACGTTTAAAAATGGCCGTTTTCGTAGGTAAATTATTAGCCATAAATCAAAAACTATAAAACATGGGATAACAATAAAAAGTATCGTAAATTGTATGGTTTCGTCTATCATACAGGGTGCGCCAGATATTTGAAAATATATCATTGGAAATCGGTATTATTTGCACAAATTTTTGTATTTACCAAAGTTTGCCGTGACTTTGAAATTCGGCTAGACGTGAATGACACTTTATACAGGGTACATGTACAATCGAAGCGGCTTCTTTTTGAAATAAAAAGCTGCTTCGCGCCACGCCAAGTTGAACCGCCCAGCTACGATTTTTCGAAAACAATGTTGTTGTATTCTCTGTATTGAGCCAACGCAACGTTATTTCAGGGGCTTTCTCCGATGATCTCCCTGTAACGCAACAGTGCCTGGGTTGTATATGTGAAGCAATTTCCGCGTGCGATACGAATCGCACCTGTCACGGCGACGTATGCGGCCCCTTCAGGATTACCTGGGCGTACTGGGCGGACTCGGGAAAACCCACCGTCAACCGTGAAGCTCCCGACGCGCCTCAGGCCTACGCTAACTGTGCGGGGGACACTTACTGCGCAGCTCTGAGCGTCCAGGGATACATGAACAAATTCCAACAGGTAATTTATTGCGAAAAAAAAGTGAAATTATTTTAAATTCTGGGATGGTTAGTGATAAATTTAAATTTAAAGGTTTTCTACGTAAATAAATTAGATTATAACCGTTAGTTTTAACACACGAAGCTTGGAATTACACTATTTTGTCTACAATGTCCAGTTATCTTATGATGCTCCTTCACAGCTTATTAGATTTATTAATATAGTTTCGACGATATAAGATTGTTATTCCAAATTAATCAAGAATTGAACAACAATTTTTGATTAAACTCTCAATGTTCGGTTGAGCTTTTGTGTTATCATTTAATTAACAAAATTGGATAAAACTAAAAACGTGGAAGCATTAAAAATATTTGTTGTTTAAACTATAAAAAACACAAACACTGTTATACTGGGTGTTCCAAAAAACGTTTCTGGGGCAAATTAAGGCATCAGCTCTTTACTTATTAGTCATTATATTTTGTAATTTTTGTAAGCATAGTAAAAGTTAAATGAGAGTAGCATTCATCCATAACTTTCGTCCTTTACCAACTCACAGTTTGGTTTTCGTGAACATTTGACGAAGGTGTAATTTCTACGGCACTTTTATGCTATATTAGGAAGGCCTTCGATTATGTGGACCACAGCGTGTTAATTAATAAGCACTCCACTCAAACTCCTGACTATTTTCAAAATTTCAAACAAGTCAGAGTGAGTTGCAAATGAGTTTCATAGGGGTCGGTTCTCGGGCGTCTGTTGTTGGCTGTTTACATCACCGATCTTGCGCAGTCGCCACGAGTGATGTACAGAAATAGTTTTCTTCTAACAACTTCCTTAGATCAGTCAAATGTCACGCTCCTGAGATATTCCTTAGTGTCCTATGGCATATTGCTTTGGGGTTGTGTGAGTTATTCAGAACGAGCTTTTCGCGGTAGTCTTTTCTCATTGCCAAGCGCTGATTTATTTATTTATCGTTCGGCCTTACATATGGATTAATATAAATATTAAAATATGAATCATAGCGTCAAATCGAGACTCTTGATCCACCTCGTTGCAGTGAGTTTACCACACTTGTTGCCCTACCAAATAATATCCAAGCTTTACCATATGGCAAATTTAAAAGAATAATGAAGCAGTTTTTGTTAGATAGTCCGCTGAATATTTTTCAATTTTTCTATTCCTGAAACTCTCACTATCATTTCAGATATATTAAAATCCGAGAATCCGGTACCAAACCTTCTCACCTTCCATCAAAAACCAAAATTATGGAAACGTCGATGATATTTTTGTTATTTTGCCTCGTAGTCAGAAATCCTTAGTAGATTTTTTTAAATATTTAAACTCTATGCACCCTAACATAAATTTTACCATTGAAATAGAAACTAATAACAACCTCCCATTCTTGGATATTCTTATCAATGGAAAATCTGACCTAACATTCGGTCATTGTGTTTACAGAAAACTTACGCACACAGACCGATACCTTAATACATTGTCCCGAGTCATTGAACCCAAAATTAAAACACCTCTTCTCTCTAATAATTTAAACATTAAAGATAATTAGCGTTCCATCACAAAATACACTTCACCACAACCTTGCAATAGCAATGAAGCCGCAAGCAATCCCACACTTGCCGCTGTTGACCTTCCTTATATTCAAAACATCACTGACCACATATCAAAATTTCTAAAGAAATATAACGTGAAAACCAGATTTACCACTTGTCCAAAAATCTGTCAACATCTTCGATTCGTCAAAGACAAAATACCATTTGAGATGCCAGAAGTTTACTGCATATACGGCAAAGAATACATTGAAGCGACCGGACGAAAAATATCAACTAGGCTCAAAGAACATGAAAGAGGCTTAAAACTGAGACACGTAAACTCATCAGCAGTTGTAGAACACTAACAAAATTAAAATTCTTGCATATAATCAATTCTTCTACTAACGAAAAATCCGAGAGTCTATAGAAATCTATAAGCAACCTAACAATCTTAACCGCGACTCAGGTCTTTACCTGTCACCAATATGGGAATCAGTCATCCGAGACGGTGTTTATGCCCCTCATTTAGCTCCGCCCCCCTCAAACAATATAAAAGCAGGTACAGAGTAAAATGCGCGCCAGTTTCAGTCAAGATCTGAAGAAGCCAACAGGACGATTGGCGAAACGTTAGCTAGTTCGACTTAACAAAAACCGACGCAGGATGAATCCAGAAATTTTATAAAAAATATTCCGCTGAATATACATACAGGTCACGAAAAATATTACTAATTCCATCAATATGTACAAGTGTAATTTAGAGACCATGTAGGAAATTTTACCAGCAGATCATGAGAAACGCCTGGTATTCTGTGAAGAAGTGATTGAAGGAGCTAACCAAAATGAAGATTTCTGTACCGAATATTTTATTCACCGATGAAGCTTAATTTTCGTTACATGGTCGCCGTGTGGGGTTTGCTGGATCCCCCATCGGGCGCCTCCCCAGGTGGTGGATAGGGGAACGCCTCCCAAGATATAGGTGGTACCGAGGAAATAAAATACTCGGGGCGAACCAAAATCCAGCCTGGAGATGGGCAGCAGCATTTTCAGTACCGAGCTGAAGCACAAAAGGAATGATCTTGGACTGGTTTAGGGGAGGACAGTGAAGGGCTCGACTGTAACAGTATTAGATGGCCTTCATACTGCGATGGGGAAGGCAACGGGAAACCACCCCATTATTTTCCCGCGTATATCACAATGGCAAGAAACTCACAAAGAATGGCCCTCAGTCCCCGGCAGACCTTCGATGGTCAGAGGGTGCGAAGAATCCCCGGGTTAAAAACTATGAACCACACTTACAAAATAGCGACATGGAATGTGCGAACACTGTTTGAGGGAGGTAAGCTGGCAAATGCCTGCCATGAGATGGACAGGCTTGGTATACATATCCTTGGAATTAGTGAAACGCGATGGCCCGGCTCAGGATCGATCACGACCTCAAACAAAACCTTTTATTATTCGGGAAACAATGATCCCAGCCATAGACATGGAGTGGGCATCTTGCTGAATTCCAATATAGCGGCCTCGGTTGTAGGTTTCGTACCATTATCTGACCGATGCATGCTCATACAACTAACTGGAAAGCCTGTAAATATTAATTTGATTCAGGTATACGCTCCGACTGGCGACAAACCACTGGATGAGCTTGAGAAATGGTATAGTGACCTCAAGGAATTACTTAGTTACACGCGAAAGGAAGAAGTTACCTTTGTTATGGGGGACCTAAATGCGAAGGTCGGAAAGGGAAGCTCGTCGGAGATGGTTGGGAGCTTTGGATTGGGGCAAAGAAATGACAGAGGGGACAGGCTAATAGAGTTCTGTCAGGAAAACAAGTTTGTAATCTTAAATACCTTGTTCAAGCAACCCCCGCGAAGACTATACACGTGGACATCTCCCCAACACAATAATGACAACATAGTGCGAAACCAGATTGACTACATCATGGTGAACCAGAGATTCCGCAGCTCAGTCAAAAATGCAAAGACGTACCCCGGCGCTGACATAGGATCTGATCATAATCCTGTGTTAATTGATTTCTCTATGACACTCAAGCTCACGAAGAAAAGAAAACCAACACCACAAGTTGATGTGCAACAATTAAAACAAGAGGCAAAGAAAAACTCCTTACAGATCGAGCTTAACGCCAACCTCCAACGAATTAACCGAGGCCAGCGGACAGCAGATAACATTGACGCGACCTGGACTGAAATATCTTATATACTAAAGGAGGTCACAACTGAACACCTTAAGTCAGAGACTAAGAAAAAGAAAGAATGGATGACCAGAGAAATTCTAGATCTAATGGACAAGCGCCGGGAATGCAAAAACAAAAACCCAACAGAATATAGACGCATCCATTCAATTATTCAGCGGAAAATCAGAGAAGCAAAAGAGAACTGGATGAGGGAAAGGTGTGAGGAACTAGAAGACCTACAGCGTAAACATGATGGTTTCAACCTGCACAAAAAAATTAAAGAATTATCTGGAGCAAATAAGCGACAAGCACCATATAGACTGTTTGATAATAACCACCAGCAAGCAAAAGACATCTCTGAGGAAATAGTCATATGGAAAAATTATATCTGAGACTTATTTGCCGACTTAAGAGAAGAGCCATCCACTAGCAATAATAACGAAGGTCCTACCATAATTAAATGTGAACTTGAACGCGCTATCAACCAACTAAAGAACAATAAAAGCCCAGGACCTGACAATATTTACTCAGAAGTTATTAAGTTAATTGATGAAGAAAACTTGGATCTCTTCTTAAAACTACTTAATCAAATATATAAATCTGGTAAAATTCCGACAGAATGGCTGGAATCTACATTCATTCCCATTCCCAAAAAGCCGAATCCTCGTCAATGCAATGACTTTAGGTTGATTAGTCTGATGAGCAACGCCCTGAAGATCCTTCTCAGAATTATCCACAATCGAATCCGGGAGAAATGCGAGCAGGTAATCTCAAGAGAACAGTTTGAATTCAGGAGAGGCATGGGCACTCGTGAAGCACTGTTTAGCCTGCAAGTTTTGGCTCAGAAATGCATGGACCAGCAGAAGAGCCTATACATATGCTTTGTTGACTTCGAAAAGGCATTCGATAGAGTTCCACATACAGGCCTTCTAAACTCCCTTGTCAACGTGGGAATCGATGGAAAGGACATTCAATTAATAAAGAATCTCTATTGGCATCAAATAGCAAAACTAAGAACAAAAAATACTACATCTGCGGAAATAGAGATTTGTAAAGGAGTACGACAGGGATGCATATTGTCACCGATTCTTTTTAATGTTTTCTCGGAGGAGCTGTTTAAATTCGCATTAGAGAATATCTCAGATGGAATCAAAGTAAATGGGGAAACTGTCAACAACATAAGATATGCTGATGACACGGTTCTGATGGCCGACACAGACATCGGGCTTCGGAATATTATTGATAGCGTTCAAAGAGCATGCTCACAATATGGGATGAAGATCAACATTAAGAAAACAAAAACAATGGTAATTAGCAAAAATCAGAATATCCCGATTCCATTGCAAATCGACGGCGAAGTCCTAGAAATGGTAAATCATTTTAAATATTTGGGTTCCTGGATTGAAAGAGACACAAACCCCGATTACGAAATAAGGACTAGAATTGAGCAAGCGCGCCAGGGATTTATGCGATATAGGCGGCTCCTCTCTGATTCATATTTGGACCTGGGCCTACGTCTGAGACTGGTACGATGTTACGTCTGGCCTATCCTGTTGTACGGCGTTGAATCATGGACGCTGAAGGCGGCCATGATGAATAGATTGGAGGCGTTTGAACTCTGGTGCTACAGACGAATGTTGAGGATCCCTTGGACAGACAGAATTACGAACGATGAAGTACTTCAAAGAGTGGGTGGTGAGCGAGAGCTACTACATATCATAAAAGTAAAGAAAACATCATACTTAGGCCACCTACTCAGGCACGAAGAGTATGAGTTGCCACGACTGATAGTTGAGGGAAAGCTGGAAGGAAGGAGGGGTTTAGGAAGAAAGCGACTGTCCTGGATGCGAAACATCAGAAACTGGACCGGCCTGAACTTTGAACAAGTAATAAGAACGGCACAGGATAGACAAGCATTTGCCAATGTGATCGCCAACCTTCACTGAAGACGGCACGCGATGATGAAGATGACATGGTCGCCATAATCCGGCTCTTAATATCCCTGTTCATAAAATTTGGTACCAACAAGATGGTTGTCCCACCGATAATGCTAGGCGAGTTCAAGATCTTCTAAATCCCATATTTCTTAATCGCATAATAAGTGGACAAGGAACAATCTTTGGGGTTATTTCACTAGCACTACAGGCAGACATACGATCGTGCAAAATATTCAGAGGAACTTCGTAATAAAATCACAAATGCTGTTATCCATGTTACTGTTGAAACACTGGCCAAAATTGCTTAGCTAAAAATGGTGGACTTTTTTAACCCTTTTCATGTCGGATGGATAGCTATGATTTTATTAAATATATTATGTTCTTTTTTAACTAAAATCAGCGTCTTTATTTTAGTTACGAAAACGTATACGAAAACAAAGAACAATATTTTTGAAGCATTGTAAAGAAATGTGTCGAAAATTTAAAAATGTAATTCCATATACGACATTGCGCGAAAGACATCAGTACCGCGAACGACGCAACCCTTCAAAACAATTCAATTAAACTAAAAACTTATCGCTGACTGAAACGGAATCGAATGAATTGGAAGTGAGGAGAGGTTTGGCACTATAGCACAATATTTGAATCTAACTTCGATGCTTTTAACATCTCCGTTCAACTTGGTCACAATACCGATAACTCTATAACCGAATAATATTGTTTGTTAAATAAGAACTAACGTTGTTCAGATTTTCACATAAATATATTTAAATGACAGCTGTTTCGGCAACACCGAAACAGCTGTCATTTAAATATATTTATGTGAAAATCTAAACAACGTTTGTTCTTATTTAACTATTTTAAATGGATTTTCATCAAGTAAAAGCCACTTCAGTACAATAATATTGTTCGTGACTTGTATACTTATAGTTTTGAGTATATTTATGTGTCAATTTCCACAATTTACGTATTTATTTATTGCAAATCTGTTATTTGCCGACTTACCATTTGTTGTTTTGTACAATTTATATGAACGATTAATAAAATTCTTTCTTTCTTTAAGAATGATCATTAATAACAAAAATTATTTATTGTTGTTTATTGCTTAAACTTCAGTAATATCAATTTGGCAATTTTCTAGATTATTCTTGCTAAAACGGTTATTTATTGCATGAATCAATTCCGCAGTAATGAACCGCTTTAAATTCAAATTCACAAGGCGCGCAAACTGCTAGTGCCTTTGGAAATTTCGCATCCGAAGTGATAAAAAACTGGTTAGCTGCGATCGAGAGATACGTGCAAGGTAATATACATGCAAAAGGGTTTAATTTATTTGCATATAGCGTCTGACTGAAGTACCTGCCGATCCTGCTTGGGGTCGTAAAGCTGCGGTCATAGTTTTCCTTTTTATTTGTCAACATCGTTTCGGTTTATAGCGAAACCAGCTCAAGAATAATGCAAGCCTTCTTAATATTACAAAAAACTTATTATTATTATTTTATTGGCCTAAACAGTGGTAATATTTCATTTTTTCAGCTTATTTAAACGCATTATCTATCTATCAAAGTAAATGTTATACTAAAAAAAAACCATTAGCGTATCACTTTCCTTATTTTAAATAACCATGCGCGGCACTGCCTTTGCTACAGCAAACCAATTAAGAAGAAACGGCGGCCAAAATCAGTATCCTTGTCTCTCTCATTTTAGGTGTTAATGCAACCAAAGTGAGGCGGATGATGATGGTCGTGGTGGCATCTTTGTAGGTTTGTAGTGCACAACGCACTCGCAAAGCTGTAAAAATATGTTTAGCCCTTATTTATTAAAGCAATTAAAGTGTTAGTGTTAAATATTTAATACCTAAAAAAAATGTGTCAATTCTTTTTTGTGCAGGATTGCAACGGCGACGGTAAAATCGACTGCGATGATTTTGCCGCTATCCACAAGCTGGGAGCTTATGGTTGCGCTGGTCAACCTTTACCTGAACCATTCGGTCAACGTTACAGACAATGTAAGGCCATCGTAGGTGGTCAATGAGAAACGTCCTTATTAATAGACGCATCGGCTAGGGTCCCTTTCCATATCTTTTGCAGGAGCGAGTTTTAACGAAATTGTCAAATTGTCCTGTTGTTTTTGTATAGACGCCGTTTGTAATTTATAATTTTGCGTGAGATTTAAGTGTAATGCTGTGAGACTGTCTTTCAAATAAATACGTAATTGTAACACGTAATGGGTTTTATTTTGGTGTTTTTTTTGGTTCTACTTCCTACTCTAAAATACTCGTACGTACATTTGCAGAAAGTGGTTTCCAGTCAGTCATGTATTAACCCTGTTATGCAAATGTGTACTAAAATGGTGTTTATTAATATTAGGTACTATCCTTCTTTTTAATAACCTGAAATATCACATTATTTTAGAATATTCCTTTAAATGTTAAAAAACTGAAATGTACTAAAACTATAATAATTTTTGTTTAATAAATACGACTCCACATTTAACTTTGTGCGGTCTCGAAAAACGCCGTACTTTATAAAATTAAATTAAAAAGGGAACAGTAGGAAAGAAAACCAGTTCTCTCCAAATAAAGAATAAACACTTCACTTTATTACAAAATCATAACATCAACCAAATCTAATAGTGACAAAACTACAAATGAACTGGAACGGTAGAGGTATTGAGATGTCTAGAACACATAGCTTTTCTATTATATAGTCCAATTGCCAAAATTTCAGATGTGGAAAATTTCGGCATTTTGGCATTGATATTTGTGCTCTCGGAGAACTTGCGTTTAAAATATATACCTATTAGATATAAAGAGCCAATATTAACAAATGTGCGTACATCAATCAAGTCATTTCAAAACTGTATCTTTGTTTACATCTGTAAGTGAAGGAGGGTAGCTTACACTGCAGCACTTAGCACAGAGCACTCAGCTTTACATCAAGCTTAGTAATGTGGACGATGACAACTTCCAGAGTGGTGTAGGAGATGGATATGATTCGCCAAGCATGACGTCACGCCTAAACGAGACGTCGTATTCCAGTTCGTACACCTTTTTTATTTAAGTAAGCAACGACCTGTTAGAAAGCATCTGTTCCACCATAGCTTTTCCTGGATATAGTTACTGTTTGGCAACTGTTTCGTTTTTTTAGAGCTAGCCTACAGAAGGTTCCGGTTTTGACATTTTTGACATTTTTTCGACAACACTCTTTATAAAAATTAAATTTACAGGAAGAAAATGCGTTAAGTGTGTGGAGATTGCTGTTGCATCAAATTTAGTTAATTTAAGAGTCCTATATTATCTAATAGCTGTGTGGTTTTATAGTTGTAATTTATCACAATGAAAATTTATAAACATTGGCAACGCCGCAATTCCACAATACTCAGAAATTCAATGAAGATGAACTACTTGACGAAATATCTTTAATAAACGAATTTGTAACCAATGAAAAGTCAGAATATGGCTTGAAGTTTTTGATAATTGCACAAAAAAGCAACTGGGGTTTTAAAACAAATATTTGATAGTTGAGTTTGCACTCTGCTTACCCGGCACTAATGCCGAGGTAGAAAGAGTGTTTTCAATTATAAACAACTTTGGGAGTAGCGAAAAAAGTCAATTTCATGTGAGCTCTTTGAAACTAGTCATGAATACAAGGCGCAACGGGAATTTAAGTTGTTTGAAGTTTAACAAACTGCTTTTAAAAAATGATGTTGCTCCACAAGCAATAGGCGGCCAAAATAACTATTCTTTTAAACAATAGGTGGTTTTAAGAAGTCATTAGTCATTAAAATTTAGTTCGTATATAATTTCAATATTTATGAGAAAAACGTTTTTTTATACACAAAGATAATAAGTTTTTTTTTTCAATTAATTGGATTCATCTCTCGCGAAGTTGGTCACCTTGTTTTATTTTATCAAACAGACAGGTTTCTAATATCCAACGGCACTTTCAGTCTGTTTAGTTTCTGACTAACAGATTTCCTAAAACTACTGCGTCCACCACGCAAAAAGTGAGAAGACGAGTGAATTTTTATTTTGGTTTGGTTGTCATACTTTTCTGTAACGTCAAATTGTTTTTTCCACTAAAAATAATACGGATTTAAATGTTAACCACAATTTCTCGATTTTTTAAGAAATATTCATATTTTCGAAGGTTGCATATTTTATATTTTTATTAACGCTCGCGAGTAGTAGAAACCAATACATTTTACGCAAATTATGCAAATGTGTTTTTGTTTCCCCGCCGATAATTCCCATTATCTAAGCGTAAACATCTATCAGGATCACGTTCACATGCGGAACGGAGATTTTACCGAGTTCGTAGCTGTTCGTTGTATCGTTTGCACGTAAAATATCGGCAATAACGGTGGAAAAACAAGCAAACAAGTCGAGTCCTGTACAACTTGAATTTTCCTGCGCCGTATGCAGTTTTATCCCATTGCGAAGCCATTAAACGTAATTAAAATGCGACGAAACTCGTTTACCAGTAGTCTTCTTCTTTGCGGTTGAGTCGCCCGATTTTACGATCCTGCTTTGGTGAAGATGCGCGCGAGTGTAGCAGTTTTATTTATAGTTTTCGGGGTCCTCGAATGGGTTTCGACTGGAGGTGAGGCCTCTTGATTTTTTCTGCCCTTTCGTTATTGACCGTTTCGGGTCGCAGACGGGGCCGACTTGATCCTGCAAAACTTAAACCATCAATGTTTGAGATGTCTTTGTCACGTCGCTACCGGGTGCGACTTGACGATGGGCTGCGTCAAGGGCTATTGCGGCCCTTACAAAATTAGCAAGATATACTGGAAGGACGCGGATGAAGTGACCCTCCCTGACGACGACAAAGAGAGAGCTGGAGGTTCGTATACTGACTCCGGCATCATCGGAGAGATTTTTGTGTCAATTGACTGAAATAAGTTTAAAAATACCATGAAATTTATATTTTTTTATTTATATTTTGCTTTACGTCCGAGTCGTGTCGTTCTGCGAACCAAATGGAGTCGACATTATCATTGGGATTCCCGGAATCGCTAAGTATCGTATTCGGAAGGGGGGAAGAGGGTTATAGGTAAATTCTACATCACAAACGCATAATAATTTATTATAAAATATATGCTATTATTAAATAATGATAGATACAAACATTTTTTGACTAGTCAATTGAGAAGCGGTCAATTGACCAGTCCAAAAACTTCAAAACAACTCCCACATAACACACAACATCCCCAGTATATCCGGTCAATGTCCCATTTAAGTAGCATGACCCGGGACATGTGGAGGATATTTTTAGCATATACGTTAGCATATATACTACGGATATACTGTAAAATACATCCCAGGAATTAAAATTGATGGCCTGAGGATATCCCCTTGCACCATAATGGGAACATTAGAATAGAAACCTAAAAAATTAAATTTTGAACAACTGAGAAGAAAAATACTGAGTTTTTTTAGATTTTTGGTGTTTTGGGACACAGTATATTGGCAACGTTTTTGTGCACATCGACGTCAGTGTTGGCAAGTCCTAAAAAAAAACTGGAATCAAACCGTTAAAATCAACTTGTTTTTATTATTTTTGGACACGAACGAGGCAAGAAACGCTACTTTAATAAAAGTACCATAGAAAATACGAATTCATCTAAGTGAAAAAATTACAAAAATGTAAAAATGATATATTTGATTAGATCCCATTTGACAACACCGTTCAGCTGCAACCAATGACGCAACTACTCGCGGTCGTGCCGTGCCGGACTCGCTCGAGTCTCGTCGGCTTCTCTTCCGTCTCGTCGTCCGCCATCTTTTCAGCATTGTTTTTGTTGGCGGTATAAGGTATACGGCGACTTGCCGTCTATTTAGAGTATTTTGTTTGCTGTGCTTACTGCTTTCAGTGCTTTCATTTCAGTTATTTTTTGTGGTATTATTATTACTGAAGAACTAATAATTCATGTGTAAGTAAAGCTTTATGGTAATATATAACATAAGATTTGATAAATTCTAAGCTGAATCTACCAACATCATGCCTTGTTTTTTATTATTTTGCTAGGTCAAGATCAGGCGGCGGCAGCAGTTATGAGTTTGTAAAACAAGCTCTGACAAATGAACTTGCAATGAAATTTACTTGGTTGGGTATGAAGAAAAAGGAGAACATGTTAAGTAGGTATTATGTTTTTTTAAAATAAATAGGAAGTAAATGTAATATAAATAAAGTATAAGAAATATGTATTATGGTGATTGCTTAGTTGATAATTTTTTAAGGAGTGATTGTTGGACCGAGTTAAGATAAAACTGAGTTTTTTGTAACCTCTATATGTTTTAGATTGCATTTCTTTCTTGATTCTAGACTTCTTTTCGTATCTTATTGCTTAGTTTTTGAAAACAAAAATAAAATCCACTTTCTCTTCATGTTTTTTGAGCAGTTAAAGTTAGGCATACAAAACTAAACTAATTTTTTGTTTAAGCAATGTTAGAGAAAATCCCCCAAAACAAAATTGTATTTTTAGTTATATAGTACAGTTAGTTATAGTTAGTTATAGTACAGTTAGATCACCCCGCAAAACAAAGTATTAATTTTAGGAATCACCCTTCATCAAGTACAATTTTCACATTAAAATTGTTGTTGGGTGAATTCATGAAAACGTTTTTCCTATTTTTTTAAAGCTTGTTTCCATGGTGATAGTAGGTAATATCACAAGCAAAAAAACTAGGAAAATTTTTAGGTTGACAAAAAATATTGCATGAAAATATTCCTTTACTGTCAAACTGAAACGTCATATTTGTTCTAGTTTTTTTTGTACCTACTCTCATGAAAGAGATCTTAGCGATGAAAGTTTAATGAGGTTTGTATGTATACCTACATCATCATGGAGATTATCATCTAAGATTACTTTCCGGAGGGATTTTTTGAATCTGTTTTTTAAACATATAAGATACCAGTGTCGCTTTTTTTTATTGTATTTTTTATATATAAAACCTGTCTTTCTCAAAACTAAAATATTTTCAGATGCGGCTAAGAAGGCAAACACATCCCAAACATCAAAAGAATGTGAGAATTCAATCGCTGCTTGGCTGAAAAAAGCTACTTTCATCAAAGAATGACAGAAAACCTGCCAAATGTTTGTTATTGTTCTAGAGTTTAGTTCAAAATATAGTAATCTTACTCTATTTTTAAGATACTTTAGAATAGGTTGTTCTATATTTTCGCTATATTACCTACAATTTTTTCATATCGACAATAGAAAAAAATCGGGTGTGTATAAAATGGTACTAATGGTTACCATCAAAAGCAAAATTAAAGATCAATTGGAAAAAACTTGTGCATTTCAAATATCTCCTGCTACTTCAGTGATGACTTCACCAACCAATAGGTTAATTCCATCCCACGCGAGTATCAAATGCTGGGATACAATTTTTGTAGTTGTACAACCAATTGGACTACTGGACATAATTAATTAAGTAACGTCCACTGGTATATCTATAGAAGATCCTATATCCTCACAGTCGGATATACTAATGACTTCCCAACGAGTATAACTGGATATCCTTAGTATGTCCCTTAGCTGAGACAGTGTATCCCTAGGATATACGCTGTCCCGTCAGGTATTCCCTGGATGTTTTACCAGTACTTAACAATAATGAAAGTTGGAAAAAAGAACAAACCTACCTTCCCGTTATTTTAACCGCGGTGACTAATGAAGGCAAGCTGAGGGCGAGGAAACAAACACCCGCAATTTCTTAAACCTCCCGGGCAAAGCGCTGTTTACTCCCCGGGATGTTGCCCTAAGTACTCTTGGTAGCTGAAGTTGTTGACCTGGAGGACCTTGACACTCGATCTTGTGTCAGTTGTCATCACATTTTTGCCTTCACGTCCACTTTATTAAGTGTGATTATGCAACTCGGACTGTAGTTTTCGGGATATCCAACCACGGAGAAAAACAAAACAGCAGCAACTAATAACAGGGTGAGGATTTGAAATATGCGGGGCGACTTTGGATTAATAATATAAAAAAAACTATGCACTAATTCTTACTTACAAATTGCAATCTTAAAAGCTAACAAGATTTTCAATACTATCCTTAATTTTGAATTTGGCCAAATGCAAAAACAATTGGTGCTTTTACAAGACATTAATTACACCAAGCTGACCTGATATCGACAAATAATCCCCGTACTCACAATAAAAAAAAACCACGGACAGTAAAAAGTGATGGATGATGGATGGCTACCTAAGAATTGCAACGCAAAAATTATTTATCAAATTCTGAAAACTCCTAAACAATCTAAAAAAAACAAAAATAGATATCAAATTAGATATTAATCCCGTCACCTTGTATAAAATTCCATGCAGCTAGTTGAACCTTCTTTCAAGAGAGCAGGGAAGGAAAGAAAACTTAATCCGGTCTCATCGCAAATAAAAAACTGACCCCCCATTTCATACCCGACTTCCTGGTTTGGCTTTGATAATTAAAAAAAAATTGATTCCTCAATAACGATGAAACGTCAGGATTTTTTATTCACTTAAATTTGCTGTTGTCAAGTGCAATTCATATTGGAACACGTTATTTTTCGAACGTTTTGTTTTTTTAATCAAGGCATTATCTCTGTTTGGAAGCGAAGCTGTGAAAAATAGAAAATAAACATTTCATAAAGAAAAATATTTTAAGGCTAAGGCTAATATCTAGTGCCAAACATCAATAAGGTTTGTAATAAATTCTTGTGGAATGGCATTAAATTCATTCCGAAGCGCAATTCGCAGGCCATAAAGGCTGTGAACGGAGGTTTTGTGGGAATTTTCAAAGACACTAGTAAATTTTTAATATTTGTTGAAAACGGCGCTAAAATGCACAGAACGCTGTTGCTCCCTACTTGAATTTTTTCGTGTTAATTCAAGATGCAATGTCTAATTGTTTTCTGGCTGATTCTGTTTTCTTTGGTTTGGCAGGTCAGTATTTATATTGTCTGTGTGATCATGTTTAGGTTCATTTTCATCTCCTTGGACTTGTCAGTTACAGTTGCTGGGAGGAAGTCATACTCTTGAAAAATGCCATCGTTAAATGGATAAATTCCGAAAATCCCGAGGAAACATTGCCGACTGTGGCAACTCGTTTGTAGGATTCATTAAAAAGAGCAGCTACTTGATATTGTGTGATAGCCCTTCCAGGATGTTGAGTCATCCAACAGTTACACTCGATGGCCTTAAGAGGACCAAAAAAACTCCTGTCTAATGGTTGAACTTTGTGGCTGCCGTGGGGAGCTAAAGTAATAACTGAAATGCATGTCTTCTACAAGATGATGGTATAAATTACCCAGTTGCGCTCATGCAACAAACGGCGGTTACAACTTTTCCTACCACTTTTTTTCTGCCTTTCACGGATACGACTCCGGGTGTCTTTTGGGGACCGTACTCATCCCAGTTTTATCCATGTTAAAGTTGCGGTTCGGGTTAAAATTGTATTTTTCATACAGTTCCTTTAAGTTACAAACGATTCTATCAACTTGTACTTTATTAAAACCAATTGCCCTTGCAAGACTTGTTGGAACTGATTGACGTAATCCCAGTCTCTCGTGTCGCTTCAGAAATTCTCCAATCCAGTCATATCCTGCCATTTTTGTAGCTCTGTGAAACCGATTAGGAATTTTATTCAGTTCTAAAACAAGTCTTCGTAATGACAGAATTGTGACTCCGTAAAAAAGATTGTCCATGTTCAAACAATATTGGACGATCTCACTTTCTTGAACCCTTGTAAAAGTAGGCTTAAAACGTCCTAAAGACGTTACAACACACTGTAACGACAGTCTTTTTCTAAGGGCACCTTCGCTAAACCGAACTCTATCAGCGGCTTTTCGTTGACTCACACCTTGTCCTATAAACCTTTCTGCCTCATCTATTTGCTCTTGGGTCACTAGCCGCTTATATGGATTTTTTCTTTGATAGCTACGAGGCATTTTCCTGAAAATGGGTAAGTATACTCCCTCACACTTAACCGCGCACACTTACCCCAACAACGAATAATTTTAAAATGACTTACGTTACATTTGTTAATCCACACCGAGAAGCAGACACTAATAGTTTGTCAAAAATTTTAGCAAAATAGCCGCTATTTTATATTTGCTCGTATTTTATAAACGAAAGCCGTTGCAGCCGGTCGCACCTCCGATTCTTAGGGCCGCCGACGATGTACTAAATTGCCCTTAAAATGAGTGCTGCCACCTTTACTCTTGTGATGAAAATAGCACCTGCGCACACTTATCCGCTGCGAACACTTACCCCAAGCGACTCTAATCCTTAAAAATACGGTCCTGATATTTTGATGGGCGATTCTGGGCGTAATGATTTAATTGTGCTTTTATATCCTAGAAAAATCATATTATTATCTTAAAGATTTAGTTTTTAACGGCCTCTTCATTTTCATTAATCTGCGACGTATCACTTTTCAGCTTATGAAGACTGCGCAATTTCATACAACTGTGCCCAAAAACTGGTGGTGAATTATATGTCAAAATATGGACGGGTAAGAGATCTTCTAATCCTACTGGGCGATTTAAACAACGATCAACTAGGGTAGAATATAAAAAATAGGTTAGTTAATAAATGTGTCCGAAAATGTCTCCTTCAGAGGATGGACTGGGGGAGTGAGCTCACAAAGTCTTTTTTTATACAGGAGCGTCGCTAAAGTTGGGGCGCCAAAACTTTGGAAAAGTAATATTTTTAAAACAACTTGCCTTAAAAAATAGGGGGCCATTCTTGAGCTCGTGTTTATTATTATATTCTATTTACTCTAGAACTTCAACCCCCAGTATATAATATTGGCACTGATATACTAAAACAATTTAATTAATTATTATCTTAATTATAATGTGCTGTTCAACTCGCATACCTGCTGGTAATGTTTTACTTACATTATATCTTTAAACGGACTACCCGGTTTTGAGGCTATATTTATCTTTTTTCACTGATTTTGTAAGTGTTTGTGACAAAATACTGGAAATTTAGTTACTTCCTATATCCAAAAGTTAAACTATAATGTAGACTTTTTTGAAAATTGTTTTATGGATTAATTTTTCTTCTCTCATCTTTAAACAATGTTGTATGTATTTCTATTCTTTCTGCCTACATCCAAATCGTGAACTATAATGTTTTTGTATTCTTCACCTTTTTGTGCTGACTTAAAGGACTGCAATGGAGACGGCGTAACAAACTGCGAGGACTACATGATGATAAACTTCAACGGCGGAGTTCAGTGCCAGACTCCGATGAACAGGAGCGAAATCGCCATTCAGTGGGTGACAAAATTCAAAATGTGCAACCCGCTTAGTCACATCTGGATTTAAGAGACAATTTTCCAGTTTTGAATAGTTTTGTTTTGCTTTTTGGTCCATTATTAATGGCTAGTAAATGGCCTATTGTAGTGTATCATTCCAGGCGAATGTCAGTTGCGGATAGATCAATTAAAGTCGGTATTGACGATTTTACAAGTCGATGAGATCAGAAAAAATGGCGGAAAAAATGTTAATCAAATTAGGAAATATAAAAATTGGAATGCTTGCTTTTATACGAATTTCACGTTTGCGCTGTGTGATTTATGCCGATATTACTTTAAAAACTAATTAGTTTGATATCGTTCAAGATTCGGTGTGTTTATGGATTCTAGTAATTTAGAAAAATAAAATTATGACACATGGATAGAGTTATTATGATTTAAAAATGATTTAAACAATTTAAAATCGATGCTTCATTATTTTCTTTTTCTTTTTTCGTAGGATCGTTTGAAACCAACACTTAAAGTAAACCTAAAAAAAAATATTTAATATTTTTACTTGCAATTTCCAGGGCCTCTTTAATGACACAAGAGGCTTCTTTTACCGGGGTGGGAAGCTTGTTCCACATGTTGTGCTATTGTTCATTAACACTTTAAAAAACGACCTCTTTAGACTTCTTTTTCAGCATTAACTTTTATGATTATTAACCGATTCACTCAAGCTAAAGCTCCTTTTGTAGGTATTTTCAAGACGCATAACTTCGTCAGAAGCTTTTCTTGGAAAAAACTCTGTATTTCATACCTTAATTTAAAAAAAAAAAAAACAAAAGCCCAAGTGCCTAACTATCAAAATGAAGCACGGGATACCCTTATCCGCAAATCTACTGTCGTGTCTGATACGACACCTGGTATCAGTATCGGATTATACTCTACGGCTGGCTTGAGCGTGCCTTTAGATTAGCCTTAGTTTTCTGCCTTGCACAGAATACGTTCTGGTAAGTTGTTGTTATCGATCTTTTTTAAGTTGAAATAGTTAGTGGTCGGCCTAGTGCTTGTGTGACTACCGTGCGACAACGGTTCCTCCGTTTTCGCTATTCACACCGGTTGCAGGCCGGACGCGGCGGAAGAGAGAAAGTAGTCGTATTTTTTCTTGGAATCAGAGTCATAGTATATGCAATGGAAATAACCAGAGTAGACGTACCTTAAAAGCAAAGAAGATGAAGTATTCTGCGCCAAAGCGGCTTTAGGCGGTGGCGTAGGAGCTAAGGGTTTCTTTAGAAAACAGAAATAAAACACAAACGCGGTTATTTTCGTGTAATTCTCTAACAAGGAATACATGCAAAATAAACGGTTTAACAAAATTTAACTTGCATGTCTACCTTGCACACTCTAAACAACATTACTATCTTTACAAAATATATATATATATGTATATATATATCGGTAATATTACAAAGTATTCTAGGGGATTATTGCCAACAATTTGAAATACGATTTTCCTTTATGTAATGCGAGTTTGTCGACGTAAAATTTAAAATCTACAGACCGAACGGAAAACGTCATGCGTCAGTGCTGTGGATAGCACAACCGTAATAGATACGATACGAAGATACGAAATAAAACTTCAACTGCAAAAATGTCAAAAATTACCTTTTCTTTGAGAGCTTGAAATTCCGCTCCATCCGATCGAGTTATATTAAATATTTGCCGGATGCGCCGGTTTTTCTATTCGATTAAGATATGTAATCGTTTTTCTATCGACTATCTGTACACAGAATATAACTGACGTTTTAATTTGAACTTTTAAAAGCGATATTCAACGAGGGTGTTCTAAAAACGGTTAAATTGACCTACGGAGTTTCTTCGCTACTTTAAATATTATTTATTGTTTGTTTATTAACGCTTAAAATCTATGCCGTTTTCCTATCCCGGTATACATTGACTGGACGACGTAAAATGCGATAGTTATTGCATTATTTGATTTTTTTTCTTTCAAACGTATTATCAAAATGAGGTAAAACCGTACGGATTTGATTTCTATGCAAAATGACGCGAGGGGTGTTTAAAAGTATGTATATATACGACTGCCTGAGAACATATTAACGAGTAAAATAGCGTTTACCAACTTGGTGTGTTTTTAAAAACGTCTTATAGTGACTAGGTACGTGACTTTTGTAAAACAGATAGAAAATTCGATTTGTATATTAGATAGTATATAAATTATGTAAGGTTTCAAAAACAAATTAGACGCTTGTCGCTGCCCATTTTCGGTATCTTTTTTATTGGATCGATATTGACATACTTTTTTAGTCTAATTGACCATACCGATTTCCAAAAAACCTTTGTTAAACTTTGGACCGTACTAATTAATTTGTATGTTGCCAATGAGTTTAGAAAATGTCCAGTTAATTGCAATTTCCAAACGTTTTCCTTTGAACATGAATAATTGGGTCAAAAATGATATATATTATGTTGTGTTCCTGATATTTAAATTTAAGATGAGTATCTTCGAAACGAGTGTTTGTTTGTCAGAGCAAATCAATAACAATGTGTTAAATAAAAAAGGTTAAATTAAACGAATCCTTTGCCTGTTTTTTTTTTTTTATAAAGAGTACCCTTGCTTATGATATTTGGGCGTGGAATAGGTAGCAAAATTTTTAAAAACAGTGATAATGCGACAATAAGATTCGTTTTAGTTTTGTTAGTAAGTTTGCTTGTTTAAAATGCTGAAAACACTTAAAAGTTAAATGTCTCAAAAAGACACTCTTAGAGCCGCATTATTATTTTAACTTCTTGTAAAATAATTTTAATGTTAAATTAAGACGGATAAAAATTACTGATCGTCCTTTGTAAACACACAAAGCTATTGATCGAGTTTTTCTAGCAGGACTTTATTAACCGAATACATTTTACTAAGAAAATGTTCTAGAAATCCTATTAGATGATCATAGTTTTGTTATGAGCATATAAAACCGAAATCAAATATTTTTATTTTGAATAAAATTTTGAAATGAACTGAAAAATAAAAAACTCTTCAACAAAATTTTACATGTATTCAATTCAAAGAATAATAAGAATTAATCAAAAATTGAATTCTAGTGCAAAAAAGGAATAAAACTACATTTATTTTTGTGCTATAGCTAATATAAGTCCTGCCACAGAAGAAACATATAATTACTCACTCACCCTGTAAATTACTCACCGCGGCCTTACTGACTACGGCTTATCACAAAAGCCGAAACTTTCCGACTGCCTAAAGACTCTCGTCGCTCAATAATTTCGTCTTCTCTTTACACTTTCTATCGGTTTTACTAACCCTCTCTTTCAGTTCCATTTGTTTCTCTGTAATCTCATTCTTTCTGTTGTCGATCTTCTCCTCGTTTTTGCTTCTGTCCGACCACCATCTTCTTGTTTTCTCTGGAGCGCAGCCGCTAGTCGATGGTCGCGCCTCCTCGTCTTCCTGCGACAGTTTCTCGTACTTGTAGTATCTCGAAGATCGACCTAGGAGCGGCATTTCTAGCTGCGTCACGATCTTCTGCGCGCACCTAGAAGAGAACGATCCGGAACCACGGAAAGTACAATTATGTATCATCGGTACCTTATTCTAGTGGACGCCGGGGGTACACTGTGTAGGGGACTGGAACCTGGCAACTCTTTAATAGGTGGTAGTCGATTAACGTGACTTTTTTCAGGCCGACAATAATCTTGGAGCGTAATCTTCATTGCTTGTTTTTGAGACCTGATTTAAAGCGACGAATGTGATGTCAAAATGGGTTTGTGGCATCGGGTCCGTGTGCAAAACACAATTAGAAGAATAATTTAAAATACTGTACTTGTTAATTGGTAAAAAAAAAGAAATGTTTAATTAATAATAAAACTATCGAATTCCAAGGAATTCTTTGCTCTATAGCTTAATTTATAGATTTTCACTATTGTGTTAAATCCATTAAGTAGATTTAATTTTAATTTACCAGATATATTTTTCCCGTCTTGGTTCTTAATACAATTGTATAAACGATGAACATGATTGTAACAAACCCTTCACTGCTCCGCAATATCAATACCACACCAAATTTTTGCTAATTATAGGTGTTTTGTAACTCACATGGTATTTGTCGTTGTAATTATTAAGTTCTTCATTAAAAAAAAAATAAAATAAAAACAATTTTTTTTAAGTAATGTTCAGTTTTTTTTTTAAATTGCAATAATCTAAATAAAATGTTAAATATTAAATTAAAATATTTCGATGATCCAACGAACTTGAAGTGAAGTAATTATATGTTACACCTCTTCGTAGATATCACCCATTCTAACCGATTGTACTGTTCGGAACAGTACGAAATTGCCCTTTGGCAAAATTTTTATAAACGGGCTTTAAAATAGAATAAGGCTAAAACCATAGATGCGAGTATAGGTTAGTTATTCCACAGTTTTATAGCTCTGGTTTAATGCTGTGGTGCCACCTAGCGATTAGAAGGAGCACTACCAATATCGATTTCATAGAAGAGGTGGAAAATATAAGAAATATTTTGTTGTTCTCTTATAATTCTGGGGCGACTGTACAGTAGGACCACCGATCTATTGAACTCATTATTCATTGTCAGTATTTACAAAGCGATTTTTCGCAAGTGGTCAGTGCTATACCTTCTTATTGCCCCCGTGGTTGGCTGTCTAGAATACAGTCCCCCGTTGCAATGCGCCGCGCAACACGCTGTAGATGTCGTAGGGTCCTTGGAGGGACCATCGGAAGAACACGAAGTGGAAGAAATGGAAGACCCGCCGCTGCTGACGCTATACAGGCTGTCCGACTGCGGCACCGACGATGTACGTGACGTCATCGAGTATCCGCTGGCCGAGGTAGGAAACATGGGACTCGTCTTGAAGAATAACAGTATTATTCGGGCTATGGAAGGCGCTAGAGTAGTTCAGTGTATTCTTACCTTTAGTCGTAAAATTTTTGCCCTGCATATGACGCATCTTAGTGGCAGAAGGCGCTGTGAAACGGCTATCTGGATCGTTTTGACGAAACATTTGCGACACACGACCTGGTGCCCACACGGTGAGGTTTGCATGGTTGCTTTCGCGTGGATGCATATGACGCACTGCAAATATACGCCCACGTCGATTTAAATAACCAATAACGTGACCCAATTAGTTAATATAGAGAGGCTACTACTAGAGCGCTTAAAATACGCAAAATTACGCTTTCTTTAATGAACATCAAGATCTTCTTACCTCTTCTTCTTGACATGTGGCCAATTCGGGTTCGCTTTCCTCTAGCTTGCTCAACAACTTTTCCTGAAAAAAAAAAAGGCCGTCTTATATATTTGACCCCACATATAACACCTCGTAGATCGAAAAATTTGCGATATAAATTTATTCAATCATTTCTTCTTAAAATCATCCAATGATCGGCACCCTTAGACATAAACATCTGAAACATTCTATATAGTGTCAACAATAGAGAAACAAGTTAAACTAGACATCACAATTAAATCAATCAAAATAAGAAGGTATTTTGAATAAATGCGGTGGTAAATTCCAGTCGTTAAAAAGATACAGGGTGTTGAAAGTATAACTTAGTTTTAAACGGCTAAAAGAGATGAGTAGCACAATTACCAAGGAAACATGGCTCGTAAATACGTACTTTATGAATGTAATAATATTTGTAAAGACCACCGTTTCAGGCCAAATTTATTGAATAATAGTATATTATGCAACAAGTGCAGTGAAATTTTACCAAAGGTGTTGCATACTATACTTTTTCTGCCACCGTTAGTTTTTGGATAAATTTTTGTAAAACACGAATTCATTTATTGACATGGCCGTCAGAATTGACAAACGTCAAAATTCATTGGGCATTTTAGAGAAGGGACTAAAAAAATATTTTTATGTTAATTTATTATGTCAGCTTTCGCTCTATGGGGGATAAGTTATGGGTCACCCTGTATAAAACGTGTCGCTACAGTCAGTGGCCCATAAATCCGCAAACAGATAACCTCCAAATCAAAAATATCCAAAGCGTCCACCTTGTACTTGAATGAAGAGGCTGGCTGCCAAGACGAAATGCTAGACAATGACGGCCTCGTAAAATCAAAACCGCTACTACTAAACATGGCGTTATCATCTTCCTTGTACAGATTCGCGGAGAGTATTTTTATACACCTTGAAAAATCCGAATTGTATACTAATCGAACTCTCAAGTGGTGTCAAGGATGAAGTACGAGCGCGTAAATATGCAATAACACGTAGAGTGTTATTTTGACTCGTATTTAATGACGCCTCATTAAGCGATTTGTTTGCTTTTAATTAGCTCGAATTGAGCATTTCGTTTTATCGTCAAAGAACAAAATAACCCACGGGCTTATAGATGATGTTACGAACCGTCAGTAACTTCCTCTTCGAATGACCAGAATTCAGTGGTGGACTTTACGACTTGCTAGTTGTCGACATCAATTCTAAAACTAAAGTTTAATTGTGGGGGTTGTGGAAAAAATCAGTCTTATTATATTTACTTCCACCAAAATCAATTTTTGCTTTTGATTTCAGCGATTGATTTTAAGATTTTAGTGCACGTTACCAGCAAAATTACTTGAAATTCAATTTACTGTTAATAAAAGCAATTTGCAGAGACAGTTTTTCTCCAATAATAGACACACCCTATACATTACCAAAAAAATTCTGAATTTATAGTCTAGACTTCCCACGTTTTCTAGTTAAGGAATTTTTCTAAACCTCTGACAAATATCACTTGTATTTTTCAATATAGCGTAGAATAGCCCAAGTACTTTGTACGAGCTCTTGATGAGAGCTACATCTCTATCAGACACAGCAGTAGTTGGCACTAAAGCCTACGATCTCAACAAATTCTAGAAACCAAACATGGGATGATGTTAATTGATTGATGGCGTTGAAAGCAAAACAAGAACCTTCACATGCGTTATTCCACAAGGGGGGTGGGGGACCAATACTGTTCATAATCTATGTAAAAATTTTTTTAGCAATATTAGCATGTGGTTTAAGTATGATAAACTGACAACACTAAGACAAAACTTCTTCCTTTGGCATCTTATTCTAATACTTTACCACACTTTGAAACCGTCAAACTGGAACCAAAAAATGAAATTGTAAAGACTGATTCTGCAAAATATTTGGGCATAATCATCTGTGGTTTGTAAAGGAATAAGAAACTGTTATTTGGAAGAAGTAAACGTTTTGTAAATAAAAATAAAAATCGCTTACACCCTACTCACATTTTATATAATGAAAGTAGTGTGCTGTTATCGATTAACAGAAAAAAAAACTTATCACATATCAACAGAATACCCGAAATGAAAATGATTGTGTAGTAGTCCCAGTCCCTTTGATGACTATGTCCAAATATTTTGCAGAATCAGTCTTTAGAATGTCATTATTTTGTTCCAGTTTGATGATTGCAAGGTGTGGTAGAGTATTAGAGTGAGATGTAAAGGGAAGAAATTTTGTCTTAGTCTTGTCAGTTTATTATACTTAAAGCACTTGCTAATATTGCTAAAATCTAACTCAACAATGCACTTAAGTTAATTCCAGTTTTCTGCGGTGTAAAATATGGTAGTGTCATCTGCAAAACTGAATATAGTTCCTTCACTATCAATATCTAAGAGATCGTTTATATAGATTGTGAACGCCCATTGTGGAACGCCGCATGTGATGGTGCTTGTTTTGCTTTTAACGTTCTCAATCCATCCACATCATTTCATATTTGGTTTCTAGAATACATTTATTTCAGTTTTGAGGTCCTATCTGGTGAACCGTCGACAATTCATTGAGATCGAAGGCTTTAGTGCCAACTACTGCTGTGCCTCAGGGTTGGATTGCTTTTGTTCAACATAATCATAAATAATCTCATATCTTTGATTATCTGCGATAAGCTTGCCTATGCGGATGATCTAAAACATCAGCAGGTGTCTTTAATTACATTATAGATGGTACTATTCTGACTATACTTGCCACTGTAAAGTATCTGGGGATTTTATTTGATCAGACGTTCTCTTTCGTACCTCACATTACTAAAACGTTTTCCAGTGCTATGAAAATCTTAGAAATTGCAGGTATTTTCGTAGCTCAGCTACTATTAAAATATTATTTAACTGTTACGTTAAGCCTAAGTTTGACTATGGCTCGGTGGTACATATAAACCAATATGTAACTGCCACTACTGAAGTATCTCATGTTTAGTTTGATCATGATCTTCTACTGAGAAGATTAGCTCTACTGCCTCTGAGCTTACGCAAAGACTTGCAATCTCTATCATTTCTCTACAAGTTAGTTCATTAAGGAATCGATAATTCTTTTCTTCTGGAACAATTACGTTAACTTTCTTACCGCAGTTACCCAGATGCAATATTCATTTTCAAACTTTATCTACAGGATGTGTGTTACCTTCAACAAATTATTGTGTGTTTTAATATTGTTTTGGTTTCCAGGTGATTCTTAGACAACTTCGATTGGCGTCGGATTATCCGTACTAAACAGTCTCATCTTTTTCTTTCTTCTTATTTCTTTTTTTTTAGTTATAAAATTACTAGATTTAAGCTTAGTTTTTGTGTAAATACAGTCGAACGATAAGTCGAACTGTGATTTGACATGAAAATTTCGAGTTATCGAGATTTCGAGTTATCAATAAAAACTATAAATGCATGTACTTTTTTGTGAATGAACATTTATTCATTCATTTTGAAAAATGGGTTACACGTTACATAATTGCCCTAATATCTATGATTTTTGAAGAAAAAACGAAAATTACGAAATATGTATATATGTATTTACATGTATGTATGTATGTATGTATTTACTTATTATATGTATATACAAATGTATTTTATAAGTAACCAGTATATATAAACATAGTATGTATGCACAGGTACATACATATGTATGTACATATTAAAGTTTACTCTTTCACTGGAAAAAAGTCAGTTATTTGTGACTGACGACCCAATTTCTTATTTTGGTTTCCAACAAAAGCTTCAATTAAACAATCATAGAGGGAATCGGTTGTGTATTCACTGGTTTTCAAATAGGATCGCAAGACAATCAACGAATTTTCAACCAATTCATTTGAAGGTGGTTGTTGTGAATCATCTTCCAATTCTTCCTCCATCGTGTCACTTTCGCAGTCATCTTCGATGTTTAACTGTACCGGTTCGGATCTGCAGGACTCGATAATATCTTCATCAGTAGAAAACTCTGAAGTAGCAATATCCTCATCCACATGTATAAAATCGTTGACGGTGCTACCTTCTACTATATCTCTAATGTTTGTCCAAGCTTTAAACTCGATTTCTATTTGGATTTCGTCTTCACTCTTTTCTTTCAGGCGTTCACTTAGAAAAATCAAGGGAATCTCATCTTCTTCTTCCATTCAAAATACCGACCAAAACCGGCTTTTTTAAAACAATTGGAAATTGTTTCAGGCTTAACGTCGATATTCCATGGGGTAGTTACGTCGTCAACACAATCCATTAGTGTAATGTTAATGTTTTTGTTTTCTTCGAAACGTTTCATTGCGGTGATGACTGAATGTTTATTTTTCAAAATTGTAGACATTGTACTTGCCGAAATCCCATACTTCACAGCTACATCTTTATTTTTGAGCCCCTTTCCACTTCTTTATAACCTTGAATTTTTGATCAACAGACAAAGCTTTTAAAGTCCGTTTTGATGACATATCAACAAATACAAAAATCCAAAAATGTCTTTAATATAATGTGTAAATTGAATAGCGACCGTATTTTTCACTTAATATTAACTAGTAAGTCATACAAGTGAACTTGGAAGCACAGAAACTAAACTGCTTGCATAGATACGTTAAAAAGACAGGTTAAGATCGAGATATTCGAGTAATCAAGACAATCTAACACGCATTTCCTACTTTTGACACTATTGCCAATCATTTAATATTTCCTGTAATTGAGTGACGTTACCTGTTGGGAATAAATTGTTGTTATATTAAACTCCATTTGTCCCACCAAGTGAAATCAAATGTGAGGGCAAAAAATGTTACTCCTAATTTAAGTCCGAGTGTAATACATTTAATTATTAATATACCTGTTGAGAGGTGGGAAAATCAAGTACAGAACATTTTAAAATTTGAAGATTCTTACATTTGCATCGAGGGAACGTTCTCATTTAGGTAAGGTAATTTTTGATAACTTAAATATATTTACGGTTATCATATTTTCTGTTAGTACTAAATGCTCTGTTCTACAATACCGATTGATAAGGCGTTTCATTGCCGTCGGCAGTCTATTTCGATAGTTGCCGTTAAAACACAAGACGATGTTTTGAGACAAAGTATAGTTGCAAGAGCACGTGCTTTTAAGTTACAACAGTTAACGCTGCCTTTACAAACAATTTCTGTCGACGTGAGTTTTAAATCGACTTTTATATTCGGATCGCATTTCTCTAGCGAAATACGCAACCGGGTACGTAATTTCCATCTTTTCCGCGTCGATGTATGCAAACTCTTCCTCTCCGCGACGAATACGAACAAAACAATTATGTCAAATTTAACCTTGATCGGTAAACAGCATCGTTTATTTGTACAATACGTATCGTGTGCCGTCAATTTTTTAACAAACGCCGACGATAGGAAAAAAATTGCAGTTCAGAAATTCTCTTGGAGAGCGACAATAAACGAAATTTTCTAGGTCGCGCAGAATAAACAAATGCCGCGTTATTGAACGGAACTTGAAAGGTTTAACGTTTGAATCCGTTCAAATATTTTTTACGGTCCTTGACTGGGACGGGATTTTTTTTTTGGATATCTCAGAATATTGCAAATAATAGGCGACGACCTTCAATTGATATTGTGGGTCGAAGCTTCGCGTTCCGCTAGCACCACCGTTTTTATAGAAGCCCTTTCCTATCCAAAATCGGCGTTAAAAAATGCTTTTATATTTTTAAATTGCTGAATCTTAATGGTTTGGCGTATCTTCTTGGTCCCCACTGTTACATTTTACTGTTATTTTAGCAGCATTTACCAAAAAGTTAGGAGCTTTTGGAAAACGAGTTGGAAGAACCAATTGGTTTTTGGTTGTTTCGATGTACGTGACGGGTTTGAAATGTAATACTGTAATACAAATTACGCGGAGATTTATTAAGTCGTTATGATTTAGGAACTGGATTTAGACTAATTACATTGCTGACCTTTTATCAAATAAATGGCAAACGAGATGATGGTGAACATAATCATTTAATTGTAGGTATATACATATAATGGAATAAAATTCTTACTTTGCAACCAAAAAGCTTTGGGTATGGTCTGTTCATAGATATAAGAAAGTGACCAATTGCTTTTGAATGGGGATTATTCAAGGGTGGTTATTAACATACAATGCAACAAGATTATTACCTAAAGTTTCGGAATTTAAATTCAGGTAAAATTGTGGTCCGTAATAGAAAATAATTTTATACCTACCTGTGTTTAATATTCTTTGGTTTGGTATACTACTTACTTTAAGTTTATTAGTAATTATTCTTATTTCGTTTGTAATAAAGCGTGTGTTGAATCGTGTGGGAATTATGCAAAATATGTGCTAGTCTAATGTATCTCAGGAGATGCTCCAGCCCAAATGTAGAAAACACTATTATATTGAGACTAAGGAAGTTATAAACGAAAAATCTAGGGCATACAGTTTTAAGGCTTTCACCTTACCACTGTATATTTAATCCCATTGAACATTTTTGCCACCAACTGAAATCTGCCATTTGTCGTAACAATGTTTTTCCCCGTGTTCACTCCAATGTCCTCAAACTTATAGAAACTGAAGTTTTTAATATCCCTCCACAAAGTTGGGCAAATTCTCTTAAACATATAGCAAAAGCAGAACAATCGTATATCCATATTGCAAATAATGTAGAACAAATAATAATTAGAACAGGTAATAACAATAATAATAATAATAATAATTTTATTTTAGATTTAAACATAAATACATACATAAATAAATAAATATTGTTTAGTATCTTTCCTAACAAAACCCCAAATAATTAAATTCTAAGCAAAGTACGAACCTGTTCGGCCATACTTCATTCTTACAGCTTGCCCGGGTCTTTCCTTAATTCGTATCAGTTGATAAACTTCTATTTTTTACTAAACTAAAGGAAAGATAATTTTAAGTTCTTTTCAATACTCCAAAAAATGTCCCATTTGAAAAAATCGATGTCTCATTTATTATGTCCATTCACCAACATTCAAAATGATATGCCTACAGCGTCCTGGTAGAATACTCGTAAAAAGGAAAGCAATTAAAACAAGTAGCATGATGTACATGTACTTGGTGCATTCAAAAAGTAAGGTAACTTTTATAATTGGACGGGCTACGTACATTCGATCTTAGGATTTTTTTTTTGTTATGTTGGTACACATGTCCCTAACATATGTTCACAGTTTAAGCTACTTTGCACATTTACTTTTTGTTGTGAGACAGAAGCGTTAACATGTTTTGTGTGCTCACCATAAAATTTTGTGTAAAAAATGGAATACAGTGCTGAAAGACACTTGAAATATTGACAATGGCATATAGTGAACCTATCTTGAGCAAAAAAAAATTATAACTGGTGCAAGCTGTTCCAAGATGGCACAGAAGACAAAGATGACAAACCTCGCTCTGGACGCCTCAGCCCGTCAATAAATCGTGAAAGCGTTGAAGAAGTTAAATAAATGGGTGTTGAAAAATCGTCGAATCAGTATTAGAGAAGTGACTGCCATCTCTATTGGCTTGTGCCATACATTTTTTTCTGAAGTTTTGGGCATGAAACGTGTAGCACCAAAATTTGTTCTGAACCTGCGTAATTTTGAACAAAAGGACCATCGAAGGAGCATCGCTTAAGAGCTATTAAACAACGTCGATGATGATCCTGATGTTCTCAAAAAGGTCATGATTGGTGACGAATCATAGGAAAAAAGCACGTCAAGTTTGATCAAATATCAAGGTTCTGCTTACTGTTTTCTTTGTTAATCGTGGCGTAGTACATCAAGACTTCTTACCACAATGTCGGACGGTCGATAAAGAGTATTACCTTGGAGTTATACGCCGTTTGCGAGAAGCAAGAAAAAATTGCTGGAAGATCTCAAGCCTATAATAGAAAGTGCAATTTGGGGGGGGGGGGTTACTTTGAAGGGGACAAAACTAATTTTGGTTAGCGATGAACTGTTATCTTCTCTTCCTTTACGGGTTGACGGTCCTATCGATCAAGTAGCAAAGATATGACATTTTATCCTCTCCCTCAATTACATGCTAGATATTTTGCCAGTTCCATTTCCAGGTTGTTAGTTTCCAAGTTGCCAGGATTGAGCATTAATGTGTCTTTTGACAGTTTTAATAAATTCACTAATGAATGTTCACCAATGATACGGGCAAAGCAAGACGTTGTTGTTCAGAGCGGCAATTGACAAGATTAAGGAGGACGCTAATTCGTCGCTAATTTGATGTTCAGGACACCCATACAGAAGAATCAGCTATGATTGTGCATTAACTCTGGACCTAGTTGTTGTCATATAAGTCTCTGTCGGTAATAAGGCCCGCGCGCGAATTTATAAGTATTATGGCGCCATCTATGTGTTGGTCTGTTACCTAAATTCAATACGCAAACCCGCTTACTCGATTAAGTTTGGACTTATAGGATTCAGTGTTTTGCCATGTGCATTATCCGATCGAAATTATAAATTATATATGGTTGAAAGGCCGCGTTTTTTCGGGTCAGATCAAGAATTCTAAAAAACAGTTCCTAAGTCAGTATTCAACAGTAAATTTCTTGTTTTTTTAATTTAACATATCCTCAACACGATTTCCTAGCAATGTGGGTAATAAGGCCTAGATAGATATCAGTTGGGCCTTATTCCCCACCACTTGAATTTAATGAATTTTATTACCTTATACATTTTTTAATTTTTCTTTACAGAAATATGGGCAAGAAATGTCGCGCTTTAAGGGCCAATTGGAAGCAGCACTGCAGCTTCAACGTCAAGAAAAATCCCATTGTTATGTGCAACCCTCAGAAACCGTTTGGAAACCGGAGCAGTTAAAAAAATTCTGGCGGCAACCTTGAATGAAGTACAAGAAAATGATTCAGTTCGGAAAATCATTAAGTTTTCTGACAAAGGATTTCCCTTGACACCAAAGGCACTACGTCGAAGTGTATTCAAGTATGTTGAAAAGCTAGCCTTTTCAACAAAGAAAAAAAATGCTGGACTTGACTGGTATAAAGCATTTATGAAGCGACTTGCCACTGAATTTGCCTAGTAGAAGCAAATACCGTACAAGATGAGGACTTGGATGCATGATGATTGTATGGGGCTGACTGAAGATGATCCATTACAGAAATGAAGGGTACCTTATTACCCTCTATGGTTGGAAATAAGGCCCAATAACGAGTTTACGTTTAAGTTTTTTTCAAAGAAAAACTGTTTCATATTTTGTTACATCTTATTTTTCTGCGTTCTTACAAGAGAACTGTTTTAAATAAAAATACCAGTTTGATGTTTTAATTTAATTAACTTTTGGAAACAAATTTGTTCTTTGCGAGTATATACATTCTCAAACGGAACTTTCCTACAAGGAAAATCCCTACGAGGCGTCGAGCCGGCCAATGTCGCATATGCGCGTTAAAAACTCATTAAATTACCACCAGGAAGAGCAAATATATGTTCTTTTGTTCCGTGCGGGGGCACGGGCCGAAATATACTCGCTGCCGTACACACACACACACACACACACACACACAGCCATTCGCACAGATAGTGGTCGGCCTTTAAAAAATACCCGCGTCGTTCCGCGGTGATTTCGTATAAAAAGAATACCGACAGAAGTGAGACGCGTCTGTTGCTTCGCGAGCGTGTCACTCGGTCGAATTATCAACCAAATTTTCGCGAATCGGAAAGGAAAATTCGACCCGCACTTGTCCGAACGTGCCACTTTATAAATGAGTATGTAAACAAAACGCGCCGAGGTTTTGTGTGGTGCCTAAACAACGGAAATCTGCCAGAGCTAATTATCACGTCGGCGTTGAAGATGAACTTGCTGTCGTTGATCGTGACGACGGGGTTGAATCTGATCCACGCGCCATTTTCGCACAACGTCGCGCGCAGTGACGACGGAATCGAAGATTTTTCTGTTTTTCCGTTCAACATTTTGAAAAATACGCCGGCGTGCGTTACGCTTACCGTCGCGGTGGGTGAGTACCTTTAGAGTTCAATTCGTACACGTCGTTTATTTAAAAAATACTGCGTTTATTCAAGAAACTGAAACCAATTTATGGGAACTTTTGCAAAACACGAACCATCAAATTAAACTTCAAGACTTTGAAATATCAATTAATCGATACTTGTATATAAATTGTGATTCTAGTGTATTTCCTAAATTTTCGAGAATTGTTAGATCCGCGGTATCTTCAGGCGAGGTATAATTGTTAATTTAAAGTAGCGTTTTTTTTTTTATTAAATCGTTTAACAAATCGAAACTTCGCTTAAAATGCGAAAATGTATTTTTTAAACCCGGCTATTTTTTGTCAGTGTACACTTAATTAAAATGTTTATATTTGACGAAAATCGCTTATTCAATATAATTAGGTCGACATTGCATTAGCGATTTTTTTCATGTAAAATCCAACACAGCATACCCCTTAAAAAGCCAATCGACAAAATTTTATCAAACGCTATACAGAGTGTTACTTTTTACAGCTCAACTACGCTTTGGAGTGTGTCAAATCAGTAAGTTTTTAACCAAAAGCCTTTCTCTCCGCATAATTTAAATAAAAAAGTGTACAGAACGTTTCAGTCTACCACAACAGAAAAATTTAGTCGCATCTAAAAACATCGGCTCCGAATCTGTAGTTTAGAAGCAAGAATAAAATTTTAAATAAAAGTTAATTAAAAATATATTTTTAATGGAACATTTTTGGGTCTGGCGATCTTGCGGATTATACTATCGCGTCACATGATTATGATCATTGTTGGTTAAACTTGGATCATCCTATACTGCCGGTTTGAAAGCATGGTCGTATTTAAACAATCGTCATTGTCCGCAACTAATTTGTCATTTTTTCAGTCGCGTAACACTGACATAGAAATTTCCATTGTCGATGTAGTTAATGGCGTTTATCAAATTATTGCTTTCGGACCGGATGCAATAAAGCGTTATTGGGAATTTTTCGACGCAATTAAATTCTCGTTTAAATAACGAAAGGCCGTATCAAAAAGAAAAATCTCCCAATTAAATACAAATGAAAAGTTCTGGAAAAACAGAAAATTAACATCCATTTACAAATGTATAAATTCAAAGTGATATATTTTTTTTAATTTGCAGTTTGGGTTTGTAAACTGTGGGTATGGTGTGAGTTCAAATTTTAAGATACTATTCACTTTATGTCGAAATAAAAATGGTTTGACGACTTGTTTATCGATTTCACACAGAGTTGTGGAATTGACCTGTCAATTTTTTGCGTCAATTGACTGAAATAATATTAAAAATGCTATGAAATTTATACTTATTTATATTGTGCGTTACGTCGCCATCACGTCGTTCTGAGAACCAAATGAAATGGATATTTTTATTGGGATTTCCCAAAATTGCTAAATATCGTATTCGGGTACGACATGAAAAGGGTTAAAGGTAAATTCGACATCACAAATAATAATTTATTATGAAATACATATTATTATTAAATAATGGTAGACAACAATATAATTGTTATTCAAGACATTTTGATCGAATTTGATTAATCAATTAGGAACTGGTCAATTGACAGGACAATTGACCACAGTCAATTACAAATACTCGGGTAGGCAGGTAATAGTATATTATGCAACAAGTTCGGTAAACGACATTTGACTCACGAGTTTATTTGACACGAGCGGAGCGAGTGTTTAATAAACGAGTGAGTTAAAAAGTTTACCGAACGTGTTGCATACTATACTTTTTCTACGACCGTTAGTTTTTGGGACCATTTTCGCAAAACAACACGAATACATTAACTGACATGACGGTCAGAATTGTCAAACGTCAAAATTCAAAGCGTGGGAAATAACTCCGAAAACATCCGATTGCTCCCAAATCCGTGCGGTAAAATCCCGGAAATGTCCGAAGTGGCTCGGATTCATGGTAAACGAAATTGACGTGGACGGGAGTAGAAAATTTTTGTTTCCCCTTTCTGTTTAACTGAACAGTCCCAACACCAATTTGACATGATTTATCCCAAGGTCAGGCTTATGATTACGATTAAAATATCTCTGGAATTTGCTGCCTTCATTGGTCGGTTTAGTTTTTACACACCCTGCACGCAGCAGGAATACTTCCCATAACAGTTTTAACTTTCGTGAACTATCAAGGAATTAATAATATCATTTTTTCATGAATTCAATTGTTGTGGAATCAAAATAGAAATTAAAATAGAATTTGGTAGAATAAAATTGAAAATAGAATTTGAGTTACGCAGACATCCCGTTCATGTGGAAACGTCCTATAGCTACAATAGCCATTCTGTTCGGATAAATAAGTTTGCAAAAGAACAGCATTTTTTAAAAAAGAATTTGGTTCTAACAAACTATGGATTCTTCATTATGGCGCAGTTCGAATTTACTCGTAAAATTTTATTCTGTCATGTCATGTTTTACATATTAGGTGAAGTTGACAAGTTAAGTTTTATAAAATAACTTTCTCGCTTTGGTGTACTTCTCATTCAAAGTTGGAGTTGCATCGACAATTTTTTCTTCTTGCCATTAAACTCTCCGCACGTCTACATGACATCAATAATGGATAGATAGATCCATTCGACAGTTTTTGTCGGTATACTGCCGGCATGACTGTCATATGCGTCAAAATATCGCGCGTCAGCTCGTCAGCAACCGACTGGGTTTTAATTTGGTGTCGTGTTTACCGTTTTGCCGTAAAAAGATGAAGAAAAGATCATAAAACGGGTATTGAACCAGACCGCAATTATCATTGCCAGCACGTTTTGACGATAAACAGTTACAACAATGGTTTTCCTGGACAAGTGCAGAATTACGTCAAGGTTGGCCAAGTTCGGGGACGTATTCCGATCAAGGATACCCTCGTCATTACCTCAAAAAGTTTGCTTTTGGACGTTGTGTGGGTAATACTGTCACGCACACGTCACGTAGAAAAAGTGGATAGGAAAATCATCCGTCCTTGAACTATGCTGCACGCAAAATGTCTGCAAAACTCCATCAATCACTCTGCCTCGTTCCCACACTGCCCGATAATATTTCCGATGTTTGAAAAATGAATTCAGTAGTGTGTGCGAACGCCCAAATCGTCCCTGGAGAATTTCGCCCGAATGACCACGGCTTTTCTTATGAAACAGGGGCGTCCGTTATGTTTTCTGAAAATTTAAAGTCTTTATGGGTATAAATCAATAGCTGTCACCCATTTCTGAGTTACGGGTCGTCCAAATATGCAAGTTTGAACTTCAGAGATAGTCGTTTTTTCAGTGCATATGATGATAATAATAATAATACATTTTTGGTTGTCCCAAGAATACATTTCATATTACAATAACTTATATAGTACAGGGCCAACAAAAGATTTTCTTACTGCCGTTTCATTATTTTTTATCAACAATTTGCGGATTATTTTCTGAACTGCGAGCGATTGCCGTCATATAAAAAAAATTATTATCGGGAAATAGATTTAAGTTGCTAAGATTGATTTTTTATGGATTGTTAATTATTAATTTTTTATTTAAGACAATATCATTCACCTAATTAAAATTGACGTTAATGTTTAATGTATTTATTTACTCACACACAATAAAGATCTACAAACTTGTCCAAATACAAGAAATAACAAAATGTGTGCTAGTTAAATTGTTATCGAACCTAGATCACAATGTATGTGCAAAATTTTAGTTATTAAAGTGATTGCTAAATTTTGACCTAAATGAAATGAGTGTAATATTAATACAACAGGAAAAAGGAAACAATGATAGAAAAGAAAAAGCTTAAACTAGCATGAAATGCCTAGTTTACATTTGTAAACTAGGCAAAGTCTGTTAATAGATATAAGAAAGTGACTAACATACGAATTAAGGAAAGACCTGGGCAAGCTGTAAGAATGAAATATGGCCGAACAGGTCCGTACTTTGCTTTAAATTTAGTTATTTGGGGTTTTGTTAGGAAAGATACTAAACAGTATTTATTTATTTATGTATGTATTTATGTTAAAATCTAAAATAAAATTATTATTTGTTCTATATTATTTGCAGTATACGATTGTTCTGCTTTTTTTATATGTTTAACAGAATTTGCCCAACTTTGTGGAGGAATGTTAAAAACTTCGGTTTCTATAAGTTTGAGGACATTGGAGTTAACACGGGGAAAACATTGTTACGACGAATGGCAGATTTCAGTTGGTGCCAAACATGTTCAATGGGATTAAATATACAGTGGTAAGGTGGAGGAAGCCTTAAAACTGTATGCCCTAGATTATTTGCATCATTATCACAGACGTATTCCTTTTGTAGGTTCAAGCTTTGTAGAACCTCAATTAATTGCTTTTTGGTATAATCTTGGTGAAAATAGATTATTATACATGTAGTTTTGGATTGTTGCTTTTGTGTCACATGAGGAAGGGGTTTTAGTCAACTGTCTACTGCGATAACTTGCATTGTCCATTGCAATAACGCTATTAGGAGCAACGCTTAGAACTAGTTTGTTTTTAAACCAACTTTCAAATAAATCAGGGGTGGTGTCTTCATGGTCATCCAGAGAAGAATCTTTAATATTTTTCGCAGACAGAGAAAGTGCATTTGGAATCCAATGATGGCGAGTTTGTTTCACACTTATCAGTTGAGCCAACCCAACCCTTTTCCGGGGTATCATAAGTGTCGAACCAGGTTTCATCCAAGTAAATAATTGGCCTTTGTTGTTCTCTGTAAATCTTAATTTTTTCTAGATATTCCAGACGCCATTTCCCCTTCTTTTTTTCCTCGCTGAAATTTTCTTCTAAGATGCTTGCTTGCTGGCTTGCTGGCACCACGTTCAATGAGAGTCAAATAAACATTGTTAATAACATCCTTAGTCTCAATAGAATAGTGTTTTCTACATTTGGGCGGGAGCATCTCCTGAGATACACTAGACTCGCACATATTTTGCATAATTCGCACACGATTCAACACACGCTGTATTACACACGAAATAAGAATGATTACTAGTAAAC